ATAGGGTTGTGGCAGCAGCGAGCAAGGCGTTGACCCCAGTCGTGGTGGAGCTTGGTGGGAAGGATAGTCTGATTGTTTGTGACGATACAAAGGATCTGGCAGCCATTGGCTCCATCATTATGCGGGGGACGTTCCAGAGTTCTGGTCAGAACTGTATCGGAATAGAAAGAGTAATTGCCGAGCCCAGATCGTATGCCAAATTGGTGGATATTTTGGAAGATAGAGTGAAGGCTTTGAGATTGGGCTCTGGTATAGATCAACTAGAGGAGATCGATGTTGGTGCTCTGATTTCGGCTGGGCCCAAGTTTGATTACCTAGAAGAAACTATTGCCCAGGCCGTTAAAGAAGGAGCAAGACTGTTGGTGGGTGGAAAGAGATATGCCCACCCAAATTATCCCCAAGGACATTACTTTAGTCCCACTTTACTGGTTGACGTGACTCCCGAAATGACCATTGCGAAAGAAGAGGTGTTTGGCCCGGTGCTTACGCTCATGAAGGCTGAGAACACTGACGATGCCATAGCAATTGCTAACTCCACAGACTACGGGTTGGGTGCTTCCGTTTTCACCGGCAGCTTTGCTGCTGGTAATCGCATCACGAATCAACTGAAGGCAGGCAATGTTGCCATTAACGACTTTGCAACCTTTTACGTTTGTCAATTGCCATTTGGAGGTGTAAAGAGCTCGGGTTACGGTAAATTTGGTGGTGAGGAAGGTTTGCAGGGTTTGTGTGTGGCTAAATCGGTCTGTTATGATAAGTTGTCGTTCATACAAACGCGCATTCCAGCTCCTTTGGACTATCCAATCAAAAACGGGAAAAAAGCGTGGAAGTTCGTAAGCTCTTTGAACCGGAGCGGTTATGATAACAGTTTATGGCAGAGGGTCAAGTCCATTTTGACTTTGGCAAAGAATGCTGCATAGCCCTGCAATCTCAGGACAACCTTGTAAATGTATAACGTCAAAAGTAACAGTCTATTATGTTGTCTTTCAAAATTCTGTCTCAAACTTTATTTCAGAACCACTTGTGTGGCCTGCTTATACTCCTTTAGCAGATCATCTGCGTACTTTTTATGAAGTTTTTCAATATCAGCAGCGAGTTTGGTGAGTATGTTTTTGGTTCCCTCTGCTGCCTTCACGTCCTTGAGGGCCTTTCCCCTGATGTATGAAAGTGATTGCTTATTTGTAGTAGAGTTTTTGAAATTCTCGTATGTTGCTTTGAGGGCCTTTGCTTGGCCTTCCTTGACTTCAGAGGACACCAATGGCAGTGGGACCTTGAGCATCTGAGGGTTCAGAGGATCCACCTCTGGGTTCATGTTCAAATCAGCTCCGATGATAGCGGAGACCACTCTCTTGGTGTTTGCCGGGTCAAAGACGGTGACATTGAGAGCCTTTGGTCCTCTCAAAGTCGTCTGAGCAACTTCAGTAAATGAGGAAGTTTCGTGGTGATCAAGCTCGATATTCAGGTGGTCGAATATCTTGGGGTCGGCTCTGCCCTTCTGAATCTCCGCTGCCTTCTCTTTGAATGCTGATCCAGTTGCGCTAAATTCAGCAGTGATGGCTTTTATGATAGCCTCAGGGTCCAGGAATTCCACCTCCTCGGCAGGCTCTTCTTTGGCTTGTTTTCCTTTGGCTGCCTTTCCACCTTTGGATTTCTTGCTAGCCTTGGCCCTTGCATAAACGGACGTTGAGAAAGGTACCGATCTCTGCAGAGAAGCAGGCTGTAGGAAAGTTCTCGATGAGAACACCAGGTTTCTAGAAAACGATCTGGATAAACTTAATCTTAAAACGTTCATAATTCAAGCTATTCTGCAATCACAAAGAATACCATCAGTACTATATCAGTAGTGAACTTTGAAAAATCGTCATCCTCGATGCGCAGATGTCATGTTCCCAATGAGGTAATTTGAGATTCACACCTCTACCTGATCTACCCCAGATTTGGGGCTTTATACCACTTGGATATATGCAAAACCATACCGCTTTGCGGATATGATATCCTAAAAGTCCTCTCAATCATATGGTCCAACTAGTAGTATCATGATCTGAACTGAAAAAGAAAAAAAGCTCTGTCCAATGGGTGCGTCCAGATTTTGACCTTTGTGATACATCACCTCGTGGCCCAAGTCACAATTCTTATATCATTAACCAAATCTTTTAATTGACCCCTTCAGCGCTTGAGAAACTGATGTGGAGGATTTTGGGCGTGCTTGGAAGTAAATCAGTAAACGCAAAAGCTCAACCCTCCATGTATAAAAGGTCATCCTCTCGCAATCACCTCAACAAGCTCACCAAGAGTTCATCTCTTGTCATTGTTGATTCTGATCAGATAACAACATTTTATTTTGTTTGTTATATCTTTATTACAACATAAATACCTTTCATGGATACGACCATAGGGAGCTCGACTTCAGGGCATACTGACAAGGCGAACGGGCGCGTGGGTTTACAACAAGGAGAAGACCTTGAAAACGACAATTTTAATATAAAAAATGTTTTGAACGCACTTTCTTTGACATCGTCATCAAATGGGTCACCAGACTCGGCCAATTCCTTTTGGTCTGGTTCTAACAAGACATGCTCTGTTATTGATGGAGATTCGGCTTATCCTGAGGCATCAGCGCTTGCCAGAATAACAACAGACAAGCTCACACAAAGCGGCGAGGAGGAAATTCAAAAACTTGTTTCGGATTTGAAATCACTTTCGGTCACAGATTCTCATTCCCAGTCCAATCTGGATTTAAGGCCAGAAGCCCAACAAAGTGCGCAGAACTCGGGTAGTCCTGTTGACCGGCTAAATGCTTCAAAGACACAACCGGGTTATTCTCCTCTGAGTGCTGGAATCTGCCACACACAAATATCAGCAAACTATAAGAGACACAGAATTGTTCAGGAACTATATCAGACTGAGAGAGTTTATCTCTGTTCGCTAAAGCTTTTGCTGGAAGTGTATGTCAAACCTATCAGTATTGAGTACCTGAATGCAGTTCCGGTTATGGGTTTCCAAGCTGTGCTGGAGAAGATGATCGAAAGTCATTCAATTCTTTTGTGGGACATCAAGACGTTATGCTCAAGACTAAGTGGAACAGAATTTGGAATATCGCCTGCCTCTATATCATCGGATTATGAACTCTATAAGAGAAGCGAAGCAGATGATGTGACTGGCAAACCAGTTTTCATTTCCTCCTTTGTGGAAATACTTGAAAAAAGTGCAATCCCAGTCTACATATATGTCGAATACTGCTCTAGACACTCTAGATTTGTTTCGTTCACCCAAGGCATCAACATTGCCAAATATTCTGAGAAGCTTTGGAGCATACTCAAGAAGGACGAGTATTGGAACCTCGGCTCGAAAGCTCAAACAAGCTACAACAACATGGACTTGTCGTTCAATTCGTTGGTACAAAAACCTCTGGTAAGATCCGGAAAGTATCGACTGATACTAGAATCGCTGAGAAGTGCTGAGCTTTCTTCTCAGGTCTGTGATCCGTTCGTTCTCGAAAGGATAGAGACAGCACTATCAATCATCAAGCAGCAACTCAACCAGATCAACCAAAATCTCTACAAATCCATTAATCGCGCTGAGTTAGTTCAAAGACTCCTCGGCTTGAATACTCGGAACAGAGCAATTCTGAGTGAGCACTTTCAAATGCCGATCTCATCTTCGGGTTCCGGGGGAGTAGACTATCGAATATTTGGTGACCCCATCTTGTGCGGCTCAATGGATGCTATTTGGATCGAAAGCAAGGGCACAGTTATGCATCAGGCAATGGCCATGTTGTTGTTCAAGTCTCATGTTCTTCTTGCTAATAGCTCTGGTGATGTCAAATTCATCGTTCCTTTGTCAGTTTGCAAGATCCTAAAGGGTGCACCAGAATTTGACTCCGGTGGTCTGACACTGTTGAACTCGATCATGGTGCCAAAGCATTTCAAACTGGTCTTTGAAAGAAAGTATTGTATTTACGAAATTCTTTTAGTTTCGCACTCATTGCTGGAAACTGAAATATGGAAATACTATATGGATTTGCTCATTTATCATGTCAATGGGAGTTACAAGTTTGACTTTTCATACTCCCTCCTCTGTTCCAACACTGGGTTTCGTCCACTAATTCATACACCAGTTAGGATGTCGCCTATCACGTTACTGGAGGACAGGTTTGATCCCAAGAATGTCATACACAAAAATTGTTACTTTTCCTACGTTTTCCTCATATCGATTCTTTCGAACGGATCGGATAGTCAGGAGATTCCTTCGAGTGCCAGATTGTTACGGTTGAACGCGGATGACAAACATGCTATAGATGTGATGCTCGGACCCCTGCGTTCGCGAGAGTTTCCCGCTCCAATTCGAACTCTTCGTCGCACAAACAGACGCCCCGATCTAGGCTTTCTCAGATCGTCGCCAAGCTGGTCCTCAATCAGGCTTCCAGCCGCACTACACAAAACATCCTCCACCTTAACGCTGAGCTCAGCCTCAGTCATGTCGCAAACCTCTAACGGTGATCAATACAGTGCTACATCATCGAGAGATCCAAGAAGGACCTTGACCCGAAGTCAGTCATTACGTGATGTCTTCAGAAATGTTTTTAAGCGTACTAAATGAATAATTTCAATTTCAACACAACTTTAAAACTCTTCAATGGTTGTAAACTCCATTCGAGTCATTCGTGCTGCTGAACTTCTTTGAGTCCAGTCTGGCTGGGGCAGTTCCCTTGAATGTTCCCTTCTTCATAATGGTCTCGATCACATCATCTATGCTATGAGTTCCAAACTCATTGTCAAGCTCGGAAGAGTTGGCCTGATCCAACTCTCCCTCTGCTCCGGTTGAGGTTGAGTTTTTGTAGATTTGAAACTTAGCAACAGAGTCACTCAATGGGATAGACGAATCTTTGAGGTAGTCATTTACTGCCTCCTCTGACTCAACAAAAATGACAAAGTCGGTGTCATCACCTTTGTAAAAGAGTTTAGCCTGTACCTCGATGTTAGTGATTGGATCAAATGCTGGCAAACCTTACCCAACTTACTGGACTTGAGATATTATGAACCATTTTCAATCTTTGATTTTTGATAATCTTGATAATTTTTCTTCTATGAATTTTAACAGCAGAGTGGGCTGACTGGTCCCCTTTTATACTTGCTTTGTGGGGAGATTGCTAGTGGGTTTTTTAGCTCCATCACATGACGTCATCATGCATAGTTACGAGATCTCGGGACATCTCCAATATCTTGATTATTCACTTTATGATTGCGAAATGATTTACTCTCAGGTTTACATTCCGAAACTTTCCGGGATGCTTTCAAACAAATATTATACAGTTGATTTTTCGTCGTTATGGTTTGGCTAGTCCCAATAAAAGCCTCCAGCAATGAACCTGATCATGTACTCATCGATATGGCCTATACCATCATCTTCTTCCTCGTCTTCCTCAACCTGGTTGTAATGATCCAAAAACTCGGCTTCAACCTCTTCAGATGCAACCCGTGGACCATCTCCCACTACAGACTCACTTCTTCTCTCTGAGGCCGGGGACGCGGTTCCACCTGCCGTTCCAGACGGTGTAACCTCAGCAGTTGAACTGGTCTTCATATTAGAATCGTCGAAATCAGCGTCGTCAAGCGCAACTTCTTGTATCGCAACGTTCGCTGCAGCAGCATCATCAGCGTCTTCTGCTTCTGCCAAAACAGATGTCAGATTTTTGCTGTTGGGGTTAGCATTCAGTAACAATGGAGCATCGTCATCACCACCGCCCTCTTCACCAAGTAGATCTTTCACGGAAAGCTTTCCAAAGTAATCCGTTGTGAAATCACCATCCTGAATAACAACATTATCCAATTGTCTCTTCTGATTAGCCTTGCGCAGAATATTAGATTCAATCGTGTATTCTGACACAAAGCGGTAGATATGGACATCTCTTGTTTGACCGATTCTGTGGCATCTATCCTGGCATTGTTTATCCATTGCTGGGTTCCAATCAGAATCATAGAAGATGACGGTATCCGCACCGGTCAAGTTGATACCCAAACCACCGGATCTTGTTGACAAAATAAAGCATGTGATCCTGGAGTCTGTGTTAAACCTTTCAGTCAGCAATTGACGATCTTCAATCTTCGTCGCACCATCCAGCCTCATGTACCTGTATCCATGGTAGTTCAAGAACAACTCCAGAATGTCCAACACTTTGGTCATCTGGGTGAATATCAAGGCTCGGTGTCCATTGTCACTTAATTCCTGTAGCAACATTGCCAACTTCTGAAGCTTTCCACAATCGTATTGTAGCAGGCCCTTATCAGGAAATGCAATAGACAATTTCACCTGAGCCTCGTGGAAGGGATTTTGTTCCAACATAGATGGATTGGACTCGACTATCTTACCAGAAACATCCGCAGGGACAACTTTGTCGTTCATATCAAGTGCCACGACCGCAGGTGTGACAAAAGCGTATTTGTCAACAGTATCTTTCATCAAAGATACTCTCGTGTCCAGTGGCTTAACAATGCTGTTGTAGACGTCAGAGATCCCAACGTTGAATGTCTGTTTGATTGTTGTCTGGGCGATCAAGTTTTTGCTGTAAATCAAAGGCTTTTGCGATCTCAGCTTGTTGAGGTAAAGAAATTGCTCAGTGGAAGATAGAGCCTGTTCTTGTTCCACATATCTGTGGTACTTGAAGTAGCCCTCTAATGTTGAGAAATCAGGCTTGCATGGTTCTCCTAGAGCATTTTTAATCAAATCACATTGGCTTTTCAGGTACCCATTAGCTGTGAGCGTCTGGATGGAGTCGTTTTCGAAAGTGGTTATGTTGGTGTTCTCAGAAGGTACGAGATTTATCACACTCAGATCAACTTTTTCAGTAGAACCACGGAGGTTGCGTCTGACAACCAGCTCTTTCATATCATACTCGGATATCGCGGACTTTTCCATCGCAAAGGAGGTCAAAATCGGTCTAACCTCAAACAAATCGGGATGGTTGCAAACCTTTCTGAGCTGCATCAAACAGTTGATGATGGAGAGAAAGTTTCCTGAAGCCAGAGTCTCTCTCGTTTGAGCACGGGACATGAAATCATCATACAGAAATCTTTGACGTTTCGATAACCGGCAATACACGATATGCTCGTACTTGGCAGGCATCTGCTTCTCGACATCCGCTTTTAACCGACGAAGCAGGTACGGTCTCAATACTTGATGCAGTTTCGACACAGTAGCCTTGGTCTCTTCATCAGCACCATCAACACCTCCGGCAGCCTGAATGATTTTGTCAACGGGTCTGCCAAACCATTGCTGGAAGTCCATAAGGTTAGCAAACCCATCAGGCATAGTTTGCCTGCTTCCTGCCCTAGTGGATGGCATGAGGAAATAGAGCAGTGACCATAATTCCATGATGTTGTTCTGGAGAGGCGTACCAGTCAATAAAAGTCTGTTTTCGGTGTTGAAATTGAGCAATGCCTTCCATCTCTGGGACCTAAAATTCTTGATGTTATGGGCCTCATCAAGAATCATGTACTTCCACTTTTTCCTCTTGAAGACCTGCTGATCTTGAACGACAAGCTGGTACGAGGTAATGCAAACATGAAAAGTATCCAGCTTGTTCCAGCCTTTTCTCTTCTCTTTTCTGACCTGAGGTGAACCATAGTACGTCATAACTTTAAATCCTGGGGCAAATCTCTTGAACTCCATCTCCCAGTTTAACATGACGGAAGTAGGTACCACAATCAAATGGGGTCCCCAGATGTTCTTCTCGCAAGCGAGGTAAGCGATCAAAGAGATGGTCTGAATAGTCTTTCCCAGACCCATTTCGTCTGCCAAAATACCGTTGGTGTTACTGTTGTATAAGCTGGCCAACCAGTTTAGCCCTTGCTTTTGGTAGACACGCAATGTTCCTTTGAGTAATTGTGGAACGGGGACATCCGGGACAGCACTAGCGTCAATCGAAGAATCTTTCTCCGGTGCAACATCCTGGCCGCCGGGAGTGGAGTTTGGTGTATCCTCTTCCTTTGCGGAAGCATCATCCTCGGAATCAGAACTCCTAACAGACTCGTCTCTTTCTTCTGGCTCATCCTCTATTTTGCCGAACAACGCTGCCAGTCCTGACGCTCTTGGTGTCTCCTCTGCCTCCTCTTCGCTAGACTCATCGTCAGAATCAAGCAGGCTGTCGTCTGATTCGCTTTCCTCTTCGCTGTCTAAAACAGAATTGCGCTCTTCGTTATTCAACAAGTTTTCACGTTCCTCTTGGGTCATGCCGTCCACTATACTGGTATTCTGAATACCAGATCCACCATCCGCGCCATATAACGTTGCGAGGTCAGTATCCTTATCGCTTTCAGATTCATTTTCAGCGTCACTTTCACTCTCTGACTTGGCAGCGAAATTCTGAAGATCCTTGTACTTTGCTCTCAGTTCTTCCACTGAGAGTTTGGAGTCATCCACAACTTGATCGTTTCCGATGTCGAGATCCTGGTCCTTTACTTCGGTCTCATCCTCAGAGCTGGAACCCGAACCTGAATCAAAATCACTAGCACCACTCTCGTCATCACTATTCTCTGCACTTTCAACATCGCTTTCGGAACCATGAGCATCAGTATCAGTAGGAACTGGTGTGGCAGATTCTGAAGCATTGCGAGTCAATTGAGCTTCCAGTAACTGTGTAGAGTGCTGCAAGATCTCTGAAAGATGTTGTTTAGACTTAATCGCTCTCTCCTTCTCTCTCTCACGTTCTTCAAGAATTTTGTACGCTTTTTCCGCCTGCATCCATTTGCGCTTTACCAATCTTGCGGTTTCCTTAGCCAGTCTCTGTATTTTAATCTTATACTCCTTGGCCTCTCTATCCTTTTCTTGGGACTTTCTCTTAAAGTGATTTTCAATCATTAGAGCGATCTTCTTGGACTTGGTGATCTTTGAATTTCGGCTTTCGTGTATCAACTTGGCAGACACCAATCCATGGGCGACGAGATGGTCGTGATGCGTTATCTGGCCAGAGGCAATAAAAGGGTCTTTGTACCTGATATAGTTTGTGTTGAGCTTTATCATCGTGGGCTCTCTTGTGGCATTGGGGTGAATTCGGTTCACGTTCTCGTCGAAGTCTATTCTTAAAACTCGGTTTTCAATTCCCCTGCGTATCCTACCCAAGAGCTCAATTTGAGACTTTACATGAGCCTCGTACTCTTCAGGAGAGAGATCATCATCAAGTGACTTGTATGACTCCAAGAATTGTCTCAGAGTGGAGAAGTTTGGCTCAGTCACATGTGATGGATGAGAAATCGATTGCCGGGGTAGCGTGAACTTGGTTATGATCTTTCTTGATGCTGGCCGTGTATCCTCTTCCTCATCTTCCTCTGATGAATTCTGAGATTCTTCAGATTCGTCGCTTTCCTCCTGCTCGGATTCGCTTTCCTTTGGAACTGGTTTGATGGGCGTCTTGCCTTTCACCAGCTTCTGGGGTGAGCTTTTCTTCTGCGGCGTTGATGGCTTAGTCTGTGGTTTCTGCTTTTCGAGAAGCGAGCGCTTCTTTTGAACTAGGCCATTGATTTCAGCCTTGAGGGGACTCACCGCATCTTCCCGCACCCTTCTGGATGATCTCTTCCTACCTGAACTTTCGTCATCAGAAGCAGGCCAAAGGGGATAGTCCTTTGCAAATTCCTGGTACAATTCTGTCTCCTTGTTGATATCTGGTTCCTGAGGATTGAAATATATGAGACTCGTATAATGGGTCAGGTGGAACAACTCATCGATGAGCTCCTCATTGTAAAGCTGGATATTCGCCAGGTTATCCTTGCATATCGCGTCTCTCGCTTGCTTGGAAACGCTACCAGAGGGAGTTTCTATTTTCAAAAGATCCCTGCGAGAGTTCTTGTATATCAATGGAGCTTTCTGCTCCTGGGATGGCTTCGCAGATGATCTTCTTGGACTCGATAAAGAGTAGGAAACAGTTGTATCTCTTACCCTGCTACTCAATCTGCGCGTCTTGTTGGGCGGTTCATTTTCAGATCCAGCTCCACGTAGCAAACGCCGCCTTTCCATTGCTCAAGAATGGTGTAGAACGGAGGGGTGTGTGGTCTGTATGCTGAGTTTGATTACAGAGAATAATCCACAGACATCGTATCTCTCATGTCGCCGCCAGTCTGGCCTTCGATTCTCGCGAATGGTAAGGGCACTACTTTTATGGATTTCTTGCGTGCGCGAATAAACCCGTGATCCAAATGGCAGCTCTTCCAATTAGCTTCACGCATTTTCCAATTATTGCATTAGACAGATTCCAGCAATACTGAGAGTCCAGCATTCTTGAACAGCCTCCAGAACCGTGTTAAATAGAATTGGTTTTGCGAATCATGTTGTCACGTTCGATTCTAACCGGGCGTTTTGTCGCTGCTCGCCAAATAGTGAAGCCTTTCACGGTGGCCGTAAGGTTCAACTCCTCAGTCTCAGATGACAAGTACAAGCACCCACTGTTCACACCAAAGGAGGAGTTTGAGGGATACGTCAAAGTCAAAGACTACTTTTTGCAGAAGAGAGATCCATACCTGAAGTACGACGATCAACAGAATAGAAGAAACCTGGACGAACCAATGCACGAATACCACGATTTTTTGGACATGTGGTCGCCAGATCACTACGATTTCATCTCAGACAAGACTGCGTTGAAATGGTTCTTGAACTATTTCCTGGCCATAGCTGGATTTGCAGGTACCATCTACGTGTTTGACCTGTGGCCTGAAAGGCCAAATGCACCAAGATCGTACCCAGAAGGGCTGGCCAAGGATTTGGGTGCCTTACCAGGTGAGGAGAAATTGTACACAGCTAGAGTTGATCGATTCGCATAGGGCATGACGTATTATATTTAACAAAAAAACATGATTAATAGGACTACGGTGATCGGGGGAGAAAGTTTGTTCTCAGGCATGATCCCCACCAGCATATGTAGACAAATATGGCATTCTATTATCGTCTGTCGAGATTGCGTAAATCAGCAATGAACTACGAACTGGCTTAATAATGCTAGCCAACTCGAAATAGCTGAACATGTGAAATGTACAAGAAAGTGTATGACTTGAGCATGAACCAGCTATGTTAAGCCTTGGTGTGTTACAGATGTTAGACAACTACTCTCCATAGAAATGTATGTATTTGACAAAAGTAGTTATTTTGAGCATGATGCAGCTTTGTGGCAGTGAAAGGAAACAATAAGTATAAGTCAATGAGTTTGTCCACAGTTTTCAACAATGTCTCCTCTTCCAGAGAAAAGTTTTTGTGAGCAGCAAGATCATAGGTAACAGCAACATGGATAAATAAAGTAAAAAGATAGATTATTGGTGTAGAAATCGTATAGCGACATGTCATGATGATGATGAAAATGATGATGATGAAGGAATGAAGACATTCAAAAGCTGAAACCCATGAAGATACAGTCCTAGGCATGAAAGTTTCATGCCATAGTGATGAAGAATGTACAAGCAGGCAGAGAGAAACTGCAGTCACTCGTATCCCTTCGAATCCAATTCTAGTCTGTCTAATTGGCCATCTCTAGCGGCAAGATACATTTCATTAAGTATCTTCTCGTTGGTAGGCACTCCACCAGGCGTGAACGGAATCTGCTCCGCAAGCATCTGCTGTTGAGCCTGGAAGTCAGGGTTTGACAAGGCTGGGCCGAATTGTCCATCTTGCTCCATGTTCATCAGACCACCTGGAAGTTGATTACCAATGACAGCCATTCTTTGCTGCTGCTGTTGGTAGTGAGACCTCTGGGCTGCTCTGGCACCCCAACTGACCCTGATTCTAGACTGACCAATAGGATAACCTTGCATTTCAGTGATGGCTTTCTCGGCAGACGAACGGAGCAAGTACTGGACGAATCCACAGTTCTTTCCCGGTGGGATCTTGACGTAGGATATCTCGCCAAACCTCTCGAAATAGTGTCTCAACTCGTCCACAGAAACATAAGAGTTCAAACCACCAATGAAAACGGTAGTGTTGTTCGGATCGGAGAACTGCTGCAAAGGGGGAACAAACTGCTGAGGAGGAATCACAATCTTCTGGAATTGGGAGTTCATCTGGTGCTGATTGGAAACAGGGTTGGTGCTGTTCTTGACAGCAGTCGAAACTCTGATTGGACGGCCATTCAGAACAGCACCTTGCATCTCAATGAGGGCTCTCTGTTGTTCGGCTTCATCTCCAAACTTAACAAATCCGTAGCCTCTTGGGTTTCCAGTGTTAGGATCAACCATTACTCTGGCGTTGTAGCAGGACTGGTACCGAGCATTAAAAAACTCCAAGAGCTGGCTCTCGTTGATACCTTGCGGCAAATCACCAACAAAGATGGTGAACTCCGGTCCGATGGACTGGTGAGTTGGCTGCAGACGTCCGCTGAACTGAGGATTACCCTGGGAAGCCCAGTTCAGCTTGAAGAACTTGTTGGTATTTGGGACGACCGCACCATGATGCGACAGAATCTGCTGAGCATCATCAACAGTGTTGACTCTCAAGAAACAATAACCAGAATTGTTCAACCCATTTGCCATGGCATTCTTGTCCCTGATAATCTTGATCGAGGAGATGGTATCCGAGATGCCAACGGCTTGCCAGATCTGTCTGATGGCCATTTCATCCCACCACGGATCAAGTTCACCCATCCAGACCTGGATTTGGGGTTGCTGCTGCTGCTGTTGTTGCTGCTGTTGGGAAAACATGTTGCCGTACCCGGGTGCAACATTGTTGTTGTAGTACTGGGGAATACTTCCTTGTGGAATTGACATTTTGGATGCTCAGAGAAAACAAGCGACGCCTGAACACACGACAAGAAAAAAACTGGGTGCAAAGTAACCGAAACTAACAAATAAAAACTTTTCCACCTAACAGATGCACAAAAGGGATATAAAAAAAGTGGTAACCGGTTAGTCTGTAAAACTTGTCGATATCACGTTATAAGAATTGCCGTTTTTAATGGTTCTGGTGGGATCGAGCAGATGGAGTCCTCCTGAAGTATGAGTGTTTCACGGGTAAATCAGAGATGACTCTTTTGGGCTTCGCAATAACCTTGGATGGGAAAGGGAACAAGGAGAGGAAAATTGGAGGGCAATGAGGGGAGAGGTGAAGGGTGGTGAACGAATAAACGAAAATCAGCAAGAAAAAACGTTGCACGAAGGAAAAATAGTCAAAACTTCACAATGTCGAGCGGAACAAGTTAAGAGAAAGCGAGGGAAAAAAATTCAAGATGTCCGTTGGGGAGCAAAAGGAACCCGGGACCCCTGGCAGGGAGAGTCGTGTCGCGTTTCAAAACCGTTCGAGCCGCGTAGTAAGCGAAATGCTCGAGCAGTTCGAGGTGGCAGGGAGCCAACGGATAAGCGCTTGTGCACGAAGGTGAACACTGGAAATTTCACACATAGTTGTCGACAAATAGTGGATATTTCTGCTGTGAGTGACAACTTCGTGTGGTTTTGACGTACATTCGTTTGCTAAGGTGCGAAGCCGTTAGGGTTTCTTGGACACTGACGTTAAGAGAAAATATGCAGATGCCAATCGTGTGTAGTTTTTGGATGATACCACTTCCTGAATGGTTTGGCGGGATAGTAAAGAATTTGTCCTTGAAGGCACCTTTCCGATCTTCTTGTTGCCGCATCGTTCCATGCGCAATTCGTTTGTAGCTATATACCACATGCGCACTTGAGCTCTTTTTGACGCTGAGGCTGCAGAAGATCACTGTTACCATGAGATGCTCAAGCTGGGCCAGAGCATTGATGGTATTCTCTTTGACCAGTTTCTCTTTCAATTCTACCCAATAGACCCTTTTACCCAAGTAACACTTACTCCATGTTGTTAGTAGTGTCTCGCACAAAATGATCCCTTCTCCTCATAAAAATATAGAAGAGCTCCTTTTCGTGATCTCCTTCAGATCTCTCCTTCAAATCACGATAGTATCCGTATTCAGTCTTTGTGCCCTTTGAAGCCCTTTTTGTCGCAGCCGGTTGTTTTGTGATTTTTATTATAAGGAGATTTCACTCTGGGCTTTCGATTAGTTTGCTAGGAGCGAGCCACGCTTGGAAGCCTTTTGCACTATGTCAGGTCCAGATCTGAAAACACCAACCACTTCGGTGGCGCCTGTACAGTCGGGGAGTGTGATCCCATCCAGAACTAAGCTTGTTCAAATAGTGACTGAAGAGCTTACTCGATCCATTAACGAGAACGATGGTATGAAATTGATAGGACTCAACATCCAGTCGTTGCCTCCAGAGGCGATAGAGCTGATAGAGGGGAACATGGTTGAGAGGCTTTCCCTTCAGAAAAATCTGCTTAACACACTTCCTGTGTACTTCAAGAATCTGTCAAAGTTAAGATATCTTGATCTACATAGAAACAACTTCCAGGAGTTTCCTCAGGTTCTGTGCTCTTTGAAGAGTCTTGAGATCTTAGATATAAGCGAGAACAAGATCAGGTTCTTCCCTACAAACCTGGGCCATTTGAAGAGCTTGCGTGTGTTGTCGATTAGGGATAACCAGTTTGAGTATCTACCTCCTCACATCAGTGAGATGAGCAATCTCAAGATTCTTGAAGAGGGAAACAACCCACTGATACTGCCTTCGCGGGGCTATATCGAGTCTTTACAGAGACAGGAGGAAGATACATGGCTGGAAAGTCTGAAGTTGTATTTGAAGCAAAACTCTAGTACTTTGGAGGCTAAAATCCGCGAATCTATGGGGGCCGAAACTGCTGACTTCAGCAGCTTGTCTGCTCCTTCCAGGTCGAGATCCAACTCTGAGTCTCACATATCTTCGCGGGCAGCCAAGAGAATGGGATTTGTGATGAAAAGGACCCCTGTTCAAGAAGAACCGGAAGAGGGGCCACCGGTAGAACAATTGCAACAACCACAGGAACAGGAAATCCCGGAATCATACCAACAGTATTCACAGCAGCAGCAACAACAGCAACAGCAACAGCAGCAACAGCAGCAACAACAGCAACAACAGCAACAACAACAACAACAACAGCAGCATCAACAACAACAACAGCAACAGGACTCACAGCAGCAGCCTCCCCCTCCACATTCCCGAATGAGGTCCAGGTCCCATACACTGTCAAGAGATCATACAACTGTGGTAGAAGAGCCACTGTCTATAGAGCCTCAGAACAAATCATCGGCGTACTTCCGCCGTCTGTCAACGTTGGCCGAGGTGAAAAAACATGACTTGATTCCCAGAAACGAGCTGTTGGAGATTGCGAGGAAAGTGCTTTTTGTCGTGAATGAGCTGCAGATCAACTTCAACAAGTTTTCGGGTTTTTGCGTCGATGCCAGAATCTCTGCCAAGATGAATTCACTTTCGTTATCATCGAAACTGCATATTGATTCCATCATTGAGTGTTTAGAGATGCTGGAAAACTCAAGTCCCGGATCACAGAAAACCATGGGACAGGATATCATAGTGGAGAAGCTTGTTGGGTCGGTAGTGGACACGGTCCGCGCTGTTAAGGTGACTGTTTGGCATTTCCAAGAAAATCTAACTAGTTTCCTACAATCTTCAGATATTGCATTCGTCCGGATGCTGTACCTTTCTCTCTTTGGGACATTGAACGAGCTGTTAAATGCATGCCTCGTTTCTCACCCGAAACTGAAGTTTCAGCAACAACAGTCGCAATCGGTACAAGAGCAACAACAGTCAGGCTCAAAGCTCAAGATCCACCGCACCACCGCGCCACCACCACTCAACCTACGTGTTGAAACTTCCAACTCGAATCTGGGTCCAACCGACACAGAGAACCCGAAGGAGTTGTACGAGACGATTCAGACTGCAATCAATTGGGCACAGCTGGTTTTCCAGCAAATCAATAATGCCATCGGCAAGAGTGCAATTGCCAATGCTACACAATCTGAGCACTTGGATAACACTGCTGTGCAAAAGATCAAGGAGTTGACAGGGTTTTGTATTAATGCGATGGATATCACTAAGAAACTCAGCGGAAAGCTGCTCCCTTTCAAACACTCGCAGGATGTCGGGATCGTGGAAGATAAGAAACTGACAGAGGAGATAAACCTGTTTTTGAAAGCAATCATCAACATGTTGGCGAGTGCTAAATCGTCTATGGAAGATGAGTTGCCAATCCTGAATGAAGCTCGTTCTTCAATGGGCTCTCTAGCAAAAGCCACCAAGGATCTCACCAAGAAGATCGAAAGTGCAAAATCCCAACAGATTCCAACATCTTCAACGCTCTACTCCTTTCCCAGTGCCACTACTTTGACCACACCATTGTTGGCTTCTCTGGGTGCTGCTGCTCAGGCAGTGATGCCTATAACGTCGTCGCCAATGAACGGCAACTATCAGCCGAGCCAGCAGAATCCTTTTGAGGTGACTGAGTTCAGGAGTCCGTTTTGATTGGTAGATATGAATAATGTAATTTACGAAGGAACCCTTATCTATAAATTGAAAGGAAATCTATATCGTCCGTCTAACTAAAGTTCAACTGCTCCTTAGACCTGCTGACTGAAGCGTAATTCGCTTCAATTTCTTGCTCGTCAAAAACAAGTCCACTCTTCTCAGCTGCAATGGCTGGTGGAATTGTGGCCCTGGTCTTTGGGTCCTTGAACACGTATTTGGTGATGGCCGTGCAACAAACGCGCTCGCCCTTGCCAGAGCTTACCTTGAACTCGGATAGCACGAACAGCCATTTCTCGTCCCAGGAAACCACACGAGAATCAACCCAGTATTTCTGAAACGGCTTGATCTCTTTGAGAAAACTAATGTCAACCGAACCAACTGGCAAAAAGGGCCACGATCCAAGTTTGTCAATGGCGAACAGAGGCTTGTATAGCGAGAGCATCAGCTCGGTACGGGCCATGTCCATTTCCTCTAGAAACGTGGAATTGGACTTGTGGAGATAGAAGTCGCACTCTCCAAGCGAACAGAAGGTCAAAAGACGCGATTTCACCTTCAGTATATCTTTTCCCTTGTTGCTAGTCTTAGAAAATAGGACTATTCTCATCAGGGCGTAGTAAAAGCGTACATAGTACGACCCTGGAAGGGATTTGTATGAAGAGAGCAGAATGGCTATGCTCAACCACTTGAAAACCGTTCCGATCATGCTGAAATGGTTGTAAGGCTTGAGCTTGAGGTCTTTTTGGAAGCAAGCCAAGTCTACTTGAACGAGCTTGGGTAAAAGACCGCACGAAATCCACTTTGGCAAGCATGTGAATTGTGCCTCGGCTCAGCTGCAGGGTCGTGCACTTCCCTATTGTACTGTCGTGTTTCTACCAGTCTCGGGCCAAGTTCTTCGGGCCAGAAAAAGAGCGCGGCGCTCACCGAGATAGTTACGGGATTTTTCGGACTTTGACACAATTGCCGAGCCGATGGGCTGCCGGGCAAATAAAGACGCTCACATTGGAAACGCTTTGGGCTATGAGCTTAGATGGGTGGTTAGGGGAATAAGCGGGTATCTTCAGTTTTGTTAAGAATGTATATAATCATGATGCAGGTCGTAATTTTGTAGGTGAATGGATGTGTATGTGTAGTGTGTCTTCAGCAAGGCTAGGACGAGTTTGGAGGTGTCAGAGAGCCGTGGACGGACCCGGAGCACTCGCGGTTCTCGACATGGCCGTTCAGCCAGACGTCGACGGACTCAAATATTTGGCCGCAAGCCTTGCAACGGCCCGCAACAGCGTTACGCTGTCTTTTGCGCGTTCCGGAAGGGTATTGGAAATGTAGTGCCTTGAGGTGGTTCTTGAATGTGTCACAGCGCGAAAAACATCCAGAAGGATGGCACTTGGAACCAGGTTCTTCGTCGTAAAAAGGGCACTTGAACCCGATCTGGCCCAGATCCTTCAAATGACGCTTCTCGTGTCTCTGAAGATCGTTTGGCCTGGCAAACCCACGGTCGCAGGTGTGGCAGACGTGAGGTCTCGCAGTGATGGAAAGATGTGTTGATTTGTGGGTAGCCAGGTTGCTGAATAACAAGTGGCACTGGGGACACTGGCGCTTCTTGCGCTGTTTCCGAACTTCTGTGTGGGCCGAGGGCGACAACGGCGAGTCCGGACTGGATGGGGTCGAACCGACCGACACCGTGGGAGGAGGAAGTAGAGTTTGTAATGATGTTGGTGATAGCGGATCTGGGCTAGACGAACTGGAAACTGATACCAGAGGAGGAAGAACAGGCGCGGGAAGCTTCACTTCCGGCGCAGAGGGCATGCCCCAGATCAACGTCTGGAGCTTATGTATGGGAGGTGGCTTGAAATCCGAGGTGGTGGAGTGCCGTTGTATGGGAGGTAGCACAATAGTTTGGTTGTAGGACATGATGGATGATAGCACGTTGGAGATGTATTTTCAGGGAAGAACGCAGGGTCAGAAACACCTCTCAGAAAAAGAGGGCTCAGCTACGGAACAAAGCACGGACGGTACGGCTGGTCAGCATTACGGCTAGGCGGCCGGACTCAATCGGTACTCGGGCCGGATTTATAAGCTGGGAGATTTGGACGGGCACAGGCTTTGAGCTGCGGGGTTAAGGGAGTTTTCTATAGATTATTTGATACGGTTGCAAATCTGACCCCCTTGGCCACTCGCTGTGGTTTGTCAGCTTTGAAATCTATTACAGCGAGCCAAGTGGGTTGTGCAAGCCGTATAACCCGGAGAAGTGCGAGCATCTCTTTAAAGCCGGTGTGTCCACACCGAGGGAATTAATGCGAATTCGGGGGTGCACGTACATCTGAGAGGGTGCTATGGCGATGCTGACAATGCTGATTGGGGAGTATGGGGTGGATGTAGCGATGTCGGCGTTAGCGACAGTGATAAACTCAAAATATGGCATGATAGGAGACCTTCGTAACACTCGTATCGCTTGTGACTCTCGCAACGCTAGCAACATTCGTTTTCGTAAATAGTGGCGGTTTTCCACGTATGGACTCCCATTACCCGTCTTCTTGACTCTTCTCGGCTCAGCTCAGATCCCCTAGCCGTCTGTGGCTTTGCCGTGGCGCTGCCATGGCTTGGCAAGCCCCAATCAGTCAAAGCACACTGTTCTGCTTGCGCGCAGCCTCGGCGCTGCTTGGTGCACTACCCCCGTGGATGTGGGAGTGCCACTCTTTCCGGCGTGGGGTCCAGGGTCTGGAATTCATTGTGTCTCCCCGAGAAAAGCTTGTTGCTTTCGCCGATTTTGCCGATTTGTTGATCTGTTGTGAGTTGTCTTTTTTCTGACCCGTTCTCCAGCAGAAAAAAGGTTTTTAACTACCGTTAAATATACTCATTTGGAGGATCTGCCCCTGTGCGGTTGTATTTGCATTTTCCTACTTCCAATCTCGACGCGTCCTCGAGAGTTTGTTGAAGCACAGTCCTTTGAAATTTCACCAATCTAAAACCCACTCTCTTTTAAACCATGGTGGATTGGCTTGTGTATTCTTATCCCTCCTGGGAGTACCCTTTCGGATTGCACCTGTGGCCCATTTTCGACAAGGTGTACGCTAAGATTGCGGGATTCCCAGCCTCTGAGTTTGAGTTCGTCCAGGGTGAAACTTTTATGGGAAACTTCCAGTCATGTGCTCTGGTGATCGTTTTATACTACGTGATCGTCTTTGGTGGTCAGGCTATTATCCAGAAGTTTGATCTTCCTCCTAGAAAGCTGAGCGTGTTGTTCCACATCCACAACCTGCTGCTCACGTTTGGCTCTTTGACACTTCTGCTCGTGATGGTAGAGCAACTGATCCCAATGGTTCACGAGCACGGAATCTTCTGGTCCATCTGCTCCAAGGGTGCTTTCACCCAGAAGCTGGTGGCCGTGTACTATCTCAACTTCTTGACCAAGTTCTACGAGCTCAACGATACCGTGTTCCTCATTCTCAAGCGCAAGAAGCTGCTCTTCCTGCACACCTATCACCATGGTGCTACTGCATTGCTATGTTACACCCAACTTGTGGGCCACACCTCTGTTGAATGGGTCCCTATTTCCCTCAACCTGGCAGTCCACGTCGTGATGTACTGGTACTACTTCCAGACCTCTAGAGGAATCAAGATCTGGTGGAAGGAATGGGTCACTCGTTTCCAGATCATCCAGTTTGTCCTAGACCTTTTCTTCGTGTACTGGGCCACCTTCATCTTCTACAGCGACAAGTGGTTCCCCAACCTCTTCCACTCGAAAGGAAGCTGCTATGGTAAGGAAGAGGCCGCTGCATACGGCTACCTGATCCTGACCTCCTATCTGGTGCTCTTTATCTCTTTCTACATCAAAGTGTACAAATCCGGTGCCAACAAGAAGGCTGCGAAGAAGGCTGCTGACAAAATCAAGGCAGAGGGTATTTCCTCGGCTGTTCCATCGGGATCTCCAATCACTTCTAGAACGAGAACTAGAAAGGCATAAACGAAAAGGATTAGTCTAAGGCATTCTCCCCTAATACTGTCTGTGACCCTTCATCTAAATATCTAAAGCATAACTATATAAATTTCAGAGCCGTTTGTCCTGGCTTTTATTCAGAATATTCTCACAGATAATTTCCAGATTCGTAATTTGATATTAAGACATAGTATAAAGGAACGGGTCCCAACGGACCCCTAATTATAACAGTAAAATCAATCGCAAGAGCCTTGATTCAGCTCTCTTGATCTTTTTGAACTTTTGGCACCGATTTGTCCCAGAAATCTAGACTGACGACTGTGTCGTAGCCCTGTTCATTCTCCCAAACAAAGAGGATCTCCTGCGAACTCGAGTGCAGGAATCTAATGTTCTCTCCGGCAATGCAACGGGTCAATTCTCCTGTTTCCACGTTTCTGACCTCGATGAACTGCGAGTCAAACGACAACAGAGAAGGGTACCACATGGCAAACTGACTTGGGACATTTTCCCAGTTAACCAAGAAGTTGGGGCGAGCCCTCCATCCGTTCTTATTCACGTAAAAGGAGAAGTTTGAGTACGAGAGCAAGAAGTTGTTGTTGACCCTGTCGATTCTCAGTGGCTTGAGGCCTTCCTTGCCTATGCAGAAATCTAACGAGGTATCCGCCTGGTCCAACAGAGACTCTTGGACTCCTGTTTCCAACTGTACAATCTCAAAACCCTTGGTGCACCCGATACATAGTTTGGTCTTCAAGAACGAAACGCTGACTGGTTCAGACGAAAAGGTCAGGTCCTTGACCTCATTTTTGAACTTGCGCTTATTCATCTTCTTCGACGTGATTGGGTCCATGGGCTCGAAGATCTTGATCAGATGCTGAGAGCCGTTACGTGCCACACAGATCAACATTCTTCCGGAACATACACCACTCTTGAAGAAGGAAACATGCGACATCATCTCCTTGCCTAGCTTGGCATTTTTGTTCGGATCGTAAATAGGGTTGGGTGGTAGTACCTGTGTAATGGAGCTTGCACTCGAGGTGGAAGATACAAGACTGGCGCCGTTTCCACCGCTGCTGCTGCTGCTGCTGCCATCATCATTCAATATCTCCAAAGGCCAGTAGTGTAGCTTCTTGTCGCACAATGCCAGTAACAACTGATACTCTTCCAACACTTCCAATTGCATAATGTTTGTTTTGGCAATGACCTTCACTGGTCTACTCACAATTCTCGACTTGTCCTTATTCTTCCTGATGTTGGAGATGTAGATACCTGAATCGGTACCATAAAGCAATCTCCTTCCACCATCAAATGGAACGGCACAGTTGATCCTGTTCGAGTAGTCGAAGAAACTCGAACTGAGTCTCGTCAAAGTGAAGATATCGTTGTCCTTAATCAGTTTCTTGTGCTGCTGTTCAACCTTCTCCAGCAGGGTACGCTGGACGGATTGTCTTGCATACAAAGTGAACTCGTAACCGTTTCTTCCAAGGTACGAAAATGTCAATGGGAACCTTGCCGAGTTTGTGTTTGTCAGCGTGGATAACGAGGCAGAGTGGCTTAAGGTCGTGGTTGAAGAGTGTGAATAAGAAGCTGAAGAAGTAGTTTGAGAACAGACATACAGAGATCCTGTAGATGGAGATCTCTTCATGTGTCTCATAGAACCCATTTCTTCACTCAGTGACACAAACAGGAGAGGAATAGGAATAGGGCGTTGATAAACACGGTACACCTCCTTCTTGTTCATGATCTTCACACGCGCAAATATCAACGCATGATCAAACAAATACACATTCACCTCACCCTGGTTCTCCTTATCCTGGTAACTCTTCTTCTTCAGGACACACTGGAACAGCAATCTCCGATTCTCGTCAGCCAACTTCAAATCTACCAGCTCTCCAGGTCTGAAGATCAACTTCTGCTTCAGAAGCAAGATGTTCAGCCTGTCAGAAGCCTTTCCTGTTTCTTGGTTGATTCTGTTCAAGATTCCCTGTAGCATATCAATAGCCTTGCCCAGCTTCTCATAATCGGGGTTAGAAGGGTCCGTTGCATCGCGGATGGATTTCAAAAGAAGAGGGTAACGAGCAGGTCTCGATGTTGGCTTGGAGAGATATGAACTCAGGTCCAAACGTCTGGACTCAGGCAGGTTACCTGTTTCCTCGACAAACCTTGCAAAAAGCGCGTTGGTTTTCTTCTGTCTGTCAAACTCGTATTTTCCAAACACTTGACCAGCACCATACTTAACAAAAGGCTCAAACTTGGGGATAAATTCTAAGAAGATATCACCAACTTGCTCAACTATTGGCTGGCGCTGTTGGCGTCTGGTCAGAGCATCTGCCAAACGAGAGTTGACAGCCCAGATCTCATTGATTCCGCTGAAAACGGAACGAATAAACTTTTCACGCTCCTGTTCTTTGATGATTCTCGATTCGCTTAGTGGACGGATCCAGAAGTCACGCAAATACTCCAGATCTTTAATGAAATCACGCTCACTGTATATCGTCTCAAAGATACACTCCTGTCTCTGGATCTCGCGCTTATCGACACTTTCCAGCACCTGTTTGGGAACGTTCAAGGACCACAGGTGTTTCTTCTCATCATCACCTGATAGCGAAAGTTTGGATTCCGAACGACGCAATCCACCCTGGGGCTTCATATTTAACCGTGCCTGTTGCTCCAGCCTTCTGGGACACGCTATACTGTAGCATAGTTGGTTTCTGGTACACGTTGCAGAGTAACATTCTGTGAGCAACGTGAAAACACCATTCACGCCGGTGTCCACTGCCTTAACGTCTTCCTCTTCCTGAGGGTTGGGCGATATCTGCTGATCTGGACCATTTTGCTGTTCCTGTCTCTCTCCGTATGGATTGAATATCGACTCTCCAAACTGGTACACCTCATTCTGCGAATCACGCAATCTGTGCTCATAAGTCACATCATGAAAGAAGTGCTGGGCATCCAAAGCGCGTCCCAGCAACATGGCAAGACTTCTGTCAGAAGTCCTTATGATGTGAGAGATCACGTCCACCGCCTGGGTTCCAGTGAAAGAGTCTCTGTATTCCAGTCCATTTTTCAAGTTGGAACCCAACTCTATCTTTTCGAAGAATGCCTTGGCAACCTTGGAAAGTAAAGCAGGATAGACGGAAGGTTTTCTGGAAGAAACGGTGACGATCGTCCTCGAGGCCAAAGATGTCTGTGAAACAGACCTATCTGTATGCCTCAAAGTAGACGTAGATGATGATCTGTGCGGATTCGTCAGAGACGTATATGACTTGGATCTGTTTGACAATTGCTGGTTAGGCAGGGATCCTTCGTGGTACACCGAGGTGATAGTATCGTTCTTCTGCGGAATCACACGGCCACTCAAAGTCGTAGCAGGCTTGGACTTGTTCTTGTCGCCAGTCAAAGATCTCATTGACATTGTTCTCCTTGAATTATCCACACCTTGCGAAAAGTTACCGGCAGGCTTCGCACCGTTTCCATTGTCACTCAACAAAGCACCAGAAGAGACGCTACGTCCACTTCTCCCAAAGAAATTCAGACTTTGTCTCATTGGCGACCACGAGCCAGATGAGTTGGACACAGGAGAACCCTTTGGAGTCGTCTCCTGAGGAAGTCTCTGCGGAACTGCATCTGTCCTTTTGGTGTTCAAAGCTGGCAAGGTCTGTGTTCTTGTGGGCTCAGATCTGGCTTTTGGTGGAGGTATTGTGACTGGTAGTACAGTTCTAGAAGGATCCATGGTACGTTGCTCTATAATAGAGGGTTGTAGAATTGGGGGATCGTTTTGAAACCGCGGTTGCTGTTGAGGCTGTTGCTGGTGTTGGTGATGGTGGTGGTGCTGCTGGCTGTAAGCAGCAGGCTGAGAAACAGACCTCTGCTGAGGCTGAGGAGCATGTCTCTGTTGAGAATACTGCTGAGGTGCTTGATGCGAAACCTGTTGAGGCATCTGTTGAGGCACCTGTTGATGCACCTGTTGATGCTCTTGAGGGAGATACTGCTGTGGATGGCGTTGAGCATACCCATCCTGTCTGTAGCCTTGAGTCTGTTGTGTGCGGTAGGGATGTTGCTGCTGGTGCTGATTCTGAGAAATTGGTTGAGCATGGAACTGTGACTGTGGCGGAGGCGGAGGCGGAATATGAGCATATCTCGGATCATACTGCTGAGGCGGGGCGTCCGGTTGCCGGTGCGAAGAAACATTTCTGGGCAAAGGCTCCAGAGACGAATGGGATCCCGTATTCGCGTAACCTTGTCCATACACCTGCTGGACCGGTACCTGCTGGGGCAATCCTGGATGCTGCTGGTGGTGAGGATGGTGGTGGGGGTGAAGGTTTTGTATGGGCCGTTTCTGGTAGCTATTCTGCGATATTTGGCTCTGGGCAGACCTCTGCGACAAAGCAGACGAGGGTCTCGAATCAATTTCAGCGATTGTCGGAGGCATTCGTGATCCATATTGCGAATTGTGGTCCGTCCGGTCGTAGTACTGCTGGGCCATGGTTCAAGGGTTGGGCTGTGTAAACGGATGGATTGTCCTTGGACTAAACAGCGGCACAAACCCGCGATTCTATTTCAAGCCGAGGTTAAAAAGTGGCAAATGTCCTCTTTTGTTTGATGGGTCCCTTCGTGTTTTGTTTGATGTCCAACAAACCTAGCAATAACCGCCCAATTGATTGATTCCTCGTGTGTATTTTTAACTGCCAAATCGTATCAGTCACCTAACGGCACCTGCGCTAACAAAATTAGGGTTTCTGGGACGGCGGAGTCGAGCCTGAAATTGGGACACGATATGAAGAAAATTCGGTAGATTCAAGTTGAAGGATTTGTCCCTGAATCGGTCTGCAGTAGTATCAACTGATTGTAGAAGTGTCTCTTGTTGAAGTCCTTGTCTAAGTCTTGTTCAGATGGTTCTGAGGCGGACAAAAGCCAAATCAGCGGCTGGGAATCAGGAGAGAGCAATTTAGTCAGGGGCTAGAGGAGAAGCCGGATATTTGACCTTGCTCCAAACACTTTGAGCCTAACTAACAATAGCACGTTAATAAAAGCGCCTTGTTTCACGAAAGAAACCAGTATAATACACCAGTAGGGTCCCTATTTCAGGCCTGATCAGATTGAAAGTTCGGCAAGCTGGGACGGCCGAAAACGGGTCAGACTGTGCACGACTTGGGGCAATGCCAGCCTTTGCATCACCAACTTTGGAGGAGGCAGAGAGGGGCCTTCCCTTGTCAAGTCCGATTCCGGTAAAGTCGGTTGTTTGAATATACGATTTTTGTATATTTTGTGTGAGACTTGATTGAGGCTACTCGTGTGCAATGCCAGTATGTATTAAAATTTGAAGGATTGGTTGGATTGAATGACTAACATTTTCAGGCATATCACTCTACCTTTTTGGCAGAAGATGCTTCTGATACTAGGGTGGTTGGAAACTTTGCCATTTTCCCAATAAAGACACAGTTCAGAGGCCCCTCGTATCCATGCCATTCTGACTACGACATCATTGACGAGTGTCTTGATCTATTCCGCGCCAATTCGTTTTTCAAGAACTTTGAAATCAAGGGCCCTGCCGATCGTGCCTTGATCTATGGTATCCTGTTTATTTCCAACTGTCTTTCTTTGCTGAACTCCAGAACTACTGAGCATGATGCTACGCGTACCCTGAATAACTTGTCGCTGGACAATTTTTCGATTCCGGGTGACATCGGCTTCCCATTGAACTCGCTCTACCAGTCACCCAACGGTAAGTTGGAGTCCGACTTGTTGAGAAGTTATCTCCAGCAATTCAGACAGGAGCTTTCAGCCCGTTTGATCGAGAGAATTTACAGAGACGACAAGACCAAGCCTAGCAAGTACTGGTTGGCATTCACGAGAAGAAGGTTCATGAACAAGAGCTTATAGTCGGGTCTAAAGTGCTCATATTTACAGGTTATAAACGAACAAACAAAACAAGACGGGCAGGCTCTACCACCTCCGAAACTTATCATAAAACTCTTCCCTGCTGGATCTCAGCTCCTTGGCGTACTGCTGCCTCTTATCGTCGTTAGCAAGGTCCTCGTAACAGCTGTAATATTTGTGGAACAAGGTGTCTGCTCTTCGTCTAATTTCAACCTTCTCCTCAAGAGTACCCACAGCAGGATAGTCAAACATATACATGGCCTCTCCCTGGAACTTGATGCAATCCTGGTAGAAGTTGTTCTTGACATTGCACACAGTGAACTTGTCCACAAATGATCCACTCGATAAGCAATTCAGAAAGTCGGCCTGAAGGTCGGCACAGTTCTCAACCGAAGCGTAGTGGATCGGGTATTTCCGGTTATACTCCTCAAACTCTCTCATCTTCTTCAGCTCCTCCTGCGATAGATGTTCTGTGGGTTGGTACACCATCGGCACATACTGAGAAGCGGCCACACTGGGCTCGCTGGCTTCTTCTTGTTTGTCACTCTTCATTACCTGTTCAGGGGTTATCGGTTGCTGATAGTTCTGCACATGCGGATCCTCCAACTTTAGTCTCTCTTTGAACTCTCTGTCGCTTATGGCAGAATCGTCCTGCGTCTTGAGAAAGTCTCTCAGGTCACTAGGAAGCGAGCGCTCCAGCTCCTTTCTGGCATCTAATTCACCAGAAATCTTCCCCTTTGATCCAAATGGCCACACCATGTCGTTTTTTTCTGGGTTTTTAGCAGTTGATAGTGAGCAAATCGAGTGTTAAAGTGGTTGACAATTGCTAGCCCACGCTCTTGCAGGCAAAGCATCTTTGTAGAGATTTTGGCAGTACACGTCGTAATTTTCAGATAACTATTTCAATGCTGAAATTTCTGGATAATATACAAAATATAACCAAGAAACTAATAATTTCTTGTGTATCGAACTGTCCGGTTGATCATTGTAGTGGCCTCCCTATTTCATCTGTGGGAGATCCGTCAGCTCCATTCCATGACTGGTCTCTGTTGGGCCAAGCAGCTTGATGTATTCAGTCTCCACCTTGATGAAGACCCAAACCCACCGTCTTAGGATCTCCATTGTTTCTATTATGAAATACCCGTATTCTGAAGTAAACAACATGGCCAGTGTCGCATGAATTTGACCGGATCCTTCAACCGGGGTGGGCAACAAGCGGCAAAGCCAGATGTATCTCAGCCCGAAATCAACAGCAATGGCTCCGTAGTAGAAGAACTTGACATCGTACATCAAGACATTTCTCAAAACGGCTTTGCTGGTGTTTCCCTCCAAGAGATTGTAAAGTATCTCAAAATTCCAGTCCATGGAGATATCCCAGATGAACGAGTAGGAAGCGTTGATGAGACTTCCCATACACCACATCTTCATTCCGTACTTCCATCTGGTCTCGTCGTCCTGCGGAATGGTCTTCATGTAGACGGTTGCCAGAGCAGGCAAGAACGCAGTGGAGTACTTGACGGCATTCAGCAGATGCGATGTGTTTCTCTTGCGTGAGAGCTGGTATTCGATGAGACACTGGCGTAGTCTCACAGCTGAAGGATATATCAAGAACAGAATGTCCAGGTGGTAATTCGTGGCAAACGATCTGTCGAGGTTTTTTGAGTTTGTGGATATTTCAGGCAATGCCTTGACACCTCCGAACAGGTGCGTGAGGTAAACGAAAAAGTCCACCAATACCCTGTTGTAGGAGGTGAGAGTATCAGCCAGTAAAATGTCATTATTCCTGAGATTTGTATCTATGTTTCCGACGACGACCCTCTTGATCGTGAGAAAAAGTCTTTTCCTGTCGAAAGTATCGTGTGGCCATAGTAGCATGGCAAACAGCAGCAGAAGTCCACCCAGAGGAAACCAATCAATGATCTTCCACGTGACGTTGTTCAGCGTCATGAACACGAAAACCGCATAGTTTACGACCGTGAACACAGTGATCTTCATTGAGAGTTTCCAGCACCTTTTCAACAATGTATTTACACGGAAGTCTGGGACCACGGCCTGTGGGAACTTGAGCACCTTAACCACGTCAATGTTGTGGTCCTCACATGCTTTGAGGTTCAGGCACCAAAGCCAGATTCCAAGGTTCACAAGAAACAGAATTCGGTAGGGCAGTGGCAAGAATAGATCAAAGAACCCTAAGAATGCCTCGGCCGACCCTGGCTCTGCTTGTTGTGATTCCGGAGTAGTGGTTCCATCCGCCGGTATCAGCGTGTCCAGAAGTTCATTTCCGTCCTCACGTTTCAAAAAATTCATTAGCCATCTGATATTTCCAGTATTGGGAAAACTCAGATGTAGTGTTGTTGTGGGAGGAGAAAGAGAAAGAGATCGTCGTAAAGGGGATGGCTTAAAGTAGTGTGAGCTGGTGTTTTCTGTTTAATTACCCAGGGCTTGATGATGGCACGTTTCCGAACGCTCTTCAGCCACCAGCCACCACCTTTCCGGTTGACGGAAATCGAGACTGTCGAAGCTGTTGATGGTGGTTTCTTATTTTATAAAGATTTGGGTATCTTATAGCGTAAAAAGGTTTAGGAAGATATTGTTTAGTATGGGGGCTTTATGCATTGGTACCGCTAATCTGGGAACCCAGCAGCGCCCAGTCCCTTCTGCCTCAACAAGACTTTGATGTGCTTCAGACGCAGCCCCCGTAATCGGAAGACCGCGATTTAAAAAGGTTTAATCATTGAATTCATGATTAGCATAGAAACATCATAAGCACAAGCCATGTAGAGAAGGGAGAGAAAGGAGAGAAAGGTCGCCGACTGCAGTATATACAACGCAAAAAATGGTTAAAAATGGTTTTTATTGATGTCAGCGTTGCAAAGACAGTGACTATGGTATTCTATAAACATAACAGTTCGGTTAGCATTGACATTCCGTTGGGGTCTAAAATCAGCGCTTCCAGCAAACTTTTCATCCTCTGTTCCTCTTTTTCTCAAAGCAATGGTTATCAGAATTTTCAGTGTGTTTGGCTATTGAATCGAATCGGTCATTATAGTTCCGTTTGGGGCGACAGCTTGTCATCATAAGAATTGCTTTGGAAAGGTGTTCATCCATTCCAGAAGGAAAAGAAGAGAGGTCAAGAAAGAAAGATTGAGAAGATAGTTTTTTTCGGTGGACAAAAATACTCACTAGTTATGTATAATATGAGCTCAATCATTCAGACAAAGATGTGGCTATGAAACCATAGCCATGACTTTGCAAGAACGAGAGCTTACAGAAGAAAGAAAAAGTACTGAAAGTTGGTTGAAGTGAAAAAAAAAAATTGAATAACGTCGAGGTGTGTTATAACCAATTTCCGGATCGGGACGCGCAGAAAGTATCCTCGTTTGACGCGGGGGACTGGGATCAAGCGAATAGCCATGTCTAACTGTGAAAACTAAAAACTGGAGCGAACTCCAATTTGCTTAAACTAAAGAAGATTACGCTAAACACGGACAATCAAACTGAAAAAGGAAGAAAAAAAGATTATGGTCACCGGACCAATTATTTGCCTGCGGCTGACTTGATGGAAGTCACGGCAGCCAGGTTGCGGTCGTCAGAAAGACCAGTGGGTCCTGCATTGTCGCTGTTTTTCTTGTCTTCCAAAGCCTCTCTGATAATTCTCTCATTCTCCATATCAATGTGAAGGTTTCTGTAGTGGTACAAGAAGACAAAAGCACTGATAAAACCAGCAATGCCAATGGCAACGAAAGGCCAGATCAAGTGGGGGTCGTTCAGAGCAGGTGTGATAGCCTCACCAAGAGCAGAAGAAAGAGCCATGGTGAACAGGTTGATGGCCATGACCAAACTCTTCATTTGAGGAGGAGCTCTGGTGTAGGCCAACTCATAACTGGTGGTCATGACAAAACATTCACTCACACCGGACAAAATGTACACAGACACCTCTTGCCATGCAGTGATAGGAGAAGTCTCATCACAAGTAGTGGCATAGTAACCACAAGGAGAGGTGGTGTAAATCTTCCATTGGATAATGGCACCGGCAACCTGAGACAGGGCACCGAAAATAAAACCAACTGCGATTCTGTAAACTGGCTTGAAGTCAAGCTTGTACTTTCTCAAAAGTGGATACAGGACGTAGTCCAAAAATGGAATGAAGATAATGATAGCCAAAGGATTGAAGTTGTTGAACAAATCGTTTGGAACACCAGCAGTATCCATGGAACCGGCCTGAGATGTTTCCACCGAACCGATACCGGAATCACACAAGTTGTAGATTGGTAAGTACAGGAAAATCTTGCATGCATTAACGGTTTGTTTGACATCCAAAACCCACTGGTCATCCCAGGTGATGAGAGATTGAGTCTTTTCCTTGTAGAACTTCTCACCTCTCTCCAACATCTTGGATGGTTTAGCATAGTCCCAGAACTCGTTGGCCAAGTATCTCTTGATCCAGCCTTTTCTGTAAGCAACACGGAAGATTTTCTTTGCAGTGGTCAAGATGGAGCCTCTGATCTGCTCCTTCACCAGTTTGGGCTGAACGTAGAAAAGAACAATTGGCAGGAACAGGTACATGATCATGGGGACGAAGAATGCAAGCCAATAACCAACGTCACGAGCACAGTAGGACGTTGCCAGTTGGAAGAAAGCACCAATGTTGATGGCCCAGTAGAACACCAAGGTCATCCTCTCAAAAGACTTGGCTCTGTCGACAATCACCTTCTCTCCAGATGGCAGAACTCTAACCATGTCGGTCTCATATGGATATTGGTCCATAAGCAATGGCAGCAAGTTTGGCTTGATAAAACCGGTACCGATAGCCAGAGTCAGAATAGCAAGAATGGTTGGAGCAATAGCGGCCCCACCAGTGAGTACAGAAGGAATGGCAGCAATGATAAACAGAACATGCGAGATGAAACCACCACCTACACCAATCCAGATGGCCTTGAGTCTACCGATCTTGGTATCTGCAACATAACCACCGAACAGAGGAACAACATAAGCCATAAATGTAAGCAACAGAGTCAAACCGTTCGAAGCTTGCAGACCCCTTCCAAGCCCACCAGCACTCTCACTCGAGTGTCTGTCAAGTGGGGCACCAGTAGTAGAACCTGCAGGCAAAGGACGCTGGATGAAGTTGTAGAGCAAACCCTGAACGGAATAGTAAGAGGCTCTTTCTGCTAGTTCAATAAGACAGATCAGATAAGTAGAGTACTTAGCCCTTCCCAAGATTCTTCTCAGACTGGAAGCCTCCTGTTGAGTTGGCTTTCTGAGACCTTGGGGGTTGTACTCATCTACAAACCAGGTGCTGTAATTGTTTGGATCGTTATAGTCGTAGCCGTCACTAAGGCTAACGATAGAATAGCCCTCACCGGTTGGTGTTTGGGCCTTCTCGTTGAGGATTTTTGCATCGGTCTCAACGTCAGACATGCTTTGAGAGTTACTGGATCTAATCAAATAGGCGACAACAGATATCCAACGATGGAAATGAGAGCCATTTTATTTTACAATGAAAATTGCCGATAGCCGTGATTAGGCAAGTCGACGATTTCACTATCTCTTGCGGTTATTGTCTAATCTCTCCAATTTGCAGAGCAATCGGCAATCATAGTGGGCCTGGAGGTTTGAAGCCGTGTGCGGCAGCCATGTCAGGAGGTGGCCATCCTGCAAGCAGATGAGAGCATGGAAATAGCATGCAAGACTTGCAGGAAATCTACAAAGAGAAATAAAAAGCGAACCGGGAGTGGTGCTGTTGAAGATACAGATTCACGATCACACCATTACAGAATTAGTTACCATGAGATCAAAATTCGTGGAAATAGTAGTGTGATTAATTTTTCAGAATCACTCTCACGATTGCTTACTACTCGGTAATATGCATGCCGCGAAGCCTGATTAAAAGAAATTCTGAAATTTCTCTCTGTGCAGCAGGAAAGCCGAAGGATGCAGTAGTGTTGTTTTAAAAAGCAAGTGTACTCCAAGGTGCACATCATGCGCTCGAATCGGGTCTACGGGGAGGTAAAAAAAGGAGATCTGCAGGACTCCAAAGTCGAAACAGAAATTATTCCAGCCTACCCGATCAGAGGATGCATCTTGGGTATCAAGGGTATGGGCGTTTGGAATAGGTAACTTGTTCGGATAGGAAGATTAGAAAAATGGGCGTTCTGCGTTTTTCAGATTAGACGCAAGATCAACCTATGGGAGTCACGCATCCGGAGATAATACATATATCCATTTGGCAATCGTCAACGTTTGGAAATTGGACCTGTTCTCAAACGGCGCATCAGGTGGAGAACCTCGCCTGAAAAACTGGTGCAACGGCCTACATGATAATTTGGAGTAGCACGCATAATAATTTTTTTCAGGTTGGAGGCCTCGAGAATGCGTAACGGTCTAGTGAGTCGCAAACTTAGACAAAGTCAATCGAAGGAGCCGCGCAGTTTCATTGACTATTGCCTTAAAAGGGTGCGACAGACGAATCATGCGGACTTAAATTGAGCTAAATGCGAAAGGCGATCTGAACATGGTGGCCCGCAAAAAAAAAATACAATGAAATGCGAACTGAAATAAATCTAAACAATGTAAATCGCATCAGCCAGTAATATTATTTTGATTACGATCAAGTATCAGCTCAGAGAATACTGATTTCACGGCATGGTAAATTTTTCAGCGATGCTCGAGCCATTTGACGTAATGCATATTTCGGTTCTTCCGAGTTTGGTTTAACTTTCCCAATATGTCCCCCTTGCAGTTTTTTAAGCAGTTATTTTTGTGTGTTCCGGCGGATGAGCATTCCGCCGGGACGCTCGTGCGGCAAAGATCGATGGCCATTTGATGGAACGGCTTCGGTAATGCCTTATGGTTTTTCATTACACACAGACTCGAAGGATCTGGACCGCTAGTATCCACAATTTATTGTCAAACTGTGGTTCTTACACCAAGCTGTTGTGACGGGAGCCCTGGATTTTGTTGAAGTGAAAAATCTTAAAATACAATTTAATAACGATAACAGCAACATAATGAAATCGGGAGAGCGAAAAGGATTACTAACCACCACGGAGTACGGCTGTTAGGTTCTCTTCTCCCACTGCAGCATCTATCCAAAACGGGATTCTCCGATGCAATTTCTGTCGACCCATGCCGAGTTTATACGGAGCAAAGCTTGTTTCTGTTGACTGCGTTCCGGTGAGTCTATACTCCGAAACGTCCCCGGATAAGGACTTCCGGGTTTCGTGTGTGCACCACGTTCACGCGTTGGTAGTGCGCGCTACCTGATTTGCGCCTCTGATATCATTCCTAAATCTAATAGTCCAACTGTACGAACGTCATCTCCATCTGGATCTCCAAAGTGGTTATGCAAGCCTCAGAAGAGGTGCAGGAAGCTGCAATATTGTCGCCGGTTCCACCAGCTGCAGCTGATGGGTCTTCTGTGCCGAATACCCTCAAGCCAGCAATCGTACGATTTGACGCTACGAGCGGCTCAAAGTTCACCTGGAAAAACCTACTGGACCTTTCAAGAGTCAGCTCTTCCTACAGTTCTCCTCTTGCAGTTATTGCCCATGTGGATGTGAATGCGTTCTTTGCCCAGGCTGAACAAATTAGACTGGGACTATCTCCAGAGGACCCGGTAGTCTGTGTGCAATGGACTTCGCTGATTGCTGTATCGTATGCGGCGAGAAAATATGGCATCGGTAGGATGGATACGCTTGCATCTGCGAAGCAGAAATGTCCCAACTTGATACCTGCTCACACTGCAGTTTTCAAGAAGGGTGAGCTCAATTGGTCTTACGTCGATGGTCTCCCCAGCGCTGCCGAACATAAGGTCTCTCTCGATCCATACCGTCGAGAAAGTCGCAAGATGATGCGAATATTCAGAAGCTTCTGTGATCATGTTGAGAAAGCAAGTGTGGATGAAAGTTTTCTGGATTTGGGGAGGCTGGTATTCAGTAGGATGCTTGAGTTGTTTCCTGCGTTGAGAGTTTGTGAAACCGAGGAGGTTGAGCTCAACGGCCGGTTGCCCGATTTGCCAGAGACTATGCCTGAGGAAATTGCGTTATGGAAAGGTTTTGTCGTGGACTCTAATACGGATGACGAACCAGGATCACCACTCATACGGGACTGGGACGATGTCGTGAGCCTGATAGGCTCCCATCTGGCCGACCAAATCAGGCATAGGATACACGACGAGTTGGGCTATTTCACTTCATGTGGAATAGGGAGGGTAAAAACAGTTGCTAAGCTTGCGAGTGGGTTCAAAAAACCGGATAACCAGACGATCGTGAGAAACTCGGCAATTCCGATATTTTTCAAAGACTTCCGTCTCACGGACTTTTGGGGTATGGGTGGAAAGACCGGCGAGTACATCGAGCAGAGGCTGAATGTGCCCCAGGAGGATTCTATTGAGTTCATACGAAGACTCTTTTCGCTTGAAGAGCTCACTGATAAGCTTCCTGAGCAAGGCGAGAAAGTCTACCAACTAGTGCGAGGTGAATTTGCTACTCCATTGACTTTGCGCACAGACATCAAGGCCATGGGAACTTCGAAAAACTTCCGCGGGGAATCTGTCACCAGTGTCAAGGGTCTCTATGACTGGTTCAAAGTGTATGCAGCGGATTTAGCTCACAGGTTAAATGATTTGGACGAAGAGGATGGCATACTGAATGCAAACCGCTCAAACAGGTCTGTGAGAAGACCGAAGACAATAACGGTTCATTTTTACCAAAAAAATGGTGCCAAGTCCAGACAGTGTCCTTTTCCTCAGCTACCTTCAATTGGAAAGATACGAGAACTGATTTACATCAATGGCTGTAAGCTTCTTGAACAGCTTGAGGAGAACTGGAATGAGACTATTGATGGACCCATGTTCCCCTGCTTGAACTGTTCGCTTGGTCTCTCCTCGTTTTCCAATATAATGGTAACCAAATCGATTGACGAGTTCATGTCCAAGGGAACTCTCGAGGAGGCGTTCCCGGCCAAGTCTGAGATTGTCATACCAGACCAAAGCGTTGCCTCATCTGTGACACCTCCGCGCACTCCTATTCTAGAGTCAGGTGGTTGGTACTGTGAGAAGTGCAAGAAGGAGTTCCCCGAGTCTATGGAAGCTGAACATCGAGACTGGCATGTAGCGTCTGATATGGCCCAAGAGATCTTAGAGCAGGAAGGAAGACGACAGCTTTCGTATGCAGAGATGCTTCTGGAGAAACGTCACAACCAAAAGGCGCAAAATCGGTCGGTATCGCCGGTTCCACGGATTACAAAGAAACCAACGAAGAAAACCAAAACCAATAAGAAGGTATTTGACGCTAACCAGTCCACTCTACCGTTTTCATAGCCGTCAACACCGAGATACCCAATAATGAATTCGAATTATCACTAATAATAACTATTAAAATACAGTTTTTGTATGCTTGGTCGCTGCCTTAATTCTTATCTTTTCTTAGAATCCACCTTAGCAGCATCAACAGCGGAGAAGGAGACTCTGGAGGACCGTTTGCTGGTAGATCTGAGATTATAGTGCTCTGGTTCCGATGGGGTGTTCGGCTTCTCCGATTCGATAGCATCTGGAGAACTCACCGGCTCCAACTTCTCAGTCTTTGGCTTGACCCTAGGTAACGATGGGGTTGGAGTCGAGCTTTTGCTTCCGTCTCCTCCAGAAGGGGACGAGACCTCTTCTTCAGGCGGAATTATAGTCACTCTCCTTATTCCAACCCCGCCTCTGGACTTTCTGCGTCCCCTGTTAAACCTGGACTTGATGGGCTTTCCAGCTTCAATATCGACATTTGGGTTCTCATGCCTCTCCATTGCAGATTTGAGGTACTCGTCAACGTCCAAATTTAGCTTTTTGGCCTCCTGGAGCACGTTTTTAGTGTCTTCTATGGTTTTCCTGAGCTTCTCGCCCTCTTGTCTGTCAGCCTCTGTGATCTCCTCTTCATCCTCGAAAAGATGAGGGTTTTCAACGCCAGTGGTAACATCTGTGAGCAGTTCTTCGAACTTGCCATCGCCTTTCAACATGTTTTGGAATTTGAGCTTCAGGTGTTCTGCTGTCCTTGGGATCTTGGAGGCCAGGCCTCCCTTTTTGGCCTTACGTTTCAACGGGTTGTTGCTCCCCACCGAGGAAGCGGTTGATACATCACCAAGGTCTGGGGTTGGAGTTGAGGGTTCAGCATCGCCACTGGACGTGGTGACCGTGCTCTGCGCGGAAACTGGCGCCGGTGGCAGCGGGTTGTCAAAATGTATCTGAGGCCTGGCCAAATTCTTGTTGGGGTCCAAATTATCTGCACGAAGTTGAACGACCGTTTCCATTCCATCTTTGTCCTGCTCTTCGTCTGGCAGAATCTCACCGCAGATCAACGCCGCGTTATCCTGTGATGTAAACTCCCGTCCATGGGCTATACGACAGTGGTTCAAAAACCCTTGGGCACTAGAAAAGTTGGACCTCTGACAATTGATACAGGTCAATTTCACCAACACTCCGTCAGATCTCCTATATATGCATTCGTTTGCGTGCGAAAGTTTTGCTCCTGAAGGCCTCAATGATGACGTTTGCGATCTCGTTCTGTACGTAGACTCGAGCGAGTTATCAAACGCAAAGTCACCAGTAGGCTCATAGCCTGGAATTGCCTGTATGCTTTTCCGCGTCTCGTCGTACTTTGTTAGTAGGCCTGAGTACTTCTCGGTGAAGTCCGTAGGCTCTTGCTCCAGTTTATCAGTGGGTTGAATGGCATAGTGGTTTCTCAGGGCAATCATCTGGGCCTCACATTTGTTGATTTCTTCGTCAATCATAGCCAGCTCTCTATGTTTCAGCAAAATTTCCAGACTGAATTCATTTTCAATGAGGTCTTTCAATCTTCGCAGAACCTCCTCTTTCGATGGGATTTTCGGCTGTTCCTTTTCGGGCTCGTCTTGTATCTCACGAGGCGTAAGTACGAGATCCTCATCGCTGGAGACATGCGTACTGGACGCTTCACCCAACTCGTCTCCATCAAGCTGAGACTTTGAGGGCTCCGAAAATGTGGACTTTGCTGTCCTTCCAGAGCTTTCCTCGTCTCCAGAAAGCGGAGACCTCACACTTTCATCGGCAAAAGGCGCAAACTGCGAGAGAGACCGCTGGGCCTTTCTCATTGCATGAGCCATTGTGGAAAATATAGTGAAAGCAGCCTTCTGAATCGCCAGATATATTCCAGCGAATCAGATAGCAAGATATCAGAGATCGGTGTTCAAAAGAGAATAGGAAGAAAATCCGGGAACCTTTCGCTATCTGTCATGATCATGTGGCCCCAAGAGCTTATCCGGGCCGGGTAACCCCAGATTCGGCTGGTTTACCCCAGTTCTGATTTCGGTCATTTTCACTTGAACCTTTTCAGATATCGATGAATTTTGAAGTAGTACTGCAAGTTCATAAATTTTTTGCATTTTTAGAGTTCTTGATTTGAAAGGGAATTGTTTATTTGGTGAAAGAATATTGGGTTGGTGGTCAATTGGGTGAACACTAGGTCTTTACTGATTTGGAGACTTTTTTGAAAAAAACTGAAAATGTCCTCAATTGGATACCTCACCCAACAACGCTATATTCTCGACTTTTGGCTCTTATAACGTTCAAATTTGATAAAGCTCATTCGACCCTCATGAACTACTGTTTAAGTAAACGAACATTACATTGCAAACTGTCTCATTACTCTATATCACCTCTCAAACCGCATGGACTCTCTTTTGATAACCTTATCGTCAAAATTTATCACAAAGACAGTCTTCAAAGGCAACCCCGGCTCAGGAAAAGAATGTGCACTAACATTGGCCTGGAAATAGGCAGAATCAAGAATGCCCTCCACTATACCTGCCACGAACGCTGCACAGTTCAAGTGTTGAAACTCCTTTGGAACCGATATGTATTTCGAAATCAGAGGAAGATTGTCAGTTATCATATATTGGTTTGCCAGATCCTGTGATTTCTCAAGCTTGTCTGCCATTTTGCCAAAGAGCCCTTTCCACACCGAACTGTTGATAAACTGCAATATCTCCAGAATCCTCACTTCCCTCTTGGTGGCATGTGATTTGCTCGAGGAACTAATATTTCCACTAGCAAAGTTCTCCCTCAAGCTTGTCAGTTCAAGATATTTGATTCCAATAGAGTATCCTAGATTATTGAGCCTGCTCTCCAACTGCTGTACTCCTCTCGATTTCGAGTCACACCACGAAACAATCTCACCGAATAAATAGCACAAGGATGATAGACTTATGTCATGCTTAGCCCTGTGTAGGTTTTTGTCGAAAATGCTGGAATGCGCGCCTCCCGATGCCGAAAATTGGCGTTTGAGAGAAGACGTAGAGGTCGCCAACTGTTGGACCTGTGGCCCAGTAGATTGTGGTCCCACCGCAGGATCATATCCAACACCTGATACCAGCAGCCTTGAGGAAGACATTCAAATGTGCGATGGATCGAAGAAAAAGGTAGGTAAAACAACACCAATTGCCTGAAGTTGCGTATCCCAATCTGGCTCTATCAATGAGGTCAAACCCTGAGGGAAACCAAGCAGCGTGTCCTGACTAAAACTGGAGACTCCAGCCAGGACTTTTCAGTGAATCGTTTGGACGGGGTAAGCACTCTGTTAAGCTTGCAAATATTAAGAGACATTTGTTTTCTTTGTCGATTTTCGAAGGGTTTTGTCTTCCGTGAGCATAAAGAGGTAATTGGAAGATGGCAATCACGATACGTCAGGCCACCATCGAAGACATGGAAGGCATGCAAAATGCCAACCTCAACAACTTGCCAGAGAACTACACGTTCAAGTTGTACATGTACCATATCTTAACCTGGCCGCAGGCGTCCTTTGTTGCAACGACCTCTGGGTCCGACTTGGTGGAAGCTGAAGACGAAGACTACAAACAAGATCCTAAGCAGGACGCCCAGTATGTGAGGAGGAACGAAAAGATTGTCGGATACGTCCTGGGAAAAATGGACGACGAGCCCGATGGAGACAAGACTCCCCATGGCCATGTGACATCGCTATCAGTCATGCGGACGTACAGAAGAATGGGATTAGCCGAGAAGCTCATGAGACAGTGTCTGTATTCGCTAGCTGAAAACTACTTGGGAGAGTACGTTTCGCTTCACGTGAGGAAGTCCAATAGAGCTGCGTTACACCTGTATAAAGACACACTGCAATTTGAGGTTCTGAGTGTTGAAAAATCTTATTATCAAGATGGAGAGGATGCCTACTACATGAAGAAGGTGCTGGTGTTAGAGGACCTCGTACCAAGCAAGTTCCAGAAAGCAGAGGAGACGGACGACTTGTCCAAGGATTTATTAGAGGATATCTTGCCTGAGGAAGTTTGAGGGGAATTTGAAGCATACGAAGCGATGTAAACTTACGTTTAATTAGCATTGAACTAGAAAAGATATGAAGCTGTTGAATTAAAGATCTTAGCAAGAGTACGTAAGTTAACTAATGATTCGGACTAAAGTGCCAACCGGTTAGTATTGCAATCCTTGAGATTCTCAAAGTCGCTTGAGAACAGTCACAATATTCTTGCAAAGTTCAATAAGGTATCAGACAAAAAAAATAAGGTAGCTTGGGTTTTTCCACATCGACAAAATATCTCGAGCCAAATGCACTCTTGTCATCATTATAATTGAACTTTGAGCTGAATAATCGTGTAGGTAATAAATAAACATACTCAGAAACAACAACAAATTCATATCATAGTCCTTTTTCCGGGTGAAAAGGTTGAATTTGGGAAGAAAGTGGGTGAGAGTCGAGGAAGAAAAAAAATCTGATGCTGAAAAGCTCTAGTTGGGTGGAGGGACCCGGGCTCAAAACTATTTTTTGGGTAGGGCTAGCATTAGGATTCCTCGGTCACCTTGGGCTTTACTACGTGATGGACAAGTTTGATTTGCGGCTTTTCTTGTATGATAAAATGGAAACACCCTTTAGTACTCCTCCTTGCGGTAGGTAACTTTGTCAACCTTGACATCTCCGTCGATGTAGGTGTAAAGATATAGCGTGCACACAGAGCCCTGGATGTCCAAGAGGCAGAAACTTGGAATTTGATCGAGATAATCTTCGATATCCGCCGTGCTCAAAGGCTTCTCACCTTCTTCTTTTTCTCCATCTATAGTAGGCTCGGGCAAAGGTGGCTGCTCATTCACCGGTGTTGGTTCTTCTGACTCTGGTTCTTTTGACTCCTCCTTCACATCGGCATTTTCCTTCGGGCCCTCATCGTCCGGCTTGGTATTCTCAGTTTTTGGCTTCTCATCTTTTGGTTCCGTTATGGCAGCCTTAGCTTCGGCCAATATAGAAGCAATTGCCTCCAATTCCTCGTTGTCAGGAGGACTCGTGCTAAATGCACCCGTGGCACTGCCTGGATTTATGAAGAATTTCCCATCTAACGTGTAAGCCTCCACTCGATGCGTGCCTCCAGAGATCAGAATGTCTGCATCCATCAGTCTAGCCTGTGTGAGCAGACTTAACGGATCACCATGCGGAATGATACTGAAACCATTCACTATACCCACCTTTAGTTTATCGTAAGTGAAAGTTGCACTCAACGGCAATGACAAGTCATGATCAAACTCCCCCTTCACAATTTGAAGATCTGACGATATTGAACGTAAAAATTCCAGCGTGGAGTAGGATTGTGATACATTGCCCAGGCACAGTACCTGCTGTATCTTCCCCGTTGGAGACAGCAGCTTCTTGAACTTGGCGGGCAAATCCACCGCTCGCTCGGGTATATGGAAATCACCAATAGCTAGAATCAACATCCCAGACAATTGATGTTTGGTTCAATTGAGGATGACTTCAGGACCAAAGTGCTGGATAAGAAATACAAGTCCCCCGATTTGCGTGCGCCTTACTGTGTGTATGATGGTTTGGATACCTGCCCCGTTTTTTAACCTTTAGCACTACTTTCTTTGCGAGGAAATCTCCAACGGCTGTAACAGGTAGACTACACTGGATGAACCTTAAAAGTGTATATTTTATTCAAATTTTGCTATTTGCGGACGAATAATCAATTCGCAGGGAATTCAGTCTCATCTATAAGGGAGAGCGTACCGTGACGTGTAGTTCTGGGATCCGTAGATATCCATCATTTCTTATCCTTAGCAGCGGCGTCGGCAGCAGCGGCTACTGTAGCAGGCGTAGATTTAGGCAAGAACTTGGGAATTGTCACACCACCAACAACCGTGAGAATTGTTGCAATGGCAAGCTGCAGAGAGTTAGTATAACTGGAGGATGATGGTTTTGAGAGTCATGATGGACAGATCGGTGTATACCCTCAATCGCAATCCTGATATAGAGTAAAACTGCAACATACAACGTGTGGTGGGACTGATTTTCCGAAGATGATGTAATTGGCACTCATTGTAACTGATATGGCTTGCCTCAATTGAAACAAATGAACGAGGTGTATGGAAATGGTTCAGCTGTACTCCCCGGCAGGATTCCACGATGCTCATTGGCAGAATGATGACATAATCACACTGGTACACTACCCCATGGAATTTTCCAGCTGAAAATGCTCGATGAAGATGGATGATAAATCCGTGTTCTACTAAGACTACACACTTAATAACCTCCCCACCTTTGAAATGGTAAGTCCATTTGTTTGAAGAGATATCTGAATATCGCTCCGAGATTTGCTAACATGTCTCAGTCCCTTTTGAAAAGCATCAAGTCTGTTGTTCCCCTCTTTGATAGAGTTCTGGTTCAGAGAGCCAAGGCCGAGGCCAAGACTGCCTCCGGTATCTACATTCCAGAGAAGAACCAGGAGAAGCTGAACATTGGTACTGTTTTGGCAACTGGCCCAGGTCTTCAGGATGCCAACGGTAACACCGTTGCCGTCAGCGTCAAGGCTGGTGACAAGGTTTTGATCCCACCTTTTGGTGGTTCCCCAGTCAAGGTTGACCAGGAGGAATACCTTTTGTTCCGCGATGCCGAGATCCTTGCCAAGATTGAACAATAAACAGCTCTGAATTCCTGAACCGGATCAGCTCGTGATCAGCTTGTAAATATTGTTTTTAACGGTTTTAGTGCGAATCAGAGAAGAAAATTGTCTTACTTAATCGATGTAGGCTCAATTTAGAGCTGTAGCCTGTCTCCAGTAATTATCCAAATGATATCTGCCCAGCAAAGCTAGAGCTGACTCGTGGTCTTCAACATTTTGCACAGTCCATTTGTGAAAGTGCAAGTTGGCCAGCTCTCCTTCCCAGACGATTTGACAATTATTATCGGATAAGTCTTCCAGTACCTGAGTGTCATCGTGCACAGGACTCTGTTGGGAATCATCCTTGGGGGCTCGAGGCTTTGCAGCTTCATTTTCTGTCCAGTTAATTCTTCTCGTCATCAGCTTTTTATACTGATTTACGGCCTTTTTTCCGCCTTCTGTAACCACCAATGAGAAGCTGTCTTTCAGACAGATGACCATACCATTCAGCTCCAGTTGCTTAGCGTTGATATCCACCTTGTAGTAATGCTTTGGGTTGACCAGACGATCAATTTTGTAGACGCAGGAGACGACTCCGCTTTGAAGGTCCGCTATATTCTTGAGAGTCTGCTTTTCGTGTCTTTGTTCAGGTGTAAGCTTTCTCTCTTCGTTAGTTTGCTCGTGGACTCTTTTCCTTTCGGCGACCTCGGCCTTCACTCTCATCTCGACAGCTGTGGGGTTCTTGATGGCATCGTTAGTGAGCACGTTCATGAGATTTTTCAGCTTCACCTTGGGAGCAGGGGCAGGATCCAGTCCCAAACGGATGCGGTCCTGCTTTTCTTGGTGTTTCAAAGATCTTTCATTCCTTCTGATTCTCTTCAACTCAATTTTCGTTAAAAAGAGGGGTTTGGGAGGAGGTATATGTTTTTCCCAGGGAGCTTGCACTGGGACTGGATGCTGTATATACACGGTGATGGGACAGTCATCGCTGGTCAGGTCAGTATATGTCAGTTTCTCAGGATCATCCAAATGATCGTAGTTCCTCTCTTTCAAATAAGGTCTGTCCCACCATTCAGTGGCAGGAGGGTCCTGCACTCGGTAATACTGTTCTCCTATGGTTTCGTCTGGAGCCAATCCTTGGTCCTTCTTGCGCAATTCAAGTTCCTTCAGTTCTTTCTCTTCCCTAATCTTCTCTCTCAGCTCCTCAGCCTTGTGAATATACTTTCCCGGAGCATTGAAGGCCAGAGATCTGTGATGCCTAGCAGGGGCCATATCTGCCTGGTTGAGATATGGATTCAGCTGAGACGGCAGAAACCCTTCACGTACCTTTGTCCTTTGAACCGGATTAAACGATTTAGGCATCACCGGCGCAGGAGCATTGCTTCGTAACAATGGATGTATTTCCACATTAAGACCTCCGCGGTCTTTCCGCTCGTCATCTGAAGTGGAGGGAGAAATAGATCTTGTTAATGTTGTAGTAGTGGATGAATTCGCGCTAGCATCCACAGCTCTTCTAGTACTGTTGGAATCGTGGTTGGGCCTCCGCCTCTTACCTCGAGGATGTCCGCCATCGTACAGTCTTTTTTCGGACATTTTTGGCTCAGAAAAGAGAGTTTCGTGGACTACGTTTGTGCCTTTGAGGTATTGCCATGTAGTGAAAAGGCCATCTCTTCGCACAGCCCAATTTCTGGGTCACGTGACAAGCCGCACGTACACTCTTACTTAGAACATAAATATGCATTAATGAACTTATAAATCAAATTATGCGAGACCAAATCCTTCATGGCCTTCGGTAATTGCAAGCAGAAGCGAACCACGAAGAGCATCGTAGGAAGCATATTCAGGCAGATCAATCTGGTTGAAACAGGTGTGGGAGGAAGGAAGCCTATCTGAGGAGCCGTAGTCCTTGTGAATAGAAAACTTGGAGACACCAGAAACACCCGAAAGCTCTTTGAATCCATGAAGTGGTACTTTGGAGGTTCCTGTGGCAAATTGAAGCAACTTAGCCCTTTCTTCGACGTCAAACGATTTGACTGCTCTCCAAAACCATTGGATTTGCGGAGACGAGGGTGAGTAGTTCTGGTAAACCGTATTATTTCTCCAATCATCCACATCAATGTCAGGCAATCCGGAAATGAGAAGCTCGAGCTCTTGATCGTCGAATATCGAGACCAACTCCTTGGGAATGACTTGATGAAATCCCTCCAAGAAGCTGTCCATTTGCTGTTCAACAGAGGTGTTGAGTCTGTACTCAACAATGAGACTCACGTACATCTTTTTGTTGTCCTCTGTCACTGGTATGTTATGGCCATTTTCAATCAAATCAATCACTTTGTGTTCACCAAAGTCATCTGATTCGACAGAGAAGGTTTCCTCAATCACGTCTGTGATGTCGTTCTCAAGCATCCATATTAGAGACTTGAAGTAGCTGGGATCCAGACTCTCGACATCTTTCAGTGTCAAGGGACGGCCTAGTATTCTCTTATAGACCGCACGAGAAAAATGACAATCCAAAAGGAAACCGTCGTACAACGCTTTTCCTATTATCTTTCCGATGAACTTGAAAAACGACAAATGCTCTGGATTGGCATAAGAAGTCCTGTTAGGATGGAACGTTGTCGTGTCCGAAGCCACGGGAGTGAACAGAGCGTAATCAGGATTGAACATTTGTCTTGAAAGGACTTGGAACCATTCTCGTGTAACACCACCCGCATCAACACCTGCTTCCCCTCTGAACTGTATATCCAACTTTGAGTCCTTCAGTTCGTTGCTAGGACGGTAGAACAAAGACCTATACGAGTCCAAGAATACCTGATCCCTGCGTACATTGACATGCAACGGTTGTCTTTCTTTGGCATTTTCGTGCAATTTCTTCTCGAAATAAACCCTCTTGCTATCGAACTCCAATACCTTTGAGTTCCTGACAAGCATGGAGAAGGGTCCACTCATCAGCTTTGGATTTGCTCTAACCATATGGTTCAAGATCTTCTTGTGCTCATCAGTGAAAGAGAAGAAGAGGCTCTCCAACGGTTCATTGACAAAATCCTTCTGAGTCTCCTCATACTTCAGAACGTCCCGAATTGGCATATCGTTGACTTTGCTGTGTTTACAGACCACTAACAGAGCTTCAATAAGCGGAGACATAACAGTTGCGATATGAGAGAGCGATGCATTGTCTCTTAATGTTTTGAGGACGTCACTAAGGGCACCCCACAGAGGTCCCAGAGATGAACTTCTGTACCAGCTTTTAAGCTCTTCAACCTCGGAGTTATTGTCAAACAGATAATCAAGTGCTGTTAACACTCTCAAGAACTTGACCTGATCCGAGTTCGACAACATGAACTTGGACAATGTAGCTGACTCCATCTCCTGGCCATCGCTGATGTTGGAAATATTCTTGGCAAGAATCTTCAGGTCAACGACAAGGTGATTAGCCAAAACATTAGCCCACCTTGAAAGCTCTTGAGGGAACAAGTTCCTGGCATTTTCCAGCGAAGAGAGGTTTTGAAGAGTACCAACTGTTTGCTGGAATACCTTACTGTTGCATTCGTCTGCCACCAGAATAGAAGTAACATTGCGCAGATTTCGATCAGGGATAATAGGAATCGTCTTGGGAGCAGCCTTTTCGTCGTTAGTTTGTGACTTCGTGATCTGAAGAGGTCTAGTTGCAACCTGAAGAGTCCGAGATAACGTATCAATAAGCAATGGCTCCTGCTTGACAATACTATTATTCAATAGTCCAAGCAAAACATTGATCGGATACTTGGAGGCAGGATTTCTGCTAACAGCCTTGAGGTGTCTGCTCTTGGTCCGTTTAGACATGAATGTGGACTCAAGCTCATTCAAGAAGAACAGTCTTCCAGGGGAGCCATACTCAAGAAGATATTGCACGGTGTCAATGGCTTGACAAGTTACAATCAGAGGGGTACATCCAACTGGATAAGTTTCCTGTCCTTCATCCAGGTCAACTTTGTGCGGCGTTTTTGGAGTTTCCATCTTTGAAGGTGAAGGATGTGGTGTTTTCGCAAAATTCACCTTGGCTCTCCCAGAAAGTGTATGGAATACCTTCTTTGAAGACTGCAAATCCGCTGTAGCCTCTTGCAATATATAAAGGAGCAGTCCCATGATATCCGCCTTTGACTGTTTGTTATAGCACAAATAACCAAGCGCCTTCATGAAGTATTCACGATCAGCATAGGATTGTGGAACAAACACCAGTTTCAGAAGCGAGGCTACACCGAACCTGTCAATAAGAAGAGGAAAAACAATTCTCTTAGGCTTCTGGCGAGCTTTATCACCAGAAAGGCCGTCTTCATCATCCTCTTCTTCGTCTTCGTCTTCTTCTTCATCTCCCGTATTATCTAAAGCCGAGTAGCGGTTTGCTATTGCCTCTTGAGCCAGGATCTCTTCCCGCAGGTTATCGGGCAATGCCGACAGGAATGAGGGATCAATTTCTGGAATTTCATTTCCAGCTGCTGATGCTTCTGCTCTCCTTTCTCTTATATGCTGTGTGAAAACTTCTTCGCGTATCTCATCAGGTAATGCTTCGAAAAACTCGGGATCAATATCGGTTCCTGATATGTCAACTTCGCGGTCACCAATCAAAATATAGACAGGTTCTCTTTCAGGTTCTCTTTCAATATCACCAGAGTTGGGCTCTTCGCCTTCACTTGCAATGCTTGAAGTCTCAGATTCCCCCGATCTCTGGAGTATGGCCTCGTCAAGTTTGAGCTGGTTCTCCTCAGCTTCTTTCCTCTGTTTGTAGGCCTCCACGCTTGGCTCGTAGATTCCGTCCACGATATTCCGAGCAACGAATGAAGTCACACGTTTTTCCAAACCGGAATTGAACATCACCACAACGTCTATCCAGCGCTGCAGAGTTGATTTTACAGCCAGGTTGTACACTTCTGTGTTCTGATGAGGAGCTGGAGAAGGACGTCCCGTCATAGCGCGCAGAAGCCCCATTATGTGGTTATCAGAACTCCACACCTCACCAGGTCTAACCTCAATAGATCTAATTCTACCACGGTTGCGCTCAAGCATTGCAAAATGCGGAAGTGCATCACGGGCAGAGGCTAGTCCGTCATTAGGGATTGCGAGAGGGTTTCTCAGGAAAGACTGAGATGGGTTCAAGCCATCTCCACGAATGCTTGAAGAGTTGAAGAGGCTGGAAGACACCAAAGGACTGACCAAACGTAGTCTATCGTCAATGAGCGAGTCCAAATCAAGCTCATGTCTATGCGAGTGGAAACCTGAGCGATGTCTATGGTTCGATTCTAGGTCCAACATCTCTTCCATTCCATCAGAGCCCTCACTTCCAATATCAACATGGCCCAGGAAGCCAACTTCCTCTTCATCCTCCTCATCCTCATCTTCATCTTCGTCCAGAATTTCCTCTTCAATGTCATCGTCGTCAAGCCTCATCGAGTCAAGATTGTCATCTTCAAACTCCCGAATGTCAATCACGAGACTGTCTTCATCAGACCTATCGGTGCCGTCCTCCCGGAAGAATGGTTCATTACCTTCGTGATCGGGAACCACAGGTTCACCCGGATCTGACTCTTCGTCGTAACTGCTGTACATATCTGAAGAGTCATACTCCGAGATTATGTCGATAGTATACCTTTCCTGGTTTCTCGGATCATCATCATACCTGGACTCATCCGAACCAAAATGTCCATCGTCATCAGACTCAATTGGATCCCCATAGTCATTCTCGGAGTCTTCGATAATGTCAATCTCAGACCCAGACAGCATTTCCTCGTCATCGCCCGAGTCCAAGTCAACATCGCTTCCATCTGTAGAATAGACCACATTGACCACACTTGATCCATCGCTGTAGTCTATTTCTTCGTCTTCACTGACATCATCAATGTCATACATGCCTAGAGTCGAATTTCTCAAAAGATTTGGAGTTTCATCACTGTCATCCATATCATCTTCCTCGATGTCTTCACCCTCGCCCTCTTCCACTTTTTGATCACCAACATCATCTTGATACTTCAATATCACCGCTGAGATTCGAGTAATGATTTTCATCATGTCTTTTGTAAGAGACCCGGAGTTCGGATAGTTCAAGTCTAAACCTGCCAGAATGCCTGTGACTAGACCCGGGAAGCCCTTCTCCACCATAATACGAGCAACATGATACGCATCGTATTTGCAGAAGTTCTTTGGCTCAACGGGGATAACATGCTCCCTTTTGTCGTTGATCAAGCCAAAAGTCAGCTCAAGCAAATCGTCTATCTTTCCATACCTAGAGTTGGCAGTATGAATACTCATGCTAGTGTCTTTCATCACTTTCATCAGAATGTCAACTGTGAATTTCCTGATCAAGGTGATGTTGGCATCAGGAATACTTGCATCGGTTTTGTTGAAAGTTGCAACCGAAGAAACCAAGCCCAAAACACATGTTTTTGCCAAAGTCGACACCAAATGCTTCCTCTCGAAAACTAAATCATCATCGACAGTAGAAAAGGAATTGGTTGGAACAAGTTGATACACCAAGAAGTTAAGTGCAGTTGACCGAGGTTTCAACACCTCAGAAAACAGTCTCTTCTTCGAGTATGTCAAAAACTCCATCTTGGATTGTTCATAGGAGAAAAGAAGCTCAACGATCGCCTGCAATAGGAAGCAAACGTATAAACACTCTTTGTTTTTGAAGAGCAGATCCTGCTTCATTTTGGCTTTACCTCTCGTTTTCTTTTTCTCTGTTTCCCATGAAAGTCTGTCCTCCTCTGTGGAGCAATAAATGTCGTTGTGGGTAACTACATCCATGAGCTGTTCAAGTAACAACGTCATAACACCTCCCTTGGCAATACCGTGTGGTTCTTCGTCGGTCTTTGCTCCAGACTTTCCATACGTGACCATCAGATCAGTTGTCTGATCTTCTTTGATTTCCAGGACCAGATTTTCAACGGTCTCGCTCAAAAAGGCTTTATTGGACCTAACAATCAACGGAGTTGCATCTTTCAACAGAGAGTTCAGCGAGTGAGCCTTAGGAGGATGATCTTCCTTCTTATTTGGTGTCGAGAAGTACTCTTTCAGTTCGTGCGACATGATGGATTTCACCATATCATTAGTCTCCATGCATTGCCGAACAATGACTATCAGACAAGATTGTAATGCTTGCCAGTTCTCCGAGGAAGCATGCTTATACACAGAGGAGACGAGTGCAGTCAAAACCAAAGAGCCCACTATTCTCTCAGCACATTCTTGGTCTTTGGAATATAAGACCAGAACCCTGGCTAGAGCCAGAGCGCTTTCAAAAGACGGAAGGACATCCACTTTCAAAAACACTTCAAAGACCGATTTTCTCACACGATCAGACAATCTGAAAATATGAGGGCAGTCATAACTGGTCTGCAACTGTTCCTGTAATGACGATGGAATCTTCATCTTTTCCGGTACAACGGGAATCATGGAATCGCTCAGCACACATTCATACACAAACATAGCTTTTGGAAACCACGCTTTTGCAATATCCTCAACATTAACCTTCTCGATTAGAGAGAGTATAGGCTTGAAGCACCAATCGTCACAAACCCATGGCTTTGAGATCGCCGAATCCAAAACTTCAGCATGTGGATTGCGCACCAAAAGACCAACCAGATGAAGAAGTGGCGCTGAAGGCTCAGATTCCTTACATACTTCCTTGATAACCCGATTCACCAAAAACTTGCAGACAGCAGGTCTCGAAACGCTCGAAGCAAAACACACGTTTCCGAGCAGTTGGTAAAACCTGAAAACAGAACTTGGATAAATCTTCAGGATTTCCAACCAACGGTCAAAATGCTTCATCTCAAGATTCTCACGCAACTCTAGAAACTCCTGATAAGGCTTTGAAGAGGGCAGCGCATGGAATGGCTGCTCCACATAGGGATTTTCTTGAGTTCGTCTCAGCAATTCTTGGAAATCAAGATGGCGATCCGCTTCTCTCATTGTCCATCCGTCCTTGGGAAGTAAGTTTGAGTTCGTCTGAAGCATATAACTAGAGGTGGAAAAATCGAATCCAGTCACTCCAAGACTGGCCAGGTACTCTGCTTTCGAACGTGAAGGCCATGCATTCTTCCAAGACAGTGGATATAGCATACCGTCAAATTCTTCGTCTTTCTTCTCTGGACGACTGATGTATGTCGACTCGTAGATCCTGGTTAAGGCAGTTATAGCCTCCAGCGGCAACAGAGGAGCACCGGCAGAGTCCACGCAGTCGAAGATCCCCGAGCCGTTTTCGTCAGATAGATCGTCGATCATCCACAATGCCAAGAATAACACTTGAGTAAGGCAACGGTCTTGGAAGTCGGTGGAGTGAGCAAATCTGGATTTGTCGTCACCCGGAAACATCTTGTATGCCCAGAACACACTAGGCATACTATCACTATCAACAACGCGGGCAAATAACTTGAGAGAATGAACAACGAGCTTGGAGGTCACACATTCTAAGGTTGGTTCCAGACTGTCCAGACTGTTGAGACGTTCTGTTTCCTTGGCCGTCAAGACATGAGGAGCCCGTGAAAATACCCATTTGCAGACATTGATCATCTCTTGCAAGCCGCCATTTTGAAACAGTAGCGCTATCAAAACCGTATGGGTGGAAGCATTCGACCTGGATTTCACATAGGTCGCACAGGAAATAAAATTCATCATCAGCAGCCTATACGATGTAGCAAAGAAATCATCACCATCAATGGCCAGTAAGTCCAAACAACCATCTGCTATCACCGATCCAACTTTCAGAGCTTCCATGGTTATTTCATAACCATCACGTTCTTGACGCTTATCTATAAGAGGTCTCAACAGCGTTGTGACGAGCTTGATAACGTTGGTTTGGATCAAAGCAAAGTAGCCATGCAACTGGCGAGTGTTCTTGAATTTGGGATGGTTCGAGTTTCCTTTCGCAGGTATCACGTTCCATGTAAGCTGAGGGTATGCTTGCGTGCTTTTTGATCTGGTGATACTGATGACACTGGCTGGTGTGTGCTCCATGAACAGCAGATCTTCAACCACAGCTCTCTTGAAGAGGCTGAAAACTCGTTTCAGAGTCTCGACGCCCTTGTCAGAACTGAAAAACTCACACAGGCGCTCCATTCGGTCCATTGACAACGAGGGCGTCATTGAGTACACTTCAGCAAAGCAAAATAGAACATTGCTTGCCGTGCCAAGCAAAGAGATGAAGCGTCCACCTTCAAGCTCATCCGCTGCCCCAAACTGGCTGAAAAAAGATTTTCGAGAATCATAACGCAACATGTCATCCAAAGGTTCCAATGACTTTGCCAAAGCAGACAACAGCGGCTCCAAAGCAAAGTTACTGAATTCTGTATTTGCAAAGCTCAGAATGGCATTTAAGGAGGACATTCCGTGAGACCAGAGAAAGTCATAGGGTGTGTTTGGCACCGTTAAAAACGCAACCCATTCTTCTGATGTCAGCAGCCTCGCGATTGGCTTCCACCTGGCATGAGTATGAAAGAGCCTGTCCAAAAACAACAGAGCAGCAGTGAGAATAGAAGCGCCTTCACTATTCCGACATGTTGGTAATTTCATGCCGTCTTTATATGAGAGGAAGGGCTCCTCAAGAGGACTCTCGTATAACGAGCCCTCGTCCGAATGATAGAATATCACCGGCTCCATAAAAGCTGCAGCGCGCGAGGGTGTGTTCTCTGCCAGCGCAATAACATTATCAAGAATGGTGGATTTCAGATCAGGATAATGTCTGGAAAGTTCGTCGAAGGCATTGCCCAAAGATACCGTATAATCGCGGACAAGTAGCTCCCTGCATAGAACCGGGCTCTCGAATACTTTGAAAAACCTTGTGATCAAATCGGCCTCAAGAACCTTCTTCATTCCCTCATAATTCAAACACACAGCACCAATGATCTCAGGCAAAGAGCTCAGAAGATCAGAAGACTTACCCAGGAAACTATCGAAGTTCTTCACAAACGTGTCGACAGTCCCTGCTTCACTCAATATAGAATATGCTGTTGGCTCATTGTGCATGATTGACAATATTATGACAAGTGTAGATGCCAATACCTCATTTCCAAAGACAGTGGGGCGGTTTAATATTGTATTCAATGACAGAAGCAAGGGAGAGTCAAACAGGTTGCGGATTCTGTCTCCACCATCGGAGTTGATGAGCGAGTAAACGAGTCTTAGCAGTTTCTTCAGTAACTGTTTTTGGCGAATAGAAACACTGTAAGAGACTATTACTTCTTTGGGAGGACCATCATCAAAGTCAGGGTTCTCCAATGCAAAGGTGATTTCATAATCAATGGCTTCGATGAGATGCTTGAAACCATTCAATGAGATGAAAGAGTCAAGAGAAGTTGGAGCAAACTGCAAAACCCTTGAAATAAGCTCAACGGCACCTGCTCTGGTTCTCCTGTCATCAGATTTGAGCTGTAAGAATTCCATTAGGACATTGAGTATACCAGCACCGACAAGTAAGGCCAAAGGTCCTTTAACTGATATCAATGAGCCAATCATTGAAAAGAACAATGGTGTAAAAGAATTTGATTCAGCGGATTTACCTTCGCGTGCAGTTCTTAAGGTGTTTTTGAGACACCGAAACAGTAAGCCATGAGCGACATTTCCGCTGAAAGCCTTTAGCATATCACTGGCATAGGAACGTCTAGCCGAAATGATCATGAGAGTATGGATAACATCAATCCTGACCGAGAGTGGGACTTCCAAGTCAGGGTCAACCAGACTTGCCAACTCGGCAAACACGTTTGGCTGGTCTTCAAGCACACCAGAAGCAAAGGAGTTCTCCGAACAGATATGACAGGCGACACCTACCGCCAGACACTTGATGGAAAACAGCTGTTCCCTTATCTTCAAGTTCTCGGCTGTCCTGTCATTGAATGCCTTGGCAAAGGCAACATTTAGTTCATATCCAAAGTAATATTCTTGGGGTAATTCCGCCGCCCTTTCGTACAGCTGGGAGAAGCTCATAGTTTTTACTGAATCCACTGAGACAGACAGCTGTTGCATTCCTTCAGCTGCAAACACACCTTTCGAATCCTCAGCCTCACTCAAAGCGTGTTCACCGCTAGTTTGAGTGTTCAATGCAGACTTAGACTTAGACTTCTTGGTTGGAGTGGTGGAAACCTCGCGATCAGATAGTCTATGTTTCCGCTTGAACACCAATGAAGAGTTGAAATACTCGTAATCCAAGCCTTTCCACTTGGAAGGATATTGCGCGGAAGGATTTGCCCAGTCCACCAGTTTGAAGTGCAATGGTTTTCTTGCACCACTGCCCTTCTTATGAGGGCTCTTTGACGAGGAATAGTCTGTGATAGGTGGTGGGAAACTTGTTGCCAACTTTAAAATCTTCTCCTTCACATCAGGAGGAGCCCGCAGTATTGGAGGCCCACTCAATTCAGCCATAGTTTGACAAATTCGCAGCGCATAGAGCTTCACGGAAAGCGAGGTACAGTTCAGCAAATTATAGATCCTGTCCAATGAATTGTAGAAATGTCTCTGAAGGGTGATTTCTAGAAGAGATTGAGTGAATTTTAGCACCAACAACAAAACTTCCTCGTCAAAGCTCTCAACTGCTGTGGGTTTGGTATAGACTTCAGACAAGTTGTACTTGGCGATTATGTCCTCAAGGACTTTGTCAAACTTGTTCAACACCGGGATAAAATGGACTATGTCAAACTGAACATCCTTCCAAAACACAAAATCTCGTAAGATGTTTACTAGATCATCTGTGGTGGCACTAGAGATTAAGGCGACAAAGCTGGTGATTTCCTCACTCTAGAGAAGTAGTTAGTAAGCCGACCAAAGTAGAGATTGAGACCAACAAAAACAAAAAACACATACAACTACCTGTAGCGATTGAGGGCTATTCTCACCTATGTGCATTTTCGATAAGGAATTAATGATATCCAAGGGTTGGTCAAGCGCTGGAGAACAAGAACGGTTTCACCGATGACTGTGAACAATGCTTCGATCTCCAACTTGTACTCAATTCAATTTCAAAAAAGATTGCAATAACCACCGACTACCAGTTAATAATGAACAGCAAATGATAGAACCCTCGTCAGATATTGAGGAGAATGGCGGCAAAGAGTTGGGGCATGGCTACGCTTATTCAAATCACTCTTCTTTTTTTGTCTGACCATCGTGTGCATATCAATTTGAGTATCGCACTCAAAAAGATATATCGTGTCTGGAAGTTACGTCTTGCATATAAATTCTATACCTGGCTCATTCTGTGATATTTACGCTGGGCGTTGCCAATTGCATGTATATAGCAGTTCGCTGTTGGAGAGGCCATCTAGGATTTGGTTCAACACGTTTGCGGCTCTATTCAAGCCTGCCGAACAATGCTCTTGACTTGAGGCCCTACCAGAAAGATTGCATTGAGCAATGTCTCAAGGCCTTGGATAGGGGGCTGAACAAAGTGGTAGTGAGTCTGGCTACAGGTGGTGGCAAAACTGTCATATTTTCTCACCTTATTGACCAAATCAAGCCCAATTCCAAGACCGGAGGAAGAAAGACCTTAGTTCTGGTTCATCGCCAGGAACTGGCGGACCAGGCCGTTCAGAAAATTGCAACAATAAATCAGTTGTACAAAGTTGAAAAAGATCAGGCAAAAAGCAAGGCTTCTCATAAGGATGACGTTGATGTTGTTGTGGCATCCGTTCCGACGTTATTGCGGACTCCTGATAGACTGGCCAAATACAGTGCAGATGACTATAAAGCCATAATCGTTGACGAGTGCCACCACGCAGTTACAAATTCGTTCATGAGAGTTCTGGACTACTTTGGAGTGTCCAAAAGAACAGATACGAGCAGTATAGCCTTGATAGGATTTAGTGCCACCTTGAAACGAAGGGATAAGATTCCGCTTAACAGAGTATTTGATGAGGTGGTTTTCGACATGGGTCTGGAAGAGATGATCTCCAATGGCCATCTTTCCGACTTTGTGTGGTCAAGAGTTGCTACTTCGCTGCGTCTGGATGAAGTGGAGATTGTGAACGGGGACTACAGTCTGGGCGGCCTATCTAAACATGTCAATAAGCCCGAGGTCAACAGAATGGTACTTCGTCTTTATTTGAGAATGCGAGATCTCTGCAAGTTTAAGTCATCTTTGTTTTTCTGTGTTAACGTTCAGCATGTCCAGGACATTTGCGATCTGTTCAATCAAAACGGTATAAGGGCAGAGTATGTGACGGGTTCAACTCCACCACAGGAAAGGGCTGAGATCTTGTCAGCCTTTAAGAGCGGAAATTTGCCTGTGCTTGTGAATTGTGGTGTTTTCACAGAAGGAACAGATATTCCAAATATTGATTCTCTGTTTCTGGTGAGACCTACCAAGTCTCAACCTCTTCTAACGCAAATGATAGGCAGGGGTCTTAGATTGAACGAAGGAAAGCAGAATTGCCATATATTTGACTTTGTGGACTCAACTGGAATTAGCATTGCTGCAAAAGCCGAGATAGATGGTCCAGAAAGTCAGTTGGGGCCTTCAATAATGGACATACAGAGAGGCCTCAACCAAACTTCTGCGGATCCGCGTGAACTGGACATAGAGAAAATAGAGGTCATAACATACGAAGGCGTTGAAAAGTTTTTGAATTCGGAGTTCCAGCAGGACGATGGAGTTCCTGATTTTGTGAAGATGAAGAAGGCAAAGTATCCGTGGGTGCGACTGAAATTTGAGTCTTGGGGCCTGAAAATAAGTCAAAACTCCCATCTGAGAATTGATAAGGAAGGAGAACACAACTATCGTTTGGTATTTGTAGACCTTCGGAGCTATCAAGTGTCTACAAAAAGTGAATCTCCAGACAGTCTGCAATATCATTTGGCGGTAGCTATGAAGCAAACGTCAAGAAGTATCAAGTACCCACAAACGAACGTCATCAAGGAAATTTTGCCCAACCTCGAGGCAGCATTCGAGGAAGTTGAAAGTTTTCTAGACAAAAACACCAGGTACAAGCCGGTACTGAGCTTGCTCTCTGGAAACATAACGGAGAAACAAAAAGCCTTCTTGCGCAGAAAATGTGGAAGCATTGCCTCAAAGTCCTTGAAAAGGGCAGACCACACAGACTTTGAAGTAGAGCTGGACAGAGTGTTGAACGATTTGAGCAAATCGGATGCTGGAAATTTGATTTTTGCATACTCGGTTTCGGGTAAAGTTGCTCTTCAGATATTCATGAAGGATGAGGTATTGAAAAAGTTGAAGAAACCAAAAGGGTTGCTAGACTGACCTTTATATAGAGTTTGGAACATTTATGAACGCCAATACTGGGCTAAACTGTGTAGACGGTCAATCACAACTGGCAGGAACGCATTCACGCTATCGTTGATAAGGTTCTGAAAGTGCAATATCGCTTCCTCGTCATTAAGCTCTAGCATGAACTTTTCCTGAATCTTCAAAATTAGCTCTAACTTTTCAGTTTCGTTAGATATATCCTTCCTGAAGCTTCCATCCAAGCTTGCACTGGTTTTCAGGACGGGTATACTCGAGTCAATCATCAATTGGAACAAATTTAGAATCAGACTTGAGTTCCTGCGAAGTGTGATATATGTGATGAAGCAGTAGTTGCAGAATTTCTTGTAATTTTCATCACCCAAGCCACCCATTCCTTCTATGATTTGAATAGGAAGTTTCATAAGCGGAGGAAAAGGTTTGGGGTCCTGTCCTAGAATGTATCCAAAATCTGCGTGGAAAAAATATCCATCCTTGGTCAGTAATAGATTTTCCAAATGTCTGTCTCCTACACCCAGAATATAAGTTACCACACAGTACCCTGCACATGACCTGACGTAGTTATCCATAATCTCAGGACGCACTCTCAAAGGAGATGTCAAATCTGGATTATTTTGCTGGAGGAACGTAAGAATGGAGTTGTTGTACTTCGCCAATATGGACGACAAAGACTCGTTGGGGATGAACTGGATCATTCCTTCAACTGGACCAAGGGCCAAAATCTTGTAGGGCTTCAACTTGAGATCCAGGTTCTCGTTCTGGAGAATCTTTTCCATGAGTGTGATGATTTGAACCACGAACTGATCTTGACGCAGATCGTCACCAATCTTGTACATGACAGGATATTTTTGATCATCTAGTGACTTGAACGTGATTTTCAGTGGAGACAAACTGCTCTTGAAGACGCTTGACTGGGCAGGAATACACCCACCGATCACAACTGAAGGATCAAGCGGCAAAGGCACAGCATCAAATTCGAGAAGTGAAAAATGACTGTGGTGAGAATTGTCTTCACCTTTCCCCAATGAAAAGTTACTATTCTGACCAGAAGCGACGCTGAGTTTTCTTTTAGTGGTTCTTTTCTTCTGCTTCTCGACGAGAAGACCTTTTAACAACTCCACCTTCTTTGGAGTGGGCTCTTTTTTGAAATCAAATTTGATTTTCAGAGCTATCTCATGTAGCTTGCCAATGACGTCAATTTGCTTTCTTAGTATCAGGATCTTCTCACTACCTTCTTCAGACATTGCGAGATGCAGGATAAAGTGCAGTTGTGTTTTCCGAAAAATCCTATGATGTTCATTTCTTGAGCCATTCAATGGCCTATCACCGGCAGTTCGCACATAAGTGTTCCTATCTCCATTGAGATAGTCGTCAATGATATTATTGTCAATTGCGACCTCATTCTCATCTAATGGGAGTCTTGCAGGGAGCCTCGTACTAAGCTCTTCGGTCTCATCATCCACTTCAACCTTAAGATGCCAATAGAAAAAGTTCATAAGCCTCACATTTTTTGATGCTCGAGATATCACAAATTTCGCCAATGGCGACTGGAGTTTGGGAAGTTGCCGCAAAAGACTTTGCTGATGGTCGCGCGAGAAGATCTTGGGATCTTCCAGCATCTTCAAGGCAGGATCTTCAGTCTGACCAATTTCCACAAATTGATAGTCACTAGAACTAGCGTTGGTAGTAGTGCTTCCAACACCAGAGGTTGAACCGAATTCAAAATTGTCTTCATCCAGTCCCTGTACATCATCATTATCCGCCGTCGGCGTCACATAATTAGCCTCGTTTTTGATACATTGAACCAATTGAACCAGATACATTTCCAGCTCATCGTCGCTAACCGAGCCGAGTCTTTCAATAGCCATCTTACGGACAATATGGTTCCTGTAGTTGGCACTCAGGAGCTCTAGACAATCGACAACTTCCAGTTTCCCCACAAAGACATCAGGCCTTCTCTCGACAATTCCTAGTCTCGCTCCATCGCCCAAATGCTGGACTTCCATTTCGTTGATAATAGTCAAAAACTCTTTGACTTCAAAGTCATCGTCCCAGTCGACACACTTGATGAAGTTTATTATAAAGTTGTTGAAGTCCATGGTGTTCTTGTTCAGAAACAAGTTATTCAAAAGAAAGTATCGGAACTTCCAAATGAGATTCTTTTCTTGTGGTGAAAGCTTTTCAAAAAACTGTTTTCTGAGTATCGAAGATATCTGAGACCGCACTTTAAGCGTTGGCTTGATATCCTTGTCCAAAGGTGACGATTGGTGGATTCTCTCAAGCTTTCTGAACTTGATTTCGATCGGGTCCTCGTTGATATTGTCTCGATACTGATCGGGATCAAACACGGCAACGTTGACATTCATGGTGGAGCTCTCAATGTTGCTGGCCATGATATCGTTGGTTCCGTTTGCACTCACAAGACTTCCCATGTTTTCATCAGCACCACTAGCACTATGGTTGGCCCCATAAGCACTCAATCCCAGGGCGTGCGGATCAAAAGTAGGAATACTCAAAACGGAGTACTTGTAGTCCAAGTAAACCACTGGCATGTCAAACTGGACAAGGGCAAGGTGAATATAGCACTCTGGATCAGTCTTCGAGGATATCACCGTTCTCTTTCTCGAGCTCATCTGCTGAAAATTGATCTGTTCAATCTTACGAAAAGACAATTGGTCAAGCCAATCAACAGAAACAATGTCTCCCGATTCGTGGCTCTTAAGAGTCTTTTCAAGTTGGTCCATCTTCGAGCTGACGGTCTCAGGTTCAGAAGAAGCAGAAACCGAAGATCTATATTTAGGTGACAACTTCAGTTTCAGTTTCTGATGGCCCTTTTTCAGCGTGCAAACAGGATCATCATCCTTGCCCCCCTGCAGGTTAAACAATTGAAGCTCTGATAATCCCACCACAACCTTGGCACCTGTCTTCTTATGGTACTTAAATAAGACAATCCGCAGAACAGAGTCTAGCGGCAGCTGGCTATAATTGATCGGCAAAGTCACCCAAGAATTGGATTTTCCTTTTTGTGGTTGCCCTCTCTTATTTGCAACGCCAGAGCTAGCTGTGACTCCTGGACTCACAGACAGACCTGCGGCCTTAGCCCCGGTTTCGGAGCTCATATACTGTAGTGGAGTGACCACGGGAACAATCAGCTGTTTCTCAGCAGAAACAATCTCCGCCATGCTGAACACCTCCTTCAACGGCTGCTGCTCAGCTTTGGACTTGAGCAGGGTGGACACGGGCGATTGATCCACCAGTTCAGTGTTGGAGAGGGCATCTGTATCTCCATCTATAGATATAACCCTAAATTTGAACGGAATTTTCAGGTCTTTTGAAAGACAGAACGTGACTGAATTCTGGTTCTTAATGTCAACGTTCATACTGCATAGTTATATTGCCAATCAATTGCAGAGGTGGCGAATAGAAGAAGTACATGTGCTAACAAGCTAGTAATGCTTAACGTGTGTTTTATCTGTGGAGCAGAGTCTTACATAAGCAAAGAGCCGCACGTGATTTACGCTTGGGGTATTTTTCACTCTCTTTGCTGCGGTCTTCACATTATTTATTTAACCCACAATCTCTAATAAAATGGTGGCATTTTTCAACCCGGCTTCCAGAATGGTCTTGTCAAGTTCAGTGATGAGATTGAGACGTTGGCTGGTGAGAACAAACTCGGTCGCGTCGCCTAGCTGGTCGAATGTGGCTTTCACATACTCGTAGATATTCCGTACAGAATCCTCCAATCTGAATCTTCTAACCACCCTCTTACCATCTCCAGAACGTATTTGGACTCTGGTGGTGGTCTGGGGATCAGGAGCAGGCTCCTCATGCTCAATTGGTTTTATTGCCGCAATGATATCTGCTTCTGTGGGTTCCTCCTGTTCACCATCCTCCTTATCCAGAACTTCATTATCAGAATCAAGCGATATTGGGTTCGCCTCATCGCCTCCCTTCATGTCAGTGTCGCTATTGTTCATAGACTTTTGCATCGCCAGATTGATCTGCTGTTCTTCCGACAGAGCATCGACATCCAAAGGATGCTCGTGAGTAACTGTGGGATTCTTATGGCTTGGGTCAAGAGAAAACCTAACCAAAAAGTCAACAACATCGCTTATCCAGTCGCTCACCTTTGGCACACGATCCCAGATTTTGAGTCGTTCGCCTGTCATGGGATCCAGTATTGCGATATGAGGGAACTCACCAATAGGGTAAAACTGAGCATACTGAGATCCACTAGGCGAGCTATTTTGGTACTGCAGGAATATGAAATTTTCACGAACGACGTCTTTGACGTCGGCATTCGACCAGAAATCACGGTTCAGCACTTGACATTGGAAATCACCCACATCCTGGATATTGATCAGAATCCATTTTTTCTCCTGACGGGCCTTTATTTTTGCAGCATCAAGACTCAGCTTCTCTATTATGTCCCAGGGAGGTCTGAAAATGTTAGCAAGACGCCTTTGACTGCTAGTCATGTACGCACTGGCGGGCTGTCTCCTCCGGGCAGCCGTGGTTCTGCGAGGCCTGGTGGCATTCAGGTCGTCATCCAGAACCATCAAATCATCGTCATTATCATCGTCATCATAATCAATGTTCTCGTCCTCTTCGTCGCTGATGGCCCCAACAAAATCAGCATCGTCATCTGAGAAGTCTGTGTCGAGCCTCTGGTTGAAGATACCTGCTGGGTTATCACCAAACATGGCTCTAGAAGGGTCCTGATAAACATGGTTCAAAACCGGATGGTAAGAGTCAATCAGCTGCTCATGGACTGCCTCCTGAGGTGCTCTCACCTCCTGATATGCCTCGTTTTGAAGTCTGGCGGCAAACGCTTCGTCGTCATCAGGGATGCTATCAGTCGCATTGGCCGTACCAGAGCTGGCACCACCACCGTGTTCCAGAAATAACGAAATAGCAGTATCAACATCATTACCTGCCATTTCCAAAAACTGTTCCGCCACCCTTCGATCGCTTGTGTCGGTCACAGCGAGAAACATATCAATCATACCATCCATAGTAGCAGCAGTCTAAACAAAAGTCGCCAATATTTTCTCCAACTCTTTTTTTGTCAAAATTACTATTCTTCTATAGCTCACAACCAAGAATATCACAATCAATTACTTTTCAAAACGAAACGTTGAGCTAAACGATTAGCAACAAGAGAATTACTGAGGAAGATAGACTAGATGCATTTGGCGCCTTCGTTATCTGGTGTCACGTGACTATCTGATCATTAACTAGGCAGCCTGGTCGGGGGGCTTTAGCGACATTCAATACTTTGATTATAATAGCAAGAACCGATAAAAGTAGTTAAACAGCGTTGATGTCGTTCGAAGTGTGTGTGCTTTCATCGTACACCGAGAATGTGTTCATGTACTGCCCTTTCTCCCAGTCGTTCTTGGGGAGCATGCCCACGGGATATAAAGCAGGGTGTGGGGAAGCAATCTGTGGAGCCACCAGAGATGCGTACATGAGCCCATCTGACACATATAAGGGCTGTATTGCTGGCACCTGGATCATGGGATGAACGGGAACAGCATTCGGGAGATCCGCCGGCGAATAGACCATAGGCTGAACTTGCTGGATCTGTTCCTGCTGAGCTTTGGTTATTTCGTGAACGAAATCCGAAAATCCGGCAAGTGGACTCACACTGGGATCATGTGTTGAAGCCTCTATCAAGTCCATGAGCCTGGAGGGTGGAGGTGGAACAGGACCATCTGCCTGGCTGAAACCTTCTCGTAGATCATTGATCAGCTCTAGATCTTCACGTGAGCTGCGATCTGCAAAAACATCTGAAGATTTCTCAATCTCTCCATAACGAACTCGATCATATATTCCAACATTTCTGCTCCTAGCTACCCTTGCAGCGACCTGGGCTCTGATGGTAGAGACCTCAGTTTCGTTCGAGACATTACCAACCACCTTCAAGGATTTCCGGTAATTCTTTTCATCTAAGTTCTCCAACGAGCTTTTATTCAAGCCAACAAACTCGTTCCGCATTTCAGCTTGAGTCGACGATATTTCGTCTATCATTTTCTCTCTTGCATCCGCTATTTCTTTCCAGTACTGTTGCCATATCACACGCCTTTGCTCTGTATCCATTTCGATCAGCTTGAGCTTGTAGTCGTATTCCACCCGAGAAGCTGTTATGAGTTTTTTTAATGGCTCCTGTGCTTTTTGGAACGTTTTTCTGAACACAGGAACATCCTCGATTGGTGGTGGCAGCGGCTGGGATTTGTCTTCGACGGCAGATCCTTTTGCTCTAGACTTCTCAATGGCCAGTTCTCGGTCAGGCTTTGGACTTTTCAGTTCAACGTGTTTTTTGTATGCATTATAATTAGTCTGGACTTCAGCTATTGATTGGTCGATGACTTTGATCAACTCATCAATCCTTGATACCCTTGCATTTGCAAATCCCAGAGAGAGGTTTCTGAAGTCGATTTCAATCTTTTTCTTCAGCGCACTCAGTATGGCCTGGTCCCCAGATGACTCCGCCAAATAAAAAGCTAAGTCGCACTGTTCCGGAGAAAGAGGCAGCTTAGACTCAAGAAATTGGCGAAGTTGTTCTGACGGCGATAATCCGTTTTCAGAATCCGATCCACCTGCATCCGTGGGGCTTTCGTCGGAAAAAACTTCGGAATCCTCAACACCGTCAAACTCATTTTTCAGCAAAAGCATCGATTTCTTCTCCATTTCTCCTGCCGTTTTTGTAAAAGATTTTCGGGGTTTGCCGGAAACTGGAGACTCACTGAGCGATCGGTTCGACCTCGCAGCCTCACCCTGGCCTTGAAGATCACCGCTTACGCCTCGAGTTCTGGAAATCGGACCAACATCCGAACCTGCACGTTCCATGTAAGACCCATTACCTCTGACAATATCGCCTTCGAGACAGACCTTTTTTGTTCCAGCAGAAGACTCGCTTCCCCGCCGCAAAGTGTCCCCGTTTGAGGAGCGTCTCCTATTAGAAGATCTTTCTGAAGAGGCCGAAAGTCGGTGTTTGGTAGAAATCATGGCAAAAATTTATGAATGACTTGGAGCAGAAGCTCAGAAAATCTTTTTCACTCAGTCAAGTTTTTGTCCAGGTCAACTGTGTGGGGTTTTGCGGAATATGCTAAAACAGATTTCTGATGTGAGGAAAGTTGGAGCCAACTGGCAATCAAGTTGAAACAACCCACTTATAATCGTTCCAGGAGTTTACAAAAATTCTGGCGCTCAGTACTTGTAGACTGAACGAGCAAGATGATATCACGATATCTAAAAAGTGCTTTGACAAGTACTCTTGAAATGACTGGTAATAGACTAAATTTAAGGCTTGCCTCAAGTACCGAACGATGTATGCATTGATGTGTGCTCTCCGTCGAGGCATGCACGACGTCTTCTTCACGGGTCTTCAAGGGGCGGGGTTTGCCAATAATAGTGCAAAAAATCAGGATTTTTTGGTGGAAGCATATATTTTCTGTAGAAATATACCCAAACGTGTAAGAAGGTATTTTATATCGATCTCTCAAGTGTGATAGAACTCAAGAAATGCTTCGGAAGGGCCACATGTGTGAGGTGCAGATAGATGCATTAGAACTTACTGCCCCTTTCGGACGATGAATAAGGTCGTTGGAGAGAATACGGAGGGAGCTTCAGTCGCGACCAATGCAATTTGCTGCTCATTTGTCAAACACATATGCCAAAGATACTGGTTATCATATTCATCCAATACATATACTCTAAAATGCCCATGTAACACATCTAGAGTTTCAGATGTGCGACCGCCTAATACAGATCCTCTGCCGAATTTTTTTGGTCGTGTGCCAACTGTGCACGCCAAATGAATTATGGCTTTGCTTCAGAGGGATGATGGGCTAGCACTATTTAATAGCATTCGAGTACTGAAAAAAGACGATTAGTTGGACCTAGGGAGTTGTCCGACGAATCCTTTCAATTTCTATAGATGATTCACTCAGTTCTGATATGTGAGTATAGACTCGTGGTTTTATCCCATGGTTTCGTAACTAACATCCACAGTTAACAACGACGGTGTCCCCAGACTCATCAAGTTCTACACCCCGGTAGACATACAGACTCAGAGGCTGCTTCTCCACCAGGTGCACCAATTGGTGATAGGACGGTCGTCAGTGCAATGCTCGTTTCTTACACCTCCTCCTCTGCTGCAGGGTTACGATGACATCAAGGTGATATACCGTCGCTACGCCACGTTGTACTTTGTATTCATAGTGGATGAGCAGGAATCCGAGCTGGGCATACTGGATTTGATCCAGGTATTTGTGGAGGTGTTGAACACCTGTTTTGAGAACGTGTGTGAGCTGGATCTTGTTTTTGGATGGCAAGTGCTGGAAACCGTGTTAGAGTAAGTGAAGACAATTGCATGTTTTGCGAGGCCTGCGGAACAATTACTAACATTTACCCTTTTTTTAGGCAAGTGGTCCAAGGTGGAATGGTCATTGATACGAATACAAAAAAGATAGTGGCAGCTGTTGACGATGCGAATAAGCAGAAAGACTCGTCGTCCTATTCTTCAAGCAGATCGCTTCCTTCGGCGTTGTCTGCCTTGGGAGGTGTGACCAACAGTGCTGGGGCCGCGAGTATTGGTTCCAGGTTCTTTGGTAGTTGGGGGAGTTGACGACGCGGAGAGTTACGACTTTAGCATAATATCAACGATAAAAACAAATATTCACAAGATGTAGACTGAATGAGTCAAAGGCCATATACAAGAGTGGTGCCGAAGTATTTTTCAACATGGCCTCACCTCTTCCAAAACGCCCATTTCGACTTCTCCTGGCTTGCCTGCGCCATTCTCTCTTCTTCCTGCTTCAACGCTTCAATCTCGCTTAGCTGGCGAGCAGTAGCAATCCCCTTTTCAAAAGTCTGTTTTTTGACCAATAGTTCCGTTCCTTTAGGTAAGCCCTGGGTAGCAGGGTCTCTGTCCCATGGAGAGACGATGGATCCAGTCTTCCAGATAGGCTCACTGGAAGCAGCGGTCTCCTGGACAATTTTCATCAGCTCTTGCTGTTCTTGTTGCCTGAACTGTCTGTTGTTCTCGTACTCGGCCCTCAGTTCTGGTGATAGTCTGGCTATCAGCTGCTCTTCAGTCGGCGTGGTGAACTTGTAGAGGAGAACACCAGATCCCACTATTCCTCCACCATAGAGTATGAACTTCTTCCACATAATGTAATTAGCCGACATTTTGAAAAACCAGGCTTTAACGTCAAAGAAAAGAGAAAATGCCGTGCTATTCAACGGTTGATAGTGTTTGGATGAATAACTCAATTTTTGCTGGTTATCTATAATTGTTTAAAGCACTATCAAAATTCCCCAGCATAAGTTCTTAGCAACAGCACATAAGGAAAGGACTCTTACAAATTCATACGTGTACTCAAATACGTTTCCCAAGATACTACAATGACCAAGTTGTTTCAAACGAGTTTTGAGCTCCTTTAAGGAAATTATGGATTTTTGTTTATTATCACAGGCGTTATGTGTTATCTTCGTGGCTTACATCACTCTCTCCTTGGGCAAGATGTCAACCAACAGGTCGTCCACCTTGTAACTCTTTCTGATGTTGCTCTCTTGTTTGTAAGTTTGCAGCAACTCAAAGTACTTGTCAAACAAGTAGGAAGAGTCCAAAGGACCACCCTTGGCTTCTGGGTGGAACTGGGTCGAGAAGATGGGTCTTGTCTTGTGGATCATACCCTCGTTTGATTGATCGTTCAAGTTGATGAAATACTCCTTGAAATCTGGATGCAATGTGGCAGCGTCGACAGCGTATCCGTGGTTCTGGGAAGTGATGTGGCACTTTCCGGTGGTCAAGTCTAAGGCTGGAATGTTGTGAGCTCTGTTACCGTACTTCAACTTGACGGTCTTGGCTCCTGAGGCCAGAGCCAGCAGCTGATGTCCTAGACAGATACCAAAAATTGGCAAGTCCTTGTTGTTCTCCATGGTGACCTTGAGGTTGGCAACAGTCGAAGCGCAGTGGGTTGGATCACCAGGTCCGTTCGAGATGAACACACCGTCAAACTTGTCAGCTATGTTCTGGATTGGGTAGTCGTATGGCAAAACGGTCACGGAAGCTCCTCTGGATACCAGAGATCTCAAAATGTTCTCCTTGACACCGCAGTCCAACACAGCAACGTGGAACTGTCCGTTTGGAGATGGTATGTGGAATGGGGCTTTGGTGGTGACCTTGTGCACCAGGTTCACAGAACCCGGGTCTTCGAATGCAGCATCTTCATCAGCATCGTAAGTCTCACCCACAGAGATTTTAGCAAGACTGGAACCCTGTTCTCTGAGGTAAGTAACCAAAGCTCTGGTGTCGACACCGGTGATAGCAGCAACACCCTCTCTCTTACACCACTGCGACAAACTCTCAACAGCAGTCCAGTGAGAGTATTGCATGGCAGCATCACTGACTGCAATACCGATACATTGGATGTGAGGACTTTCGAAGTATTTCAGCAGGCCAAACTCATCTCTGGCAGTACCCGAAGGGACGCCGTAGTTACCGATCAGAGGCTGAGTGAACACAATGATCTGACCTTTATACGAGGGATCAGTCATAGACTCAGGGTATCCCACCAATGAGGTGGTGAACACGGCCTCACCGCTGATGTTTTTGTCAGCACCGAAGGAGTATCCGTTGAAGATCGGTCCATCTCTGATAGTCAACGTAGCCCTATCCAAGGACTTTGTAGAGCTAACGGCGGCAGACTTAGCGAAGAATCTAACAGAGGCAAACTTCGTCTGCTTAGGCAGCGAGAGGAAGTTTCTGGCAAACAGACTCATTGCGAAGCGTCAAAGGTCTTAATAATGCTATGCTCTTTTGATTCACAGGGTTTGAAAAATCTCTTGGTTCAAATACAAGATCCAGAGAGAAACAAACAGAGGGAAGACCAACCAGTATACTCCAGTAGAGTGTAGTTATATGAGCACCAAGATCTTTGATTGTAAGAAACTTGAAAATCCAAGAGACAGGGGAAAAGATGACTCTAAGAGACCGCATGATGAAAAATTTCGCGGCCGGCCTATCGTTAAATTTCTCGAGGTCACGTGCCAATCTGAAAAATCGTTTTCAGGAGAGCTAAAATGAGGGAAATGAGAAAAAAATTGAGTTATTACAAATAGATAATTTTCATTGTATTTCTGCAACTGATAAAATTTATATTTGAGGTAAATTCACGATAATTCCAGCGTTCAAGACCGGTATTTGCGTAGTCAACGGGGCAAGCTGGGGCCTTCGCCTTGTGTCTGACACCGCGCTAGTCCCAAACAGGTAATTTTGTTGGATTACCCGGCTGAAAATGGGCAAAGGGTGGTATATAACACACAATTCAAAAGAACTTACAAATTATTTATTTAATTGTCGGTACAAAAATGAAACGCAAATACGTTAAAGTTTTTCAAAATATCAAAATCAAGGAGAACAACTGGTCTGGACAAGGATACCAAGTTTACCGGGTACATCGTGGTCCATCATCAGCGTACTTTTCAGACCACGCACACAATTTTAATTTTCAATTTCGGGAATACACGACCACAGCGGAGAGGATTTTTCAAATTTTCACCGTCGCTTTTCTCTTCACACCTGCAACTTCTTTCTTCATCGTATACTAACACCACCCAACTAGATATGTCTCACAGAAAGTACGAAGAACCACGTCACGGTTCCCTTGGATTCTTGCCAAGAAAGAGAGCTGCCTCCCACAGAGGAAAGGTTAAGGCCTTCCCAAAGGACAACAAGACTAAGCCAGTCGCTTTGACCGCTTTCTTGGGTTACAAGGCTGGTATGACCACCATCGTTCGTGACTTGGACCGTCCAGGTTCCAAGATGCACAAGCGTGAGATTGTTGAGGCTGCCACCGTTGTTGACACCCCAGAGCTCGTTGTCGTCGGTGTCGTTGGTTACATCGAGACCCCAAGAGGTTTGCGTTCTTTGACCACCGTCTGGGCCGAGCACTTGTCTGAGGACGTTAGAAGAAGATTCTACAAGAACTGGTACAAGTCCAAGAAGAAGGCTTTCACCAAGTACTCTGCCAAGTACGCCGAAGGTGCTTCCGATGTCGAGCGTGAGCTTGCCAGAATCAAGAAGTACGCTTCCGTCGTCAGAGTTCTTGTCCACACCCAGATCAGAAAGACCCCATTGTCCCAGAAGAAGGCCCATTTGGCCGAGATCCAGGTCAACGGTGGTTCTACCTCTGACAAGGTTGACTGGGCCAAGGAGCACTTCGAGAAGACCGTCAGCGTCCACTCTGTTTTCGAGCAGAACGAGATGATCGACGTTGTCGCCGTCACCAAGGGTCACGGTTTCGAGGGTGTTACCCACAGATGGGGAACCAAGAAGCTTCCAAGAAAGACCCACAGAGGTGTCAGAAAGGTTGCCTGTATTGGTGCTTGGCATCCATCGCACGTGCAATGGACTGTTGCCCGTGCCGGTCAGAGAGGTTACCACCACAGAACTTCCATCAACCACAAGGTTTACAGAGTTGGTAAGGCTGGTGATGAGGCTTCCGGTGCCACCGAGTTTGACCGTACCAAGAAGACCATCACCCCAATGGGTGGATTCGTCAGATACGGTTCCGTTGAGAACGACTTTGTCTTGCTCAAGGGTTCTATCCCAGGTCCAGTCAAGCGTGTTATCTCTTTGAGAAAGTCCCTTTACGTTGACACCTCCAGAAAGGCTCTGGAAGAGGTTAACCTTAAGTGGATTGACACTGCTTCCAAGTTCGGTAAGGGTAGATTCCAGACCCCAGCTGAGAAGCACGCTTTCTTGGGTACTCTCAAGAAGGACTTGGAGAACTAGGTTCGATGTTAGTTTAGCAAAAGTAATATGATATCGTTTCTTCAAAAAGAACTGTAGCCTTGTCAGTTTGATAGCGTTCACGTGACGCGCCTCAAAACTTTTAATAGTGCCCCACCAAAGAAAATTTTTACATCTGTGCAGGACTCAATTGCCACCAAATTTTCGCCCGGCAAAAAGCAAAAAAATTTGAAGGACGCGCAATAAGGAGACTTGTTCTTTTCTCTTCCAGATTTATTTCCTCCTTTTTTTCAATTAAGAGGTAACAATATACAAATATGTCTGATTTACCATCTCAAATGAATGATCTCAGCCTGAGCGGCGGATCCCGTCAAAGATACGTTCCCCCTCACAGATCCCGTGATGGCAGCGACCATGCAGACCAGTTCGACAACTCCTACGGTGGATACGGTAGAGGCAGAGGTGGCAATGGCTACGGCAACAGAGGTGGAAACGGTGGCTCAAGAGGCGGCTACTTTGGAAACAACGGCGGATACGGCGGCAGAGGCGGCCAAGGCCAAGGCAAATTCAGCAACGGTGGAAACTACAAGTCTGGTCCAAGACCAGGTGAAGGTAAATTCGTTGATGGCGTGCAAGTTCCAGGTGCCAAGGATGCCAAGCTTGAGGCTGAACTTTTTGGAAGTGCCGAAGAACCAAAGATGTCTTCTGGTATTAACTTTGACAACTACGACGACATCCCAGTCGAGGTCAGTGGTGATAACGTTCCTGACGCCATTACTTCCTTCACTTCTCCTCCTTTGGACCCTCTTTTGGTCGAGAACATCGAGCTGTCCAAGTTCACCAAGCCAACCCCAGTGCAGAAGTACTCCGTTCCAATCGTGAATGCCGGTAGAGATTTGATGGCTTGTGCCCAGACCGGTTCCGGTAAGACTGGTGGTTTCTTGTTCCCAGTCCTTTCGCAATCCTTCATTAGCGGACCAGCCCCAATTCCAGAGGAGACCAACGTCTTTTCCAGAAGAAGAGCCTACCCAACCGCCTTGGTTTTGGCTCCAACCAGAGAGCTTGTCTTGCAAATCTACGAAGAGGCCAGAAAGTTTGCCTACAGATCGTGGATGAAACCAAGCGTGGTGTACGGTGGTTCCGACATCAACCAACAGATCAGAACCCTGCAAAGAGGATGCGACTTGCTGGTGGCAACCCCAGGTAGATTGAACGATTTGCTGGAGAGAGGAAAGATCTCTTTGAGCAACATCAAGTTCTTGGTTTTGGACGAAGCCGACAGAATGTTGGATATGGGTTTCGAGCCCCAGATCAGACACATCGTCCAGGAGTGTGACATGCCAGGCGTTGAAGAGCGTCAGACCCTCATGTTTTCCGCTACCTTCCCAAGAGACATCCAGATGTTGGCCAAGGACTTCCTCAAGAACTACCTGTTCTTGGTTGTCGGCCGTGTCGGTTCCACCTCAGAGAACATCACCCAGAGAGTTCTGGCCGTTGAGGACATGGACAAGAAGTCTGTTCTTCTAGATATTCTGGCATCCGGAGAGGATGCTGGTACCGGTTTGACCCTGATTTTCGTCGAGACCAAGAGAATGGCCGACATGCTCTCGGACTTCCTCATCAACCAGAATTTCCCAGCCACTTCTATCCACGGTGACAGATCCCAAGGCGAGAGAGAAAGAGCCTTGGATATGTTTAGATCCGGTAAGACCCCAATCTTGGTTGCTACTGCTGTTGCTGCTAGAGGTTTGGATATTCCAAACGTTACCCACGTCATAAACTACGACTTGCCTAACGACATCGACGACTACGTTCACCGTATCGGTCGTACCGGTCGTGCTGGTAATGTCGGTATTGCTACCGCTTTCGTCAACCGTGGTGGTAACAAGAGCGTTATCAAGGACTTGATTGACATTTTGTCCGAGGCCAACCAGGAGGTTCCAGATTTCTTGCACTCCATTGCCAGAGACACCTCTGGTGGAAGAGGCGGCAGAGGCGGCAGAGGCGGAAGAACTCAGACCAGAGACTTCCGTAGAGGTGGAAGCTCCGGTTACGGTGGTGGATCCAGCGGTGGATACGGAAACTCCTACGGTGGATCCAGCGGTGGATACGGCGGTGCTTCTGCTGGCTACGGCGGAGCTGCCAAGGCCTCCTACGGTCAAAGCTCGTACCAGTCCTACGGTAACCAGAGCGGTGCCTCGTCCCAATGGTGGTAATCGGGCTCTCCAACCATTTGCTTTGCTCACATTTCCCTTTATCACTGCTCCTAAAACTCCAAAAACATCAACCCCTTTTTTCAAAAACAACAAGCTTCACGAGGGCTAATGGATGGCTCGTCATGAGACTCAGCCGTTATGGGCCGAATTAGCCATGAGATGCATTCTCTTTGCCGGTTTGGACCCAACAATAGATCGAAGCAGGTGTTGTCCTCACTTAATCTTGTTGTCATATTCTTCTCGGTTATTTTTCATTTTTCCAGGGTTTTCATTAGATTTTTTCATGCACTAAGACCGTCTGGCACGGATCTCTTTCTTTCACGAGGATTTTCTTATGCTCAGTCATATCAGAAATATTATCAAGCAAAGCCGAAAAAAGATTCCATCGTTTGACATGTGCATACTATTGACCAGCGGGTCAGTTTTTATATCTTTTTTGAATTTTTGTTGGCGTTCTGTGGAAAATAGAGAAGACTATATTTTTTTATGTTTGAAACAAAAGCTTGGGTTGTCATACAATTTGGTTTTTCTTTTGAATTTTTGTACTTGCCTTATTGTTATATACGTATCAAATTAAACAGTGAATTTGTTAATAATATAATTCTGTAATTAAACCTTTTTCCAGAGCGTCCTTGATATCGCCAGTCTCGCACATACAAAGGCTGATGCACCAATGAGGGCCAGTATGGAGGTGTACAGGATGAAATATTCGTACCTATGAATGGACTCGTCTCCAATAATGGCACCAGCCACTGGGACTCCCACCAGGAAGATGAAACCGGCCAGCAAATACATGGTGGCATATCTTTTTCCAAAGTCTCTAGTTGGTGATATGGCACTGCAGCAAACGGGAGATATGCTCAGGACGGAGCCTGAGAAGAACCCGTAAAACACTGTGTAGGCATAAAGAGAATTGACCGTGCGTCCAATGCCATACCAAAGAACGATATCACTCAGAAAGACTCCAATTAGCATGAGAGACATCACGTTGAATACTCCGTATCTGTCTGCAAGTAGTCCAGGAACATAACGGCCCGCAATACCTACCGCATTCACTATCACGATCATCATATTGGCCACACTCGTACTCGCACCGATCCTGATAGCATATGAAGCAAAATACGTCAGTCCGCAGATCAGCGAAAGCTCTCCGAAAGCGACCCCCACGACACACAGAGCATACCTGCGATCTTGCAAAGCCTTGAAGTCAACTGCGTTTCTGAGATAGGTGGAGATTGTGGCCAGAACCTGTTTGAACGAAATCTCCCGAAGAGACGTAGATGTAGGCGACATATGGCGACGTTCAGAAAGACGTTCTTTCACTAGCAAAATCGACAGAGAAAGACATGCAAGAATCACAAACGATAGTATGCGGATCGCCCAGACAAATCCCAGAGATGTGTACAAGGAATTGAGCAAGATGGGGAAGATGATGCCTCCAATGGAGCCTCCAAGGGTAGCCATACCAACGGCAGTGGCTCTCTTTCTTTTGAACCAATGAGATATGACACCCACCAAAGGAGCCATACAGAGGGCTGCTCCAAGTCCAGCAACCACACCAAAAGCAAGAACAAACTGATAGACCGAGGTGCAATTTGCCGTGCAGAAAAGCCCCACGAAGAAGAGGGTCGACCCAGCTATCAGTGGAACTTTTGCTCCAATCTCGTCAAATAGAATGCCCGAAAAAATTCCACCAACGTATGAGAAGAACGTGAAAATTGAGAAGATCCAGGCCGAAGTTGAGCTGGAAACATTGGAAAGCTGGTGCGCGGAAACATAGGCTTGAATTGCACCCATGGAATTAATCAGGCCAAAGTCAGCCACAAGGCCAAAAAACGATCCCCCAACCACCAACCAGGCCTTCAATCCTCCATCTGGGAATTCCTCATCTTCTTCATCTAAATTATCGCTTTCTCTTCTTTCCTCAGGTATTTCTGGAGCTGGACCTCTGTAAGAGACTTGGATCTCTGATATGCCTTCCAAACCATCCTTCCCCTTAAGTGCCACAGGCAACGGTTGGACCACCGTCTCTATTCTTTCAGAGCTCACGTCCAGAGTATCTAGTTCAATATTACTGGAACCGGCATTCATATTCGACTATCAGGCAAGGAAGAAGAGTCAAAGGAACAGGGTGGTAAGTAAATGCTTGAGTCACCAGTGCGTGCCCGCAATTCCGCACCTGCGATGTGTTTTTCCGGGTCTGCAATGGGTTGATCCGGTGGTGAAAAATTTAGGATCTGATGGATATGTATATGTAGAATTGTATATATATATATCGGTAACTGTAGTATTGTCATTCACTATTCAAATTTCTATTTTTCATTAACACCACTCAATTCCAATGCTGACTTGAACCCGTTCAGGTAACAGTCCGGGACCCCAATCCCGTCTCCTAGAGCCATACCACCTAAACTGAGACGATGGCCGTATTCGTCCTTCATCTTCAAAATAATCTTAGACTTCAACATCTGATAGCCAACATTGTATTGGGGGATACCATCTTCAATCAGTTCAATCTCAATGGTGCTTTTTCTGACCGCTTCTAGGTCAATTTTCAGATCCCGTTGCAAGACCCTCTCCACGGAGGAGATCAACTGATCTTTAGTAGGAAACCCAGTTTCATTGTAAAAATGGCCCCCAAACATCAATGTCACTTTGGTATAGTCTCCCTCAGACTGTGCTGATTTGCTCTGATCAGGAGTAACGATACCGGACTTGAGATCGTGTAACACAGCTGGTTCAAATAGACGTCTGGAAGACGCCTCATTGCACGAATCAAAAATCACACCCAGCAGCTTCTCGTCATTCTGCAAAGCCAATGGAACTAGATATCCAAAGCCCGGAGTGTCTTTCAAATAGTTATGAGATGGTATATACACATTGACCAACGCGACACTAGAGTAAGTGATCTGGTTCAACAGAGGCTTCAGATTCTGGTTGTTCAGAATGTTAGAGAGACGATGGACGTTGATTGTGGATTTCACATGATCGAAACTGTTTCTCTCATCAACTATAACACGATCACCTTCTTTCTGAACGGAGCTGATGTATTTTTTGAACTGGAACTTAACATTTGGTGAGTGTTTCAATAGGTCCTCGTATATGATGTCAGGTAGGCTGTTGAGTCCTGCCCCAAAAACAACCATAGGATAATCCTTGAGGAACTTTACCAGATTCGTGAAATCAATTTCCACTCCAAACAATTCAGAGTACTTAGAGAGAAGCTCTTTTTGTTCGTTCGGAGTAGAGCCATCGGACCTTCGAAGCAATCCTCCTAATACTGAACCGTAATCCCTCTCAAGTTTGGCTAAAGCAGGAAGAAACGAATCCACTCCAAGTTCCTTTGAACTGCCCGCGAAAACTCCATGACAAACTGCACTGATCAAATTACTTGACCAGGAACCAAAACGACGTTCCATGAACTCGCTGACGGATTCTGTGTCGTATTCGTGATGTTCCTTTGGCTTGAAGGGTTCTGCCATAATACCAGGAATCATGCCTTTTGCCAAGTCGTCTTTCAAAAACCGCAGTGATTCCTTCAACGTAGTAGGCAAAGCCATCAATGGCTCACTCTTGTTATTTGACAGTAAATATCTTTTTGAGGAAAGCGAGTTTTTGTGAACACCCATCAGCTCCTTCTGTCTTCCCAGCTTGAGGATGGTATCGATTATGAGGAGCGTCCCCACACTGGCACCTCTCAAAGTCCTTGGTCCTTTTTCAAGCATCAACCCAGACTGGCTATGTTTAGTGGTTCTAATATATCCACCAACGCGGTCTGTGGCTTCGAAGACAGATACCTTGACGTCTGGTCTCAACTTGGAAAGGTAGTAAGCAAACGACAACCCGGATATACCTGAGCCTATAACGGCTACTTTTGCATTTTGTTTCAGCACAGACATAATTGTTGAGGAAACAGGCTTTATTTTGCCATGAGAATAGGGTTTTCAGGCCAGGAACTTCACTCTTGCTGGCTCAAGGGGAACCCCAGAGGCCCATACAAAATGTCAAACGAGAAGGCGATGAGTTCCATCGGGTCTATCACGCGGGTAAATGAAATTACGGTGAAATAAAATACACTCCTAAAATTGGCAACGATACTGATTCTCGCTTAACTATACATTTTCAAGGCAACACTTCTTTCATACTTCTCAAAACCGCCTTATATTCTGTCTTGAGTTCAGCTAACGATTTGAGTCTGTTAGGCTCCCCAGCTTTCAACGCAAACGACAGAATCCATCTATCATCCTCTTCCGACAGCGTGCAGAGCAGGTTCATGATGATGAGGTAAAGCTCGGCCAGAATGATGTTATTCTTGCTGAGCTTTTGAGTGGATACTGCGTTTGATCTGCGATCCTGGATCCGTGAGATAAACCGGTACAGTGACTCACATGCTCCGCGATAGTCCCCATAGTTCACTCTCCACGAATAGCACACTTTGTAGTATTTCAAGGATTCAAGAACTGGCGAAGACTCAGCCAAATCATAGATAATCTTGTGCACGGTGTCAATATCGTCTGCATTTGAAAATGATGTCAGGAGGTTAGCCTGGTCAGTCTCGAACAGTTTGAGAATGAACATCTGCAAACACTCGGACCTATACTTGCGGTTTATGTTCAAAATTGCGTGGTAAGCCATCTGAAACTCAGTGGTCTTCAGCGACAGCTTGAAAAATTGCCATTGTTGATTATGGCCATATTTGATAAGCTCATCATCAGTGTGAGGACATGTTATTGACGACAGTGACAGCTTCAATGCAATATTTGTTAGTCCGTTCTCGTCAAACAAATTTGCAAGGTTGATGAAGTACAGTGTTTCCGAGCCGACACCCAGAAGCTTGAATTTTGACAAGTTTTGGATAGGTTCCAAAGAACGAGTTTCGAGAATGGTGGTGCTATACTTTGCAATTGAAGACGAGTTCTTGCGCAATACCTCGAAAGCTTTGGTGCCTTCTCCAACCTCCATGTATATTAAACCTTCCAGCAAAGCAGATACAGGGGACTCTTTGGGCAGAAACTGGACGAAGTCATTAAGGATAACCCCAGCTTGATTGGCTTTGAGCAACCAGGAGACAGCAGCAAAGGCGTACTCCTCCTGGTAAATGACGAAGTCGACAAAATATTCTGTGACCTTGTTCATTTTCGAGGACGTGACGAGGACACCATCATCGTTCAGCCTTTTGATGATAGCAGTGAACATTAATTGTGAGGGCTTCAACACATCATCCTCTTCCAATTCACCATTCTCCTTGAATCCCAAACGCAAGGTGGCTAGTGCAAGATGGCACTTCGCGTAGAATTTCAACAACTTCGAATATATTTTCACCATTGCATCGTTCACATCAACAGAAAGAACAATCAATAAGAGCTGGAAGATCAACTCACTCTGCAGTTCTATCTGGGTCTCGACTGAAGCCACTAGAGTGGAAATTCCGTATTCACCTATGGGAGTGTTCTTTATTGGTCTGAATCCACCCAAATGAACCTGGGGTGCGGTTGTGATGTACTCAATCACCTGCAAAACATTGTCCACCTTTCCTAGCCCCTCGAGGAGGGCGTTTCCAACCTCTTGGGTAACATGAGCTGACATTGAGCTTTCAAAAATGCTGTTCATACGCTCCTCCCACGACGTGGAAGCTTCGGATGTATAATCATTCATCAAACCTAGCTTGACAGCTTTCAAAGTATCCGAGGAGAAACTTGATCCAAACGCATGCAATAGTCTCACCATCTCTTCAACAGCTTGAGAAGTGACACCGCCAGGAAGGTCTCTGAGCACGATTTTGTTGCTGTACTTCATTATCTCAAAACACATGGCAGACTTTATAACGGAGTAGTCCTGACTTTTCATAAGCAGACCAAACTTTCCACCCGTGTTCATGCTGAAGACAACTACCTGCTGAGTCTTCTTGGATAGTTCGGTGCAAATAGAATAAAACCTTCGCCATTGGGATTTCAGATTGCTGAGGTACAATGCATTTTGATCCTTGACAACAGATCGCTTAATCAACCTGATGAGACTAATGGACAAACTGTCGGATGAGGATGATAATTCCACGCTAGTCTGTCCGTTCTCCAACAAGTCTAGATTGTGACGTTGCTCAAAGACGGGAATGACTGTTGTTAAAATGTTTTGATCAAACTTGACCCGTAGCTTTCTGGAGTAGAAAGAATCTATGGCTTCTTCGGTTTCAAAAGATTCATGTGTATCCAGCAAATCCTCGATATTGTCGTTGCTGGCTACCTCGTAGGACAAAATTGAAGACACTTTCAGGTTAACGTCGAATACCTGTATTAAGCGGGAGTTGTTGAACACCCATGCAACAAAAACCCTCAATTTTTGCCCACTTAACGAGGTCTTCACCACCTGGGAACTGTGGAACAGCCAAGTATCGGACGATGTGAGGTTAGCACTTTCCAAATTAGTATCCATCAATAGAGGACCGACTTCTGCGCCAACAACTCTTGAAGTTAGATTGTCCCTCTGCAAATTCAGACTGTACACTTTGAAAAGACCTTGTTGTGCCAAAGGCAAGTAGAGCGCGATATTGTAACCATCCTCTGCGTTTGGTAACAAAGTTACCAGGTCAGAGGGCGACACGTTCAGATGCAGTCCCCATAGATCTTGCGATAACTCATCGTTCAAGCTCTTCTCAATCAAAACACTATTTGAATGGAGAGACCAAACACGAAGGATTTTGTCAATGGACAGCGTAATCATGAAATCATCGTGGACCAAGCACGATATTTGTGACGCAGTGGATACGTTTTCTATGGCTGTGTGAGAGGGATCCACATTCTCTGGCAGCGATATCGTCGACTTCCCGAACCATTTTGATTTCAAAGCCTTCAGGTATGAGGTATCGCTGAAAGGTTGGACTAATTGCGTTGTGCTCAAAGCATCGTCTCTATCGAGTCTTAGAATTCCTCCATCCTTTAGCACGAAAACAACGGTTTGGGAAGAGGAGCTATACGAGAATAACGGCGGTCTCAAGTCAAAAGAATACGGCTGGGAATACCCGCACCATTGATAGAAGGATGACGTCGTCACATCAAATTCGTCTTGAATAAAGAATTGAGGACGAAGAAGAAGAGTAACCAAAACGTTGTTCGTCAATAGAACGTCCACCGTTACGGTCAGATCCTTGGCCTCAAATGACTCTGAGATCGTCACACATCTATTCTGTATTTTTCCTGGAAATTTGAAGCTCAGAGTTTGGTATTTGTAACCGAAATTGTTTGACAACGCGAGCGGAGTGAATACAATGGTCTTTTGATCTCTGAGAACTCGGAGAGATAACTGTTGAAATATGCACTCTGATTTGATATCAAGTATTTTGCCATACGAAGTCAACCCTGACTCAAACCGTATCAACAGGTTTTCCGAAGAATCTTCTTCCTTTGAGCGTAACAATGATTGGTAGCCAAGACTGGATTTCCTAATGACCGTTGTTGTACTCGAAGGTAACTCCAAAGACACAACCGGCAATGATTGCTCCAATTTTATGGGCGTATCAGAAAACCTGGTCAACATGGTTTTTCTGGCTCTATGATGGTTCTATCCACTCACTGAGGCTTTGCCGAAACCTATGTACGCGAGAATGAATCTGTTTGACCTGGCATCATAGAAAATACAAACATTCTCGTTCAACATCCCGGTCGTGTGCCAAACAGTATTCAGAAGAAAAAATCTTTGGGAAATACTCGTCGACTTTTTTTCTTCTTCCTTTCTTTCTTTCATTTATTCTTCTTCTTACAAAGGTTTACTTATTGACTATGTTTCTTTAAAGAATTTCGAGAATGTTTCTCGTATCTTTTGAGGACTGTTGTCAGTTAGATGAATATGAAGTAAGTGTTTTATCCCCAAGAAAAATCTTCATCCACTGCGGGACCCTCTTTACCTTCTTTCGCTCGCTTGTTTAATCAATTCTGATGACCAAAATTAAACAAATTCAAACTAGAGTATGTGACTTGATTGTATGATCGGAACATTAATAACATTGCTGAAGTGTTTTTCAAGAGAAGAAAAAGGAAGATGGTCTTCGAAAAAATGGATCTTTGTCTGAGAGCTGTACTAACTTTCATAAAGTAACGAAATTGAAATGAAGAACGTTTTCATCTGTTCTGGCGTTTTCTAAAGGTATGTTTATTTGAGTTTTGAACCGTCTATTGTTGAACCTTGCTGTGAACCTTCTGTGTCTAGATGATGACATAACAAAAACAAAGCTGGAATTACCCACTGAACAAACCTTGTTGATAAGTTTTTGCATTTTCTCTGATTTTTACACAGAATGGTTCAAAGCGGTTGTGGACAAGAGCCTGGTGCAACATAGTTCTTCGTGAATTGGTTTATGTAACTAACACTAGTTCATTAGGTATGCACTTTTAAAATACGCTATTATGATTTCACCTCTGTGGGCAGCTTGTACAATTGGGTTCAGATGAGGAGCAATAGCACTGGGCACTGAATAAATCATGAGTGACAATGCTTTTTTTGGAGGGCCTCAGAAACCCTCCGTGACTGATTCATAACGCAACTGTACAAGCTCAATGTGGTCGGAGGGGTTAATTGAAGTGACGAGATCATCTGACTAACTTTCAGATGCAGAGAATTACGACGAAAGGTACGCAGCGACATTTTTTTGAATACCCTGGGTTCTATTCCAAACACTCCCGTTCCGGTTACAAATCCATACCAAACGATGATTTACTTAGATGACGAGTCGGAGACGTGATTCACGGTGACGATACATCTTTAAAAATTCCATTCATGCCTTTCTGATTATATGTTTTTGAATCTCCGAGAATGAGAGACAAGAGCGGGACGAATGGACTGGAAGCCCTCAACAGTTTACAAGAGTATTCTTGCTAACAAATCAATATAGCATTTCAGCACCAGGATGGAGCGTTGTACTTTCGAGATTTCATCTCTTATTCAGTCGAGCCACTTTGAAAATACAGGAATGACACAGGATGAACAAGAAATAAATCAAAGACAAGCATATGTCTGATTCTTAAGATGAGTATTTCCAAGTCTGATGATATTCCTGTAATTTTCTAGAGAGGTGCGATAAGAATGAGAATACCAGCGATAAGGTAAGTTTTTTGTGTCAAACTTCCGAATATGGAAAGTGGCTGGCCACTCCTCGTTACAAGCTTCCAAAACGGGCAAGCAATCACCTGAAAGCCGGAGATTGTTGACTTCTCTTCAAACGTATATGATGATCATGCACAACTCACGACGGTCAACTGAATCTTTGTGATTGATAATACGGCTGTGACTAGCCGTGCGACCTGAAATAATAATAATAAAAAAGAAGAGAAGTGAGAAAATCTCCGGGGCACTAGGGACGAACCCGGCATTTGGAGCAAAAGGATGTGACTACATGTATTCAACCGATTACTAACTCAGTGTTTCCTACTGGAACCAATATATAGCCTAAATCAAAAATTCAGTGACATAACCTTAATAATTCGAAACCCGCTTGCCCGTAAACTACACATGCTTTAACCCCCCGATTATTAACGGCATAACCCAGGGCATCGATCAGCCAATGTCACGAGGTCCGATGGCTGCGCATACAAAATCCTTCCAGCATTACTCAATGTGGCAAGCCACAACGAGGCAAAATCGGCTGATAATTTTGGGGGTAGAACCACAATTTTTGTTGGTAACAATGATTACTACATACTTATAAATACCCTTGCTCACCTCGGGCGTTTTTTTTTCGTAGACGTAAATTGTTGGTTGTGAATAAATTCTCCATTTTCCCGGTAATACCCTGCAATTTTAGTTGTCGGTATTCCAGTCGATCTTATTACCTGATATCTGAAGCCTGCGTTTCCTGCTATCTAATCTGGAATTTCATAACACAAAACATCAACATACACCTGAGTCGTTTCCTACTTGATCGGACGTTTTTGGCCCTTTGACACTCACTCTCTCATTTCTGATTATTTGGTTGCCATTTTCCTCGGTGCACCATGTCGTTTACAGGAGGTATAAATGTGGTATTGAACCAGCATTACTCCACATCAAAACATAACCCATCAGCATGTTCCAAGTTGTCACAGTCGAACCGAACAGGGAAGCTGATAATGATGGGCTATATCGCTCTTGGACTCACCATTCCTTTTATATTACCTCTTCAGAAGAGTCTGAAGGTGGAAAATGTGAAACATGCCCCTCCACAGATTGGAATATGACTGTGGTGCAGGAATGGGTGAATGTTACGATATCCTTGGGATTCGACCGCCACATATCTCACCACTAGCGTTTTCACTGGTTGAAAATGTTCATATCTTCACAATCTCTGACCCAAGTGCAGACAGACATCATTTGTAACGATGCCGTCTAACCTTGGGCCATGACTAATGCCTCCATCATCACCAACATCACTTACATACAGGCCGGGACGGATTTCTATAGGGTAAATTTTTCAGTTGTACAATAACCAAATTTAGTATTTTAGAAATGTGCGTAGAAAAGTAATTGTATATCATTATCTTGACAATCATTAGATATTAATCAGTTTTTCCGTTCAATCATTATTGTACCTCAGATATAACCCATCGATGAAATGAGGATGCTTTATACCTGGTTCTCGAGACTTTCTAAATCCTTCTAGAGCATCTGCAACATCCCAGCCGCACTTCTCCACCAAATAGCAACAAACTAGATAACCAGTTCTGTTGAACCCGTAATGGCAGTGTACAGCAACCAGTGGTTGGGGGCTAGAGTCCGAGTGAGTTTCACGATACTCCTCCAATATGGACTCCACCAACTCGACAAAGTTCCTTACCTGGACGGAGTCTGGGATGTACTTGGAGACAGTGGGCAGTTTGTGGTATTTGACCCTGGTGAACCCTTCAGGGTTGTAGGAAGGGTAGTCTGACCCAATGTCGATTATGCCTATGACCCTTGGATTGGCGGCTTCGAAACTGGCTGGGTTATGAATTGGGTCTGATTCTCTCAGGGTTTTCATGGAAACCAACGGACTCTCTTCTCCCGTGGTTGGGTTCACAATTGCTTCAGAAACATTCTGAAGCTTGGCCCATTTGAGCTCGTTCTTCAGCCCCCATTTGTCCCCGTTGATGGTGGCCTTGACCTTTAAACACCAGGGAACGCTGATATGCAAATATGGCAATGATTCCACAAAATCCAGTACCAATCCGCTCACCAGCTCTGGTTTGTCCAACAGAAGAGAATGGTTGCAATGGGAAATCTTTCGCAACGTGGGATTTATCCCAGAGTCCTTCAGATACTCATAAGTGGCTTGGGAGGCTTTGAAGGGGGTCACTTTGTCGTCTTCTCCACACATAATTAGTACAGTGGATAAAGCATCATCAGTAGGTGGCACACGGATCCTCTTGCATGCTCTTACTAGCTCTAATCCATCGCATCTTTGGAAACCACGGATGTACTTCAAAAATGTCTCTGAGTCAGTGTCCAGGTTCCATCTCATCTGTCTTAGCTTCTTAAAAGCGGAGTGATTTTCCCCACCGGAGTATATATAGCTCAAAACAGATTTGGATTCAATTCCGCCTATTCTGTCAGCAATCCTAAAGAAGTCGAACAACACTGGGAAAAAGTTGAATATGGAGAGGAAGAACTTCTGCAGAGGTGACACAAACGGCTTCGACCCAACGAAACTGGGAGGCGATAACAGCACCAGAGCCTCCACAGTTTCTGGTTTTAGCTTCAACAACAACTTGGTAGAGATGTGAGTCCCCATAGAGTGTCCCACAAGAATAAAAGTCCGCTTCGGGAAGAACTGATCCAGAAACTCCTGTATGATAGTGGCAATATTTTCGGTCTTGAAATCATCCCACTTTAATTTTTTAAACTGCTTTCTCATCTCCAATTCCTGATCCTTGTCGTAGCTCGAGAGTTTGAAGAAATTGACATTTGGCGTGTTGAACTTGGAGTTGCCAAACCCGGGCAGGTCTAAACTCACGACATCGGCACACTGCGAAAACAACCCCATTAATGGCTCAAACTGTGACATTTGGCCACCCAATCCATGGATTAATACCAACACTGGAAGTGTGTCTAGCTGTTCCAAAAACGTTTTGACGGTGTCGAAATCCTCGACGTTTCTCTCGCTGTACATCCTCAATGGGTGGGGAATAGACAACGTGCAAAGTGGTAGCCCTGACCTCAATTTGGTGATCGTAGAGTATTTTGCAATGATAGTTGCATCGTTTGGTTCATTAAGAACGAGTTTCTCAAATTTGGAGTAAAGAGCAAACTGATCTTTGTTGAAAGGGTTGATCGATCTTAATACGGTCCTTAACACTCTCCCCAGTCTTTTCAATCCTGTGTTCGTTTGAGCCTCCTCAATCCTTTGTAGTGACTCCAGCGTAGATTTCGTCAGTATGACATTAGTGTAATCTCCTATGATTTCGCTGTCTTTGTTCGCCAATGTGTGGACTCTAAGAGATCCCCGTGCTGGGTGGACACTCGATAGAAGAGCCTCCTCCTCCCTCAGCTCTTGATTTATATCTCTAGTATCCATGAGATGATCGTCGATATCTCGCTTCTGAGATACCACTACTGACTCCTCGACTTGAAATAAAAGGTGGTTTTCTCGGAAATGTGAACAAATCACTGACGAGCGCTATCGCCTTGTAAATACAACAAGAGTCTATGACTAAGTCTAATAAGCCCATGTGGCTCCAAATTGAGGAGGCGCACGACAACATGGGGATTGATTGCATGCGATAAGATCTTCGAAGCATGGATGGCCACCACGAACGGATTTGTTAGACAAAAATAAGCTGATATAGTGCACAAGGATATATATGTGGATACTCTGGTAGATTTGCTACTGCTCAAACAAAAAATTGTTTCCTCCTGGCGCTTTTGCGGTTACTGTGATCCAAAAAAGAGATTCAAGCAAATCTCATCTGACATGCAGCATGTTTATATTCGTTAGAAAGGCAGAATTTAGAATCCGATATTCAACTACTTTTTGCCTATAAATCGCATGAAATTTTGTCCATTCACATCACTAGTAATTCTTTCTCCAGCCCCAGACTGGCTGAAATGATCAAATTTTTCCCTCGGCCACGCTTATTTGGGACTCCTCACACGACCTTTTGCGCGTGGGTTTGAGCCGTCAGGGAGAGATGCTCAATCATTCAGGCATTACAACATAACAGGCGTCGTTCCAACAAACTTGTTCCGAGAAACCGAGTATTGGACTCGATTTGATGGGAGTAATCTCCTCTGGCTTAACACGTATTATCTGGGCTCAAAGATAATCCGTGCCCCCACTTGACAAGAGCTGAAACTGGACCGGCCGCAATGAGTTCACTCGTGCCTCGTGAGCTGACACATGTTGAGAGATCTGTGAGTATTTGGGCAATTACACTTGTATAAATCGTTCGAACGACACATGCGGTTTTTTAGAAAGTGCCATAAGAAATTTCACCAACTAACACCACCTCTTCAGGAGCTCAATAAGGTCATGAACTCGCTTAAAGTTGCTCAGCTGAAAAATGTGTGTCGAAGCTTTGGACTCACCATGACCGGCAAAAAGGCTGAGCTTGTGGATAAGCTGGCCTTTTTTGTCAATGACACTCACAATCTGGATCCACAGGAGTATGCGTTGAAGTTGATAATGGTCAAGAATGTCTTCATGTATGCGGAGATGGACATTCCTGATATCCCCTCTCTTGCATGGCTGCGGACTCTGCTATACGAAGGAACTCGTAAGATACGACCTGATAATCTTGCTATTGTGCCTGCAAACGAAGTCCCGTCTTCAAACATCTACGGCGGTAGTAATGCTGCTGCCGACGTCCACCCAGGATCAAACCAAATATCTGTCAGAAAGACCACTTCGTCTGGCCAACGCTACCACATCTACTTCACCCAAAGCCCATTTTTCAAGCTTTCCAAGCTCATGTGCCCGCCTATATCTCTGGACAGGCTTTCCAAGAACCGCATGCATCAAAGAATCGACCTGATGGTCACAGAAGCGGACTTTCTCGGTATTCAAAGTCAGCAATACAAGATCTTCTTCTATTCTGGAGAAGTGCTACCTAATGTTATGGTGAGAGATTCAGCTGCGGTTGAGTATCCTGGTCATTTTGCAATTCACGTCAATGGTACAGATGTTACCACGACAATAGGCGGTTTGAAAAACAAAGTTGGTACTTTCAAGCCTGCGGACTTGACAAAAGGGATCAAGCAGGGCCACAACGACATAAGCTACTACTATGGAGCTACATCGAAAAGATATCTTTTCTATATACACAAAGTTGAAGTTCTACCCTTCGACGTGGTCGCGAAGCAAGTCATAGACAGGCCGCATATAAGCAAACTGGCCGATCTACAGATCCTCAAGGGAGACGATGAAGACGATGATGATTTGATTATTGAAGGAGCAGAGATTGTCACGCTAAAATGTCCAATTACTATGGCCAAGATGAAGGTTCCAGCCAAATCCATAAAGTGCAATCATCTTGCTTGCTTTGACCTCACCTCGTTCTTGCAGCTCCAGTTCCAATCGCCTAGGTGGAACTGTACCGTCTGCGGCTCCCCCATCACTTTCAATGACCTAGCTGTTGATGATTTTTTCAAAGAGATTGCTGCTTCTACGGATGAAGACACAGAGTTTATAGAGCTTGAACGGGACGGATCGTGGAGACCAAAGAAGGAGGAGATCAAGGCGGAAGCCTCTAAAGAAGAAATTCATAAAGAGCAGCTAGTTGATGTGAAGCCTCAAACCAAACCTCCGTTTTTGACACTGGCGTCGGCATCGTCGCCCTCGAGAGAGTCTCAGCAGCCCAGGGACGTGATTGTCATTCTCAGCGATTCTGATGATGACGAGCCTGAGCCGTTGCCTATTCCTCCGAGATCAAACCAGCCGCGTGGTCAAAAGAGACAAGCTGAGTCTGAGCCAAATAGCGGTGATAATAGCGATACCAGTTTCCAATTCGAGGACGCTGGACTGGCTGATTTGTTTGAGAGCGATCTGTCTTCTGATGAGAACTCTGAGAGTCTAGCACAGATGATGTCCAGACATTCTGGAGAGGTCACCCAAGACCAGGAAGATTCTATTGTGGTACCTAGTCATACTCATGCTATGAGGGTTGATTCAGAGTCACCTGTCCAAACTCCAGACGTTCAGGTCTCTTCAGACCAGATTTCTTCGCTCAACGCCTTGCAAGCTCCACAAGCCCAGGCTGTTTCTGATCCGACTCGACCTGAAGTTTCAGGTTCACTAGACCCGCAACCTCAAACACAACTCGAGGCTTTGGTCCCGGCAGATCTAATTGCTACTGACGAAATCACCATGACCGATAGCGGACTGGAAACGGAACCTACACAGAAAAACACCGAACCTTCGACTACTGTTCAGAGAGAATCTTCTGATTCTCCAACTACGGCTGTTTCATCTCCAGGTCAATTTTTCAGTCCTTCGCGGTCTCAGAATGAACTCCATACACAGCTACAACCAGGCGTTGTATCTGAATCTGCGACTCGATCTGGCTCGAACATTCGTCCACTTTCTTCCAGTGGTTTCCGAAACGCTTCAGCTTCTCCCCTGCCACCTCCGCCTTATCCCCCTCCTTCGTCTCTCGCGGAGAGAAGACTTCCAATGAATAACCATGGTTTGCCGACTTCGGTCAAGAGATCCCACTCCTCTATGGAGGTTGAAAACAACAAGATAAGGAGAATTGGCGAGATTCAAATCCCATCTTGGATTCACAGTTTACATCATTCAAGTCAGGATCAAGGACATAGCTCTAACGGAACAGATGGATATTCTGGGGAACCTCTCCAAAATCGCAGAGACGTCGTTGCACAGACATCTCGCCCTGTCCCTAACACCAACATGGACAGCCCCTTTACTGTTGAACAAGTTTACCAAGTGGTTCCCCCAGCATCTTCCAACCCTCTGGGACTGTGTAGGGAAGCCATAGGGCTTAGGGAGGAATGGATGAGCAAGCAGAGGTCAACATTGCATCCGTTGGGACAGATTGGCCCACAAACCGAGGAAGGGCTACAAAAGGCGATAAACAGGACTTCTGAGCCAGCTTTTGAGGCTGCTGCTGCTGCTGCTGCTGATGTGTCTTTGCCAACACCGCCCCCGAGGGAGCCTGATACACAGACAGCACATGCTGCTCAACAGGTCCTCCCAAAAGCTGTAAACCCGTGGTTGTCGGCATTCCCCAACTTCATGAAAGGAGACGCTTTTCTCATGAGAGACGATGAATCGAACGGAAATGAGGAGGTAACGACTACAAACGGGGAAACCGACGGAACGAAAGGTCAAAAGCAGGGAATGCCAGAACTTTCAGCATCCAGCTCAATGGAGACACCTCTGTTTCTGACTGAAAGTGACACTCCTTTGCACAAGCCGGAACAACCAGAGGCGATTCCCGAGACACGAGTGACGATTCCATCGTGGTCTTCGCAAAACGTTTTAAGAGTATTGCCTAATCCAGAGAATCTAAACGTGGCCAACATTGACGATGAAGATTGAATCATTACGACGCAACGCAACGCATTGGACCCATCTGAGTGTACTATATATATATCGAATGATTCGCTCTTGCTAGATGAACGGAATGAGAGTTTTTGTAGATTTTCGATACCGGCGATAATCGTCTCCAAAGAAGGATACCAGTTTGGTTTCCTCGTCTGAATATATGTTAGTATAACGCAAAGAGGTCACTGGTTCAAAAAAACACTTACACCTTATTCTTCTGCTGAAAAACTTCCACAGTACGACCCCGAAGCCAACCAGACAAACGGGATTTTGCAGCAGCATTTGGGTTCCCAAAGCCCACCAGAAAAACCCGGCATATGACGGATGCCTCGAGAGACTGTAAACACCTTTCGTCACGAGAAGATGATCCTCGCGTTTGGTTTGTGCAATAACGTGGGAGAAAGACTCGCCCGCTTCAAACATGGCCCTAGACCTTAGAAATTGACCCAAACAAGTGATAGAAGTTCCGGTAATAATGATCAAGATCCGATTGTTCTTCCAATTCGATGTAAAGTACGATTCCAACAAGTACTCTGCAACAGCTAGGATGTGTGCGGCGATGTATTCGGTGCCGTTATTGAGCAGAAACGCTGTTGGGGAATAAGTTAGCAAAAAATCACTGCCGAATTTGTATATCAGAAAATTAACTCACAGTCCTTCGTGACCTTCGAGGAATTGTGTTTCGCGGTGATATAGTACTCCAAAAAGTGGAATACGCTTAGAGCCACGAAGTACACTGCCAATGGGCTGAATCTGGTGAAAAGGACGAAGCCAAGTGATACCCCTCCAAAAGCACCCACCAAAAAAGCTGTCAGACTTATCTCATGAAGAGGGTTGGCCTGCTGGTCTTTCTCTGTTGCTTCTGAAGTCATCAAATGCGAATTTGGTTAGTGTAAATGCTGCCTTGTTCCTCCGTTGTAACTATAAAAGACAAAACGTCTTTACACTCCTGATTTTGTCGTGTACTGCCGGTTTGTACATCTCATCGCAGGGTTGCCTATTTGGGACGGCTCAACCGAGGAAGATTAAGGAAATGAGAGACCGAAAGCACCGGAGTTTCTAGATTAAGTGTCAAACTAATGGGAAGTTATGTTCTGAACAATGGTAGATATGATTATAGTCGTCTAAGACGGCAGGAGATGTGGTGATGAGTGATACAAGACAGAGTCCAAGGATATAGAAAAATCAAACGGCAAGTCGTAAATTTAACGAAAAAGGAAGCATGCGCTTTGAAACTTTTGGTGAGTACATCTAATAGAGGTACTTGAAATCCGGATGGAAATCAGCCTTCAAGAGTCTCTGTCTCTCAGTCAGGTCATCTTCCCATTTCTGTCTGTATTCAGGCGTCGCCTTCTGCTTATTCCTATAGAGCACCAGGGCAAAGTATGCCAAGTCCACAACGATAGAAAAGGCAACGAAGGCAATGCAGACCGCTAATCCCATCTTGTAGTTGGGGGCGTCACCGTTAGGGAAAACCCATGGCGATATGATACCACCAATGTTACCGAAACCAACCACATATGCAGTTCCAACGGACTTTCTCAAGTGTCCAGCAAAATTGAGCGAGAACCAGCACACAATAGCAGGCATGGCACTGTAGCATCCCATGGCAGTCAGAAAGCATCCACCGTATTTCAGGTTCATGTTGGATCCTCCCTGCATGACAATAGCCAAACCAACGATGGCAATGAGAGAGGAAAAAATAGCAAATGGCAGTCTAAGAGCTACTCTGTCAGAAACAAATGCTGAAATAATGGAGAAACCGAAAGCCACAATCCATGGATAGATGGAGTGACGCTGGGCCTCCATGGCGGTGTAGCCCAGACCCTTGATGATTGTGGGTGCAAAGTATGCGTAACCGTAGGAAGGAATAATCAGACCAAAGTAAGCAAATCCACAGATGAACAACATGGGGTCCTTGAAGACGGAACCAATATCCTTTGGAGTGAGCTTGAGATCGTATCCTGAGTCACCGGCGTAGATGGCCAACTTCTCACGGATGAATGCACGCTCGTTGTCGTTCAAGAATCTGGCCTCTTCAGGGAAATCAGCGATCGTGAGATACAAAACAACAGACAGACCAGCAGTCATTGCACCCTCGATGATGAAAATCCACTGCCATGCGGCAATTCCATGAACTCCATCGAGGTCGTGGATACGGTAGGCAAGAGCACCGGCACACCCACCAGCAAGACATGTGGTGGAGAAAAACGACGAGAATCTTCTCTGAGATTCAAGCTTGGTGTAAAAGTTGGCAAGGATGTAGAAAAGGGCTGGGAACGAACCAGACTCGAAGATACCGAGCAAGAAACGAGTGCCCACAAGTCCACCAAAGTTGGTGACAAATCCCATGCCGATCGTCACGATACCAAAGAAAAAGATACACAAACTCAGCCAAATGTGAGGTTTCACAAATTTCATGGCATAATTCGACAGAATCTCGAAGAAGACGTATGGAACGAAGAAAACCGTCAACGCAGTGTTGAACTGGTTTCCCACAAGACCGAGGTCAGCCTCAAGGCCATACACCTTGGAGTTGGAGATGTTGACTCTGTCCAAGAAGGCGAGGAAATAAAGCAAACAGAATGGAGGAACGACACAAAGATCGATTTTCCACATCAGCTTGCGGTGGTTGATACCATGTTTGGCTGCAAGGTCTGCCACAAGAGTCTCCTTGTCTGCATCCGAAAGGGCCAAAACAGACTTCTCGTTCTGGGCTAAAGCCCCCTCCGTCTGGGGCTTATCGAAGGATTCCGTTGAAGACGACATATATTAAATGTCTTGCAAGAACAATGGAAATGAAATCGCAAACAATATGGGAAAGATTTCAAGATCTGGCTGCAGGGCGGACAAAGGGTTTTATACGAGAGTGAAAAATTCAAATTGCCGGTACAGGGATGCGGGTACCCTGATTTTTTTCGGACCTCTCTATTGAGTCACACTCATTGCGGGTCATCGATGTCTAGCCGGTACCGGCTTATTAAGTAGGCTCTTAGCGCTTTCTACGTGCGCACGAGATTTTGGGTTCTGAATTTGTTTGTGGAGTGATTTCTTTGAAATGTGATTCTCGTAGATTTATTCTGAGGTTATATCATGCTGGCCATGGTTCAAATATCCACACATCTCTCGTTAAAGACCTCTTGGAAGTGCATGGCTAAATAGGGTCCCTCTGTGCGGGGGGACAAAGGGTCGTGCACTGAAATAGGCAAAATCCGGGCCGGTGCACAGAGTGCTCGTAATTTCCCCCTCCACAAAGAGGGGTTCTGGCGTTGATTCTGGGGAAATCTTCGTCTATACTAGCGATGTAATAGATTCTATGTGTGTTAGTGATAATGTGGGGGACGTTGCTCGTCCCAGTCGTTCTTCGTCTCAGCCGTGTCAAGTTCAGCCATATTAGTCCGGCTGGAAATGCTTTGGACGCACCCTGTTGGGACCCACATGCCGGTCGTGGACAGCGAACGAATTTGCTTCATGAAGTAAACCTGATCACGAGACCGGATGCCGCATGTGCTGATATAAGCGCGAACCGGTATCAACTTCCAAGTTTGTCCTGAGTCCGTTGAAACACGACTAACTAAAGTATACGAAGATACATTCTTATCTCTTATTCAACGCCAATAGGTTTCTTCACTATCTTTATCTGAGCCTCCCTCAAGTGTATCATTGGTCACCGAATTTTAGTCAACTGATCTTAAGTTTTATAAAATACGAAAACAAGGACCAAAAGTTCAATCGGAAACCATACTTTCATCAACCACAGCATGCGTGAATCCGAGATGTAAGCCCTAAACCCTCTAAGTGATAGCATTCACCCAAAAACACATCCGCACTTCTTATGGCGTGTGAATCTGCGCACATTCAATATTGCACCAGTAGCTGAGCCCTGTAGGGTTCATAAGATTTTGTCATGGGTCATGGTTGTGAAACACACTAGGACTGTAACTAACATTGAGATTAGTTGTGTGTACTGATAGTTGTGTATGCTGATGTTTGCATTACCCAGAAGTGGTCTCACAGAATTGCTGCATTGGCTTGAAGGCTTCAACTGCCCGCCTTTTTGGTTGCGTAGAGCGGCTAGGCAAGAGTTGCTCGTTAAGTCCCCCGGAAGTTCCATGCCAAATGCTCTTGGAACAAAATCGCAATTAACCCAGTAGCCCTCGGAAAACTAAATCAGGTTACCAATAATTCTCGCACTAAATACACTTTTACACTCGTGCTTCATTGGCTTTGCTTGATCTATTTCTAAGCCATAACCTACGCAAGGCGTTCAATACTGCGTGCTGTACCGAGGTTTGTCATCCCGAGAGTCCGAGCACTCATATGGCACCTGCTAAATTACCCCATATGGACGCATCAGTGCTGCGTACGCTTATTATCGCCCGCGTTTTTGTTTTTTTTGCAATAATTTTATAAACTTCCCTTTGATTGTAAGCTAGTAAATTTGGATAGTGGCAACATTTCCGAATTTGTAATATTAATTGGGGTGAATGATATAAAAAGGGCGTTGACGCTCTGTAGTTGGAACCTCTATGGAGTGATCAAATCAAATCAAATCAGTAGTTCTCTACAACCCATTTATTCTCCATCAAAATGTCCCAACAAACCGTTTACCTTGTTACTGGTGCCAATCGTGGAATTGGATTACAAATTGTTACCCAATTAGCTGCCAATCCGTCCAACACTGTATACGGTACTGCTCGCAATCTCGCAGGTGCGGCTGATCTCAAGGCTTTGGCATCGAAACACTCCAACTTCAAACCCTTGGAGGCTGATGTTGTCAAGCCCGAGACACTCAAGAAGGCAGCCGCTGTTGTAGCTAATGAGAGCGGACATATAGATGTTCTATTGGCCAATGCTGGTGTCGGTGACAGTGTGTCTCAAGTGAAGGACCTTAGCAAGGATGCTCTCAGCTACCACTGGGAAGTCAATACCTGGGGTTCTGTTTCGACCTATCAGGCTTTCCGTACGTTACTCTTGACATCCAAGCAGAAGAAGTTGGTATTTGTCTCTACACTTCTTGGATCCGTTAATGATTATCTCCCTATTCCAACCACAGCATATGGAGCTTCTAAGGCCAGTCTCAATTACTTAGTCAGAGCTATTGCTTCCGAATCGAAAGAGGAGGGCCTTATTGTTCTCTCCATTCACCCGGGTCTCGTGGCCACTGATATGTCTGCAGCTATAGATGAGAAAGTTAATTTCGCAAAGCTTGGCATCTCAACTATAACACCAAAGGAAAGTGCAGAGGGAATTATTGCACAGGTGGAGAAGTTGACCGAAACCGATCAGTTTCTTGATTACACCGGAGCTGTTCATCAGTGGTAAGTCGTGAGAGGAATTTAGGAATATAGTGACCTAATTTGTGTTTTATGTTATATTTCTAGCTACCTTAATTTGAATGTTTGCTAATAAAACACCATAAGTAACAACCAAGTGTTTGCCCATACTGACAACCCACCGTCAGTCGTGCACATGCCCCAATTATGTCTTAGGTTTCGATTCGAGACGCATGCAATGTTCATATTTGATAAACACCCCGTTTGACCCCCAGTTTCTGATGTGCGTGAAGAAACAATTTATGTAGAGTGCCTTATGCTGAAACTTGCGGAATGTAGTGTGATGTAACTCTGAAGTCAGCGATTTCTCAACACGTCTACGGTTATTCGCTCCCTAAATGCAACTAATGACTTTATTAACATGACCTATCTATAGAATATGCGTTGACTGAGGCATCGAAGGATGCATGCGTGTCGAATCACACTATCGTACAGCACTTGGAGTCTGGGGATTCTATTGGCTTCTGCTTATTGTTAGAGACTCTTCTTGATTGACTTTCTGTGTGTGTGGAAGTAAATCCTTCTGCGGCAATAGCAGGTTCTACCTCGTGCTTATAATCAGGAGTATCCTCTGGATCCTTGAAACCCTCTTCTTCTTCATCTTCTTCTTCTTCTCCTGCTTCTTCTTCTTCTTCTTCTTCGTGTTTCTGGTTGCTTTCCTGTTGTGAATGCTGTTGTTCATGATATGGATCTTCTAGAACCGTTTCCAGAGTCTTATCTTGGATGTTTCTTTTCTTTTCATCCAGTCTCTCGACGATCGACTTAAAGCAGTCATCCAAATGCAAACCGGTCTTGGCCGAGCACTCGTAGAAAAGATCAAAGCCAAGATTCCTTGCCAAGGACTCGGCTTCCTCACGAGAAACTTGTCTTTCCTCCTCGAGATCAGCCTTGTTTCCTACGAGAACAAGCAATGGATTCTTTTGGATATCTTCCAAACTTCTCACTGTTCTATCGTGGATCATAGTGACCGACTCAAATGTGGGCCTGCTGATGACACCGTAACTAATCACGATGCAGTCCATCTCTGCCAGCTTTTGTAAGTCCTCATTGTAGTAATAGTCGGAACCACTGAGTGCGGTATCCAGTATTTCCAGTTGATAGTCTCTGTTGTTAAGAACTATTCTTTTGCACAAGGTTTCCTCCGGATGACTACCATCATCTTCTTCCTCTGTTATGAGCACGTTCTGAGTGTACTTGGATACAAAGCTCGATTTACCACTGTTGTTATCTCCCAGTATACATATTTTGTAGTGAGTCTGTAAACTGTTAACAAGGGATCGCCTGAGAAGTTCCGTAACGGTTTCGAAAACTTACCATCGTGAAGATATGTATTTAAATAACGAATGCAAAGAATGATGAGTTGTTTAGATGGGTGGAAAAAACTGAGGAAAGCGCGTTACAATATTGTGGTGTCACGGATCCAACGAAGCTTATAACGAACGAAAAAAGAAACTAGCAAGTCAGAACACCCTCTTTTGAAAGAAAACCGTTTTCATGCATGACGGAACTCTCGTCCCCCCAATTAGTGTGCAACACTCAATTAAAAAGAAATTGGTGCAGGGAAGGGGATAGAAAAAGAAACTTGCAAAAAAGAAACGACTCCGAAGAAAGGATAAGATTTTTTAGGTTGAAAAACAATAGCTGGAATGTTGGCAGAGGAAGGAACCCGTTAATGGTATACACCTGAACTATGGGCAACAGAATGAATATTAGAAACTCGTAACTGCAATGATCAAGTATTTAACAAGTTTCAGCGCGTTTCATAAACTTAAGCTTTGTCCCACCGACGGCACATTCCTCTGTCGTTATCTCCAGTCAATTGAATTTCGAATGCAATCACGGGCGCAAGGCAAAATGCCCGAGCTGCGTGTGTGGTTGGGGTCGTGTTGTAGAATACTACCTAGATATTTGGGCTATTGACGAGTCACCATGTGGCATGCATATGATATTGGCGTAGAAGGCGCTAATCACCACATTGGGCATATGTAAAAGCACAACTCTACCCGCCCAGTACCTGCGCCAATACTTTGATAGTTCAGCTGTCTAGTCCGATCCTCTACCCTTGGATTGCTCTTTTTAGTTCCAGGTAGCCGTTCATTAGCAAACTCCGGTCCAAACCCTGTCCTTTCTTCTAATCGCTATCAGCTTGGCAAAATTGCTATTCATTTTTCTAGCATAATAATACGCTTACCTAAAGTGGTATTAGTCCCGGTTACCTTTTTGGCCCAAATGGGATGAACCATCATGTGCTCTGCGACCGTACGTTTTTCAATGCCTTCTGGCGTCGTTATTCATTATGGTAGTTATAAGTGCAATTCTACCTATACACGCTCTTTCTCCTCGCATGGGTATCTTCCTCGTACCTCATTATGATCGACTTGAGGTCGCCCGTGACCGTTACTTGTTCCAGCCATGAGTCTAACTTGTCTAGGTGAGCCTCTAACACGTGTGGAATGGGCAATTCGCCCAAATCTGAGAAGCTCGCTGGATTCAACAAAACATCGAAAATACCAGACCAATCTTCATACTTGAGACCGCGCTTGGGAAGTCCTTTAACAGAATATCTCCCTGAATCCGATCTTATAGTCTGGATATGTTTTCCGAATAACAGCAGGTGTGCGATTGCTGCGATTCCGTACATATCAGGCTGGTAAGTCCATGGCCTTTTTTCGCGCATCTCCGAGCAATCGAGCTCGTTCAACTCTTCTTCCTTCCAATTACAGTTGAAACCACGAACCGGTGGCAACAAGCTCATATCGATCGATCTGCCAAAGTCGATCAGCTTGACTCCCTTCTGCTCCCATCCGCGAGACCCATAGCGGCTATATTGAGATTCCCAGTCTGGGCTAGGCGAAAACCTCACCATGCAGTTTTCTGCCTTCATATCTCCGTGTATCACTTTGATCCGGTGAAGCGCGATGATAATTTTCAGTAGTTCGGCAACTAGAAACACAGTCAGTTGCTCGTCCACTTTGCCACCCATGTCATTGAAAAGATCTAGAATAGTTCCCTGTGGTTGGTAATCCAACAACAAATAGCTTTCATCCTGGTACTGGTAAAAGCCCTTTGCATTGATTACCGATGCCATCACTGCGGGAGACATAGCGTCCTCTTCAAACTTCTGCTGAATCTGCTTTAGAAGGAAAAACTCCCATGCAATCGGTCTGTCTCCCTCTACTTTGATAGCATAGACGTCCCCGTGCGATGTTTCTCCGTAAAAAACTGTGGCATATCCACCTTCACCCAATTCGCCAACAACGTCAATCATGAGATCTCCCAACTCAAGACAGAACTCGCCGTTTCCTTTCGCTCCTTTTGAGTGTTTAGTCTTCTTTTTAAGCTGTTTGAGTTTATCCATGTTGCGATTGAAGTGATGGTAATCTCTAAAAGAGTCCAATGATGGGGTCGCCTTGTGCAACAACGAGAGCCTCAGCTCTCGGTTTGTGGGATCGATCACAGCAGATCCCATCGATGGCGCTGCAGATCCAGGTCTCTCGTTTGAACCAGCCGTAACGGTATGCCTCTCGTTGAAATCCAGGAAGGGAGAACTCACTGGCTCTTCCTCTCTTGGAGGGGACAATCTTGTGGAGGTTGCCGATGTCTCGGTTACCTCGGTGATCGGTGTCATTGTGGGATACAGATATCTGTGTTCTTCCTCATCCAAATTTGAAAGATATTCTTTTTCTTTCTCGTCTTCGTTTGCTTCTGCCGTTTTTCCGTTCTGTTCCTCGCCTTCCTCTCCCTGAGAGGCCTTCAGCGGGATTAACGTTTGTGTTATGTACTCGCCTTCCTCGGAAAAGGTGGTGGTCTCTCCATCATCAGCTGAAAGAGGCTGGTTGATCATCCCATAGACATCTCCAACTGCGGCCTTCGTGAACATCGTCATAGTAATGGTTGGGGATGAAGGAGACTTCCCGAGCGATAACCTATTATTTGATAATCTTCTCTTTGCCTGTGGACTACTCGCCTCTATTTGGAAGCGATAGAGCCCTCTTGCCATCATTAGTATTTCTTCTGCACAACACTCGCCCTCCAATGGGTCTTCCAACATATCCAGATTCATGTTCACCAGCTCGTCCCTCTTTCCAGGTGTCTGCACAAGCTTCTTTACTGGGAACTTCTTTTCTGTGAAAATCCGGATCCTTTCGCTTTGGGGCTTTAGACTCACTTCCATGGGGACAACTTGGCCGGCCCATGAGGTTGCAGGGACAGAATTCTCCTGACCCGATTGGCCATTCACCACAAGGTTCCAGGAAGATACTCTAGAATTAGACTGCAGCGTCTCTCTTAAAGAATGCTGCTGAGGCTCCTCGTCGCGAAGCACAGAGATTGTTCTCTTCCTCTGCTCCAGCGCCGGTATCGTCTGTCTAGTTAAAGCCCTTGTGTCGCCATTTCTCATAATATCAAGTGTCTGTCTCAAGTTTCTCGTCTGGCGGTCACCTTCTCTTTCTTCAGGGGATAGCTGGTCAAATCGCAGTTTGAAGTTATTGTATGACCTCGTCAGTCTTGCAACAGGTCTGGCCTGATAGTCGATGCCCATCTGGTAGATCTCACTGGCGTCAGAGTGTTTCCTGTTGGCCTCCAGATACTTCGCGAACTCCTCATAATAGAGTGCGAAGTCCCTTCCAATTCCCTTCCTGAACACAAGCACAAACGAGTCATAGGGGTTCTCCGCGTAGACACAGTATTCCAGCCATATCTTGAGGTAACGAATATCGTTTTTGTACTGATCGTCTTCAACGAAGTGGCTTGCACATTGACGCAACACCACAACCCGTTCGGATGATCCCTGAGGAAAATTGCCATTCAGCCAACCAAGGTATTCCACAAATGGCTCCAGTGGGTCGTCGAGTTCTTCCAAAATTTTCAGCTTCTCTTCAAATCGTCCACGTGCTTCCTGGCTCTTGTCTCGCGTCCGCTCTGACTTGAACAGCTTGGCCAGTCCAAAGGCGGACCTCCCCTCTCTGAGCGACTGGATATTCTCCTTGTCCTGCTCGATTTCGGAAAATTCCACACTTCTCATGAGTTGATTGGGTGTATAAACGCGATACTGGAGGAGATGTCAAGACAGATTTCTTTGTTTACGTGATAAAGCGACAGGTTTTGGAGATGGTTCTGTGAGACTTTTTGGTAAATACACAACTCAAACCCGCCAGAGATAAGAGTACACTCTATCTTACATTTTTTGAATTCAAAAAAATTGAAAGCAATGTTCTTTTCGCTCAATTCCAATCGCTATTCGACACCTGCAAGTATTAAGTGCAGTTTTTATGCCCGTCGGATTATAGTGATGGTAATGACGATGGCAATCTCAGATTCCTAATAATCTAAGTAACTTTTCAAGCTCAATTCAAATACCTAAACAGAAAACTCAGTCCTACAGACAGTGCCAAACAGCCACAAAGAACTCTTGGCCCAATCTGATCGTCGTATCGGACGGCTCTCTTTCGCCTGATTGCATGACATCTCCAAACGTACATTCCAGAGGCATACACTATGGTCAATGCGGCAGTTAGGTAAAAACCAACAGATGCAAGCAGGCTGACCGCATCACCGTAGCTGAGTAACGTGTGTCCAGTAGCACCAAATATCATTGCAATAGATAGCCATGACAGATAAGTCCTCTCCGTTGCGAAGTACACCTTAGGCTCAACACGGATTGGTGCAGCTATCTTCTTTCCTGGAGGGGCCTGGATTCGGGACTCAAAAATGGTTCCATCTGGGACTTTATTAAATGAATTGTCCGGACCTGCCAGTTTGTTCCAGCAGAACCTGAACGAGTTCAATATCCCGGAGGACTGGCTGAAGGCGTATGACTGAGAAGGCACTAATAGTGCAGTTTGCTCGCCAGATTCGGTCCTCGAACCACCAAACTGGACGTGTTCACTATTGATTGAGCCATAATTGGCTCCAGCTAATTCCTCCTCATCCAGTTCTCCACCGTTTGAGGTATCCTTGTGTCTGACAATACCATACTCAACGTTCTGCTTTGGCTTCCTTATATCAACATCCATCTGAGGCAGCCAGAATGGAATGAGGTCCACTCTTTCAGGGAGCAAAGTGGCACATCCGTGGATGAATTTGGAAAACTTGGGAATAGCTTCAACCAGGTGGGAAGCCACCATCTCGCGAACCCATTCAGGAGGTTCCTGGCCCATCTGAGTCTGCAATTTGACCTCTAGAACAGCATAAGGAAATCTCTCCACATCCTCATCTGGAAGATTGGCGAACGGGTAGTCAACGCCGATATCCATCCGCCTCCAGTTGCCATTGGTACGGTCTTTGCCATCAAAGTTGTCCTCTCTGACCATTGTCAACTCCGTATCCAGAGAAATCCTCACACGGGCGTCTCCTGGCAATTGAAACGCTGTTCTGTTGTAGAAGGACCTCATCACAGGTCTCATTTTGTCCTTGATTACACGATACTGAACTTCCTGCGCCAAACGCTCCAGGGACTCGATCTCCTGGGGTGATTTCTTGCCCTCTTTCCTGGCCTTCTCGAAAACCTGTGAAACGGTCATTTTTCCTGCCAGAAAATCGTTCACGTTCTTCTCTTTGAGTGGGAACCGAGCTTTGACAGATTTTTCACCCGTCCAGTCTTCTCTGTGGGTTTTTCTCTCCACGAAGATGGTGTCGCTGGACATTCCTCCATACCATCTCAAACGAATGGCCTCAGCACCTTCATCTTTGAGCAAACGTCCATAGTACAAATCCATGGCCTTGTCATCATAGTATATAGAGGTGATGGCACTGTCTTCTGCCTGGAACTCCTTGTTGGCATTGAACACCAGCACAGGCAAATGCTTGAGGATAATCAGCTTCAGCTCAGTGATGTTGTCTGGATGGACCCAGTACTTGGTCGTTTGTCTCACAAAATTCTGCATCGAGCCTCCAGCAGCACTGTCGCCCTTGACTGGGTTTCCTCTGGTTCTCACCAGATCATACAGCTTAGAGAGTTTGACTACCAGGTCATCGTAGTTGTCCTTGAAAAATGCCTTCGCCTCCAGACGGGCCTGAAAGATTGGCTTGAGGATGTACTTGCCGTTGGTCTGTTTGTCGTGCTTCTTGAGGATCTTTTGAAACCCAATATAGTTCAGTCTGGTGAACTTGGCGAGGTCATGGACATCGGCTATCACATCCGAAAGCTCTTCCTCCAGATCCTCAAAATTTTGCTCGTAGAACTCGGCCTCCTCTGGTGGACAATTCTTGGAACTCTCAACAGTGGAGAAGACAAGACCCTCGTTCTCTTTGATTCTCCTGAGGATTTCCTGGTGTTTCAGCTTGACGAAGTTAAACACCTTGTCCAATTCCTTCTCAAGCAGTCCGAGGAAATCTTCCTCCAAATCATTTGACCACTTGTCGTCTGATTTGGACATACCTGTCTTGAGTTTATGCTTAAGCTCATCATACTGGATGTAGTAGTAGTTGTAGTCCTTGATGAGCGACGATTTCAGCGTCTCTCCGAACTTCATTGCGCTTGGGCTAAATTAAGTGACCTATAACAACAATTGGGACCGAAATGACTTCTTACCAGCCTCCAGAGAGCGTTTCGAGAGCTTTCGAGAAGTTTTCAAGAGAGTTGCAATTTCTACCGCTTGTTCTCCCGAAGGATGGCAGCCATACTGGGCCAATCTACTGTGACAGGCACGTGGGGTTTTGCTTATGTAATATATGGATTTTGTTGGTTTATACACTACCATCTGGCATTTTCATCTTTTACCTGCTCGGAAAGGCACGTTTCGACATCAGCCGCACTTATACCTGAAAATATTCTGTTTCCGTCCGAGTCGTACTGTGGAACGGGTATATCTGTGCGCAGGTTTCCATCCTTCTCTAGTTGGTTTCTGTTCAATGTGTGTTAGTCCCTGTATCAACGATGAGATGTTTTTGGCTGACTTACATCACCAATGGCTCGAAAAACTTGACGCCTGGGTATGGGATTAGTACGGGGCCTTGTAGGTTTTACTCAGAGGCTATTACTCACCGGTGTAGACACCTACCCCTGCGAAGAGGATCAGTGGTACTGATTTCTGCAAGAACCGAGACATCTTTGCTGAAATGAAGTCTGGTAGGGCCGATAGAGAGAAAGCAGGTGCGATCTCTAAAGGATATATCTTAGTGTTATACCCATTCTAGCGCCGCATATTGTTTCTTTTATGTGCCATTTCGTTAGTTCGAACGTAATGTTGGAAAAATAAAAGAGGCATTTATGCTATATCATCAATGGGCTGCCTTCAGATATTAGTATTCTATGTTATATGTATGGTGATATCCTGATGCTGAATGGCTAGCTCATAACAAACAAACCCTTCATTTGAGTCCGAAACTTCCTCATACATCTCTCCATCAGATCACTGTCCCAAACTCTGCTTCTCAAAATCCTCGTAGTATTCCAACATATCTTGTGTTATTCCCCTTTGCAAATCTTGTAAGGCCTTCTGAAAGTGCCCAACGTCGACCTTATCGCAATGATTGTCCTCCATTATTGCACCCAGTCCAGCCTCCTGACACAGTAGAACCACTTCGGCACCAGAACACCCTTCTGTCTGGTCAGCCAATCGTTCCAAAGATTCCTGTGTCATCTGGAAGCTACGGCATTGGTTCTCTAAAATCTTGAGTCTGGCACTGCGGTCTGGCGGCGCAACGTAGAGATGTCTGTCCAGTCTCCCTGGTCTCAGAAGAGCCGGATCTATTGCTGTTGGGCGATTCGTAGCTCCGAGGATCATCACTCCTTTTAGCTCTTCCACACCGTCAATCTCGTTCAACAAAGAGGTGAGAACGTTGTTATGGGAACCACTGGCACCATCATCTCTCGTACTGGCCAATGCATCTATTTCGTCAAAGAAGATAATCGATGGTGAAGCATTCTTGGCCTTTCTGAAAATCTCTCGTATCGTTCTCTCACTCTCACCAACATACTTGTTGAAAATTTCTGGACCCTTGACTGCCAGAAAGTTGAGTCCAGACTCATGTGCCAGTGCCTTTGCTATCAACGTTTTGGAACAACCAGGAGGGCCGTAGAGAAGCATTCCTCTTGGGGCTTTGATCCCGAGCCTCGAAAACGTATCGGTAGCTATCAACGGGAGTGCAACCATTTCTTGAAGCTTCCTCTTGATAACTTCCTGGCCACCAATGTCACTCCATTTGACCTTCGGTAGCTCCAGGAAAATGTCCTTCATCACACTTGGCTTGATCGTTTTCAATGATTCCTCAAAGTCGGACATCTGGACGTGTCTTCCTGCTTCATGAGAGATCACATTGAAAACACTCTCTCTGCACAGTCCCACCAGATCCGAGCCCACATAACCATGGGTTTTATTGCTGAGAATCTCAATCTCCTCGGATTTCAGATCGCACATCTTGCCCATTCTGCCAACCAGCATTTGCAGTATTTCAAACCGGGCCTGCTGATCAGGAATGCTGATCTCAACCTCTCTGTCAAACCTGCCCATCCGACGCAATTTGGAGTCTACCTTGGTGAGATCGTTCGTGGCAGAGACGACCACAACACGGTCCGAGTCATGAAACGAGTCGAAAATCATGGTCAGGGTACTCGTCAGTTGTGGAACCGACAAGTCAGCTTGCTGTTCACCATCACGATCATCGTTTCCTCCGGTTAAAGTTTCTAGTTCATCAATCATGACAACACTTGGCTGAAACGTCATTGCTTCCTTGAAGATCTCCTTCAGTTTGAGCTCGGTGTCGCCTAAGTACTTCGAAACGATTGACCCGTAGTCAATTTTAAGCACATGGGTATTCTCAGTTCCAAAATATTCGGAAACGCCCTTTAGGATGGTGGTTTTCCCCGTACCGCTGGGTCCATGGATTATCAGACCTCTGGAAGGTGTTATCCCATACTGCGCAAAGCTATCTGGTGAGTATAATGGTATCGAAATTGAGCTATTGAGTAGCTCCAATTGACGAGCTATTCCTCCCAATTGGTCAAAAGCAAGCTCTAGTTTTGTGTCTTTAATCTCCTCCACCGTATACGACACTGTGGTGAGCTTCTCGTTGAAAATACATGGGGTCTTTTCGAGTGATTCTTCTAAGGACAGGTCTTCGATACTTAGATCCGAGCTCCATACCCGGTCCACCTTCATACCTTGACTGGATAATACCATTCCAGGGTACAATACACCAATATCATTCAATTGTCTCAGTAATTCCTTGTTAGTTCTGGATCCGTCGTGTGATATGCTTGCATGCTTCGCGAACTTCAGATGATCCGCCAATTGTGTGATCTTGAGCCTTTCTCCGAAACATAACTTGTTTCCACTGGTTTGGGCATTCCACCACTTTAAGAAGCTGGGTGAAACGTATATTATGCGGTCGCGGAACGAGTCGTTAGCTTCGTCTGTCTCTATAGGCCTTATCATTCCTACTAGATGGTCGTCATTCATGGATGCCAGCCGCGAGAGTCGCACGAAAGATTTTGGGGTCAACTGAAGCCCCTGCATTGCGGCAGGTGATACCTCGAAAAATGCCAAATGCTTGAGCGAGCCCTTGTTCGTTACTGAGGGCCTCAGTATGAACTCGTTAGCGAACGGCTTAGACTTCTTCTCCAGCCCCGAAGGTGTTCCAAGACCCGAACTGGAGCTCGACTTCTTCGTCGGCGTATTCAGAGTCGACTTGGGTGCCATTATTCCGGTTGCAATTGGTGTCTCTGTTTTGTGAAGCTGTAGTTGGTACGTTAACCAGCCTCTTTATCAGAGAAAGAAAAAAAACCTGGTATCTGTGCTTATGTAAGTCCTTAGTCATTCTCATCTGTAGGGGCACTACCTTACTGAGGAAACTGTGGCTAGCGAAAATGTCAGAATCCGGCTTATAAATGAGCCGTCGGTTACCTTCTGCTCCACCCCGAGTATTCGTATAAAGAGAGAGGGAAGAGCATCTTCATGTCTATTATTCGTGGTGTTAAGTGTGCAGCACGTTTATTCTCAACTTCAAGCTACAGAATGTCAATCACAGAAGTAGGGTCTCTTCCAGAATTCAGAGCCCAAATCAAGGGCAAGACCTCGGTCGTTGACTTTTACGCCACATGGTGTGGTCCTTGCAAGGCAATCTCGCCTATTGTCGAGAAGTTGAGTGACTCGTATCCTCAGCACAAATTCTTCAAGGTTGATGTTGACCAGGCTAACGATATTGCTCGTGAGTATGGTATTAGTGCTATGCCTACCTTTCTTCTGTTCCAGGACGGCGTTAAGGTTGGCCAGGTTGTTGGTGCCAATCCACAGGGATTGAAGCAGGCAATTGACCAGCTCGAGCAATAAATGGAGGAAAACTCGGGCTATTTTGAGCAAAGCATTCAGCGAATTTTGGCAAGTTTTCGGAAATCTTCAGATCTCTAGAAGTCCATCCAGTTTAGACGGCCTTCAGCCGCGCTTTAAGATTTTTACAGATTTCTACAAGACTCGAAAAATTTTCATACATTTCATTATCTTTTGATGTATTTTAACCAACTTTAGTCTTAACTCCATTAGATCCCAACAAGTATCTCCCTTCTTACGTACAGGCAATAGTACGCAGACGCTAATCGCACTAACTCTTGTGACACTGCCCTTTCTACATTGTAATGAAAAATGCAAATTCGTGTTTGAGCCATGTATGTACAGCAACCTCTACCGAGAAATATTCCCGGACAAGAAGACCAAACGACCAAGCAAGTCAAAAATCAGAAAAGACTAAATAATGAAAAGAGCACGTGAAACTAGAAAAATAAAACCGGAGTCTCCCTTCCAAAGAGAAAACTCATACCATAGAACTTGAGGGCAGAAGGGAGTTCCATAACCCCTTTGGTCAGCCCCCATATTTTATAGATGAAAAACGTCATTGAAGCCAGCTGCTCACCTCTTGTCGAACAACCTGTAGCTCCGCATCAGGTGGTCACCTGGACCAGGGGCATCGCACTGCGGCTGTGACTTCGAGCATTTGCACTGAGAGATACCCTTTTTGATCTGGTTCTGGATCAGCTCCGACTTGGAGAATCCGTATTTGGACCACTGGATTGGCGGCAGTGAAGGCACCTTCGCGGGTGCCGGGAGCTTCTCCTTGCGAGACTTGAGACTCTCCACAAACGCATGGGGGTCTTTCAACGCACGTGTCTGGGTTCTGTTCAAACGGCGTATGTCTTCCTGGACAAGTCTGCGCTGCGATTTCAGTAAAGTCAGTACCGAGCACAGGGCGATGTAGTCCACGTTGTTTTCCAGTTCGTGCTTCCGCTGCTGTGGGTTGTCAACAAGTTGGGGCTGTGGCTTCGTCAGCAATTGTTGTGGCTGCTGCTGTTGCGGCTGTGGTTGTTTGTCAGAGATATCTGTTGGCGAGAGTGACCTGTTTCTGGGCGGCTGGCGAGTATACAGCTCCAGATCCTTCGGCTTCATCGCAGATGCCAACCCAGCAGCGCAAAACTTCTTTGTCTGCGGCTGTTCAACGATATCCATCTCCTTGCCAAACCGCTTGGATGGCAGAGGCCGCGGAGGCGCTTTTAACGACGCTGCCATCTTGTAGGACCAAACTCCGACCTGATAGAAAAAACTGGTTTGAGGTGGTGCACTAGCCAGAGTAGCCGCGGGAGAAAAAAATTTCGGGTTATTCCGATTAATCTAGTTCTCTGGAAGGTTCGGCGAGTGTAGTATGTGAGGTTGTGAGCTTGTTAGGGTGATTTTTCAGAGCAACGAGCAACGAGCAACGCATCCAGATGTCGCGAACAAGACAAGAACAAGAACAAGACCAGAAAGCGGCACAGGTTTCACGGCAGTGCAATATATACAGTGGAACAGGCTTGCCAAAGTGGTGGAAAAGCCCTTGTGTCCTTGCGGGCGTGTTGTGGTGGGTGCAAAGGAACGTGTCAAACGCTTGTTCGGATAAGGTGGTGGTGGCCTCTCCGGACATCTCAGTTCAAGGGGGGGAGTTGCCGCGCCACCCGTCATTGGTGGCCACGAGAGGGTAATGTTTCCGTAAACGGATAGTTTGGATGGGGACTACGCGTTGGTAGTGCGAGGGATATTAGTGTATACACGACCATTTCTGCATGAGGCGTACAGCTTATCTGTTCATACATAAAAGGTTTGACACTTTGTTCCGATATTGCTGTACTTATTTATAGTCTGGGAACATATACGAAGTCTCTGTCATATTTACACGGTTAGATCGTTGTTTTTTTGCGCGAGATTCAAGCCTGATTTGGCTTATCTGCCTTATCTGCCTCATCTGCGTTCTCAATAGCCTTGCCTGTCTTCCCCTTCTCTTCTCCCTTTCCAATAACCTTCTCTGTCTTTTTCGCATCCTCTCCTAACAGCTTCTGGATCTTGGAAATGTCATCCTTCATCAGTCTTCCCGTTGCCTTGAACCTCCACGCAATTCCGTCCTTCTCTTTCAACTCCTTCTTCTTGCGTTTGCGTTCCTCCAGCAATAGCCCAATCTTATCATCATAGGTGAGCCCAGATTCCGCCTCTTGTATGCTTTCCTTTCCAAACATTACATCAAAAACACGGCCGTCTCCCCAGAAAAAGCCCTTGCGATCGACAATCCAAGGGAATCTGTGACCTTTCTCCCAGAGAAAGAAGAAAAACAGCTTATCGGATGTACCGTAAAACCCACGTCCTGTCCAGATTTTCGCCTTCCCGTGCCTGTTTATCTGCTCCAAAGGAATTGTAATGACAGGAGTTGGCCTTCCGGGGATCAGTGGGTGCGTGTAGAACTTGACGTGATCCACGGGGCCTGGTAGATACCACATCCGTCTGATCAGCCTCGTTGGTGTCATCAGCAGCATGTAACCGGCAACAGCAGGCATAATCGCCAAAATGATTGTCAGTCCTCCCTGTGACACAAGCTGTAGATACCTCGCGTTCTGTGGCAATTGGAGGTCGTTTGCGCTAAATGTTGTCCAAGCCAGTTCCAATCCTATGGATAGAGCATTCAATCCATAGATGATGTATAACAATCCCAAACACACACTGGCAAAAAACCACAATTTGTGAGGTTCTGCGTCGTAAATGAGCTCCGGTTCCGTCTTTGATTTGAGGATTTTGATCATCCTTTTCAAAGGCATGTCTCTTCCTGGCTGAGGAACCCCAGGTCTAGGAAGAAGTGTTGGAACGTTCTCCTTTCCAAGAGGAAATTGGGGAATCCGGCCTTTCAAATCGTTTGTAAGTTTAGCCTCCCCCGGAATGTGCTTTGATAGGTCGGAGCTGTATCTGTGGAACTGCAGCTGTTTTGTCAGACCCACGGTTGATGGAGAGAAAGTCCACACCTTCACCATAGTCTGCGGCAACACCCACGCCCCCGTGATGCTCTTGCTGCTCAGCATCCGCACACAGCGCATCGGTGCCGTAATATTTATTCCCAACTTTGCCAGAATCATTGTGCTGGCCGAGTATTCCACTGGTGCTTTGGGTCTCAAGTGTCCAGAGCTGGTGAAAAAAGGGCCCCATTCAGCGCCCAAAAGGGTAATGTGGTTGGTGCACTAATTTTCATCGGGGCTCAGAACTTAGCTGCAGAGACTACTAGTCTCAAAAGTTTGTGATACTCTTGTTATTTCAGCTCCAGATTGCGTTGTCTTGTTTCAGTCGATTACCAGCCACTGCTAATGTCAGCAAATAGAGCGTACGTCAACAACTTCAGGAGCTCGGATAGAAGGTTGGCCGCAGGGGCCAAGGCAACCCAGTTCCTGCACACCTCCACACAGCCGGTGAAGCTCAACCATGCGATGCTGAATTCTTCGTCTCAGATACCTGATGGCTCGAAGGTCGAGACAATAAAGGATGGAAGAAAGGTGGTGAAGGGTGTAGTGGTGGGTGAGAACAAAATCAAGACTGTTCAGAGAACAGGAGGGGGGAAGACGTGGAACGACCCGTCACTGTTGGAATGGGATCCCAAGCATTTCAGGCTGTTTGTTGGAAATCTCGGGTCCGATGGCTCCGATGAATTACTGTATAGAGCTTTTTCACCCTATCCAAGTCTCACAAAGGCCAAAGTGCCGGTGGACCCCAAGACACAGAAGAACAAAGGGTTCGGGTTCGTGGCGTTCTCAGATCCAGACGACTATCTGAGGGCTTTCAAGGAGATGAACGGCAAGTTTATTGGTCAGAGGCCAGTCCAGTTAAAGAGGGCACAAACAGAAGTGAAAGGGAAGACCAAGAAGATTAGACGTGTGAAATAGATAATGAGATCTGATTGGGTATGGGAGATAATGGGTGAAGAAAAGGGAAAGATAATCATGCAGATAATGATTAACACTGATAAATCATAAACCATAGTGTTAGAGTAATGCTATAGGGAGTTAGTCAAGCTCGAAACGGCTGAGGCTGGTTCATGCTGGCTCATGCTGGTTAACGTGGGGTAATGCTAGCTAACACTGCTTGAGACCAGTTAATACTAGTTGGGAATACCTAAAAATGAATAAATATGATCAATGTTGGTGGAAACTACTCAACGCTGATTAACATAATAAAATAATGCCAATGATCCAGGTCTTTGCTACTTTGAGTTTTTTTTTGAAAATTTCTCGAATTTTCAGAATTTTCCGAAAAAGTGAAAAATATAAGAAATAAAAAATACTAAAAGAAGTATAAAAATCCAACAAATCAAAACTTCAATGGTATAAACCACTTTCAAAATTACTTAAACACATCCAAAACATGACAATCTGTTTAAATAGCGATGACTATGTATTACAACTATTTCTTGTCGAGTTTCTGGAGCTTTGACTTGGTCTTCTCGATCTTTCTTCTCTTCTTTTGCAGCTCCTCGGTCCTTTGTTCGTCCTTGTTGATACCATATTGCATCTTCTTGTAAAGCTTTTTCTGTTTGTTCGACATCATGATCATCTTGAGGTCTTTCTCTTCTTCCTCAGCAGATCTCTTGTTGCTCTTTTTCTTCTCAGACTTGGTTTCGACCTCGGAGTACTTGACACCCTTGGCCTCCAGCTCGAGCTCCTTCTGGGCCTTGACATCCTCGTCCTCCTCTTCTTCTTCCTCATCTTGATCAATATCTTCATCGTCGACTTCAACCTCCTCTTCGGACTCCTCCTCTTCACCTTCGGCTGGCGCGGTGTAAGCCTCTGGGTCATAGCCACCGGCATCTCCCCATGGTGACAAGTGTGGAGGTAGGACTTCGCCTGGAGCATAATCAGAAACATTCAGCAGCTGGTTTTTGTTCACACAGTCAAATATCCATTGTGGCTGGATATACGTCCTTCCCTGGACCTTGTTGGCAATCTTGGGTCTGTCGGAGATCTGGTGGGTGACGTTAGAGAAATCAAACTCGTTGATGGACGAGTTGGAGTTTAGGAGAACCTCATCAAGAGCAGCTTCGGAGATGACTTTTCCACCGCAAGAAACAATGATGAACTCAACGATATCGATGGGGACCTCACGTCCAACATAGAATACAAATTTTGAGAACAAAGTCGCAGCTGGACTTCCAAACTGCGAAGGCTGTTCCAGAAGGTCACCTGCATTCTTATTGTTATCTTCAAAAGTGTCCAATTGCACATCCTCGACGTTTTCGGTGTTCTCCTGTGTGTCTTCGTTTTCTTCGACACCTTCGTCGTCCTGGTCAGCCTTCAAAGCCTTTGCAATTTCAGACTTGGTGAGCTTGGTGGTCACCTCTGAGGCCGAGTCGGCTTTTGCGGAAGGAAGCAGCGTGTTCTGGGAGTCCTTGACCTCCAAGACGTAGGCTGAAAGTCCACCAACACCCTTCAACTTTTGAAAGTCCACGTTTGGAGGATATAACAGGTTCGAGTCTGTGTAAAGCTTGAACAAAACAAAGTGCAACAAGGTGGAGTAAAACTCCAGGAACGTCAACATGATTCTGAAGTCGATATCGGAGGGGATGTTCTGTGGGAACTTGAAGGGCACCAACCACGTCACTTCCTGGCCCTTAACGGTGGCAGAATAATAAACACCTTTGATGGAAACAAAGACCTTTCTCAAGGCTCTTTCTTTGGCAACATAAGCCAACCATTGGTTGCAAAGCTCGTTGGCCTCTTTCGTAACTCGGGCACTCACCTTATCGGTGGCTGGCATGTTGCTGAACAGAAACAGCATGTTCAGACAATCATCGATATCTCTCACAGCATCTAAAAACGTAGGATAACGCTCTTTGATCACATGGTCTAGTTTGTATTTGGGTCTGTTGGACTCGAGTCTTTTGGCGTCGTTGACCTCGCCCTTTCCAAGCGCCTTGGTCAGCTTCTTGGCAAACGTCTTGTGCTCTCTGAATTTGGCCAACACCGGTTCGTGCTGGAGATATTGGATATCCTTAGCATAGTAGAAGGTGACAGGCGCAGTAGAGCCCTTGTTCGCCTTCTTCTTATTGCGTGGCTCTCTTGGATAGATACCCTTGAAGATACACAGGCGGCGGAAGTCTGCAAGCGACACCTGAAGCCTTTTCACAGCCTGGGTTCTGGTAATAAAGTTCTTGGCATTACCAGATGTAAACTTCTTCTTTATTCTCATGCTGGCGACTTTGCTATATGATTTTCCGTGGGTAACTCACTCGATCAAGAGAGATAGCTCAGTCTATAGTAGCCCTGAAATTTTTTGCAGATGCCTGGGAAATTTTTTTTCACCAGATGGGGTAGTGCGCCAAACCCAAAAAGCCTCCGGAGGGGTCTGTGGGCTACGAGCTGAGGATGTTGTGGTTGACGCAGTTCAACCTTCTCTTGCAATTCGAGACACTACTTCCATCTTAAAGGCTACTGGCAATGGCAGAAGAAAACCGCGACGTCCACGATGTTGTGGTTGAGCCGGTGGATGTGTTCCAGCCGAATTCGCCGGAGGCCAAGTCTGCTGTGGTACCGCTAGAGAACACGGGCCAAGACAAGGTTGGGCCTGACCAATCTCTACCGCAACCTGAGAAAGAGTCTCAATCTGAGTCTCAAAAAGAGTCTCAATCTGAGTCTCAGAATGAATCCTCAACAGGAATTCCGCCTTCCGAAGAACCACAATCGGAGACTCCTGTGGAACAGAAAACGCCCGTGCGTGAACTCTCTAAAGAGGAAGTGCTGCAAATACGACAGAACTGGCTGGAGAAAAACGCTAAAGAGATAAGCAAAATTTCAGATTGGCAGGTTCAGCTTCCCCTTGAGCAGATTCTTGGCAAGGCTGTGGGGCTGCTGCTAGCTTCGTTGGATATAAACTGCAATAGAGCAGCTCTGGATCACCTGGCTCTTCTGGCTATGGAACACACTCACACCGTCATTGCACGACTGCACAGAATTACTGAGATCCAGCGAAGAAGAAGAATATCTGCACATGATCTCAAGATTCTAATTCGTGAGGGCATTATTTCACTGGAGGACATTGAAGATGCTTATCTCGAGTCTAAGAAACGAAACACTCCCATCACGAAGATGTTACTTGCCAAATTGGATACTGAAACCAGAAAAATAGTTGACGAGACAAATGCTTTCACAGCTGGTGATCAGACCGTTGATGCTGAAGACCCTGCGTCGTGTTTCTTCCATGATATTACGGACACGATAGCGAGAGTGGTTCCTCAGAAGGCCGTGAGAAAGGCTTATATCCCCAAATACCTACCAGAGCTTCCTCCGGTCCATACATACAAGGCGACGCCTCAGTACACCAAGACAGTGACTGATCCTAGAGTTCTTCGCGAGAAACTCGTCGAGGAGGGAAGGCTAGGCGAGAAAGCTTTACAACATATTGTTGGGAATGACTCTGCTACACCCGAAGCGGAGATGGAAGTTGACTCTGACGAGGAGGAGAAAGAAGAAGACGAAGAAAAGCAGGATCAATCAGATCAAAAGAGAGAGAAAGAAGAAGAGAACGGCAAAGAAAAACAAAACACAGAAACAGCTTCATCTTCCGATCTACAAATGGATATAGAAAAGAGGCGTGAATCCGAAGTTCTTCCGGATGGTGATGATGGAGCAGTGAAGGTTCATGCTGAGCCCCAGATTGAGAATGAAGGTGAGACCCAAGGTGAAGGACAGATTCAAACCGAGACACAAAACGAGAAACAAAACGAGACACAAAACGAAACCACAGAAGTCGTTGCAAGTACAGAGGAAGTTGTAACTGACAAAGAAAAAGGGAAGGAAAAGGAGCCCGACCGGGTCGACTTGGTGAACTACGCCAAGAAGAGACTGGCAATTCTGGAAAAACGCACAGCAAAGCGGAACAGGGCTTTGGAAGAACGCCTTGCCAGACCAGAAACGATTGTTTCCAAGTATATGGGTTCTTTCTCGATTCAGCCTTTGAATGAGTCTGTTTCGCAGATTGTGTCTGATATATACGCTACGGAGTTTGAAAACGCGCTCAAGTCGGTGAAGATAAGCGAAAAAAGAAGGGCAAAACACCTCAGAGAAGAGGCAAAGAAGAGACAGAAAATTGAGGAAGAGAAACGTAAGCAACAGGAGAGTATCGAGTTCGGCTTTGGCGAGGGAGATGGTCATGATCAGGACGATGATCTCGATTTCAACTTTGATTTTGGCAACGACGACGTGGGAGTTCACGATCAAATGGAGAATCTCCAAGAGCTGGAGGAAGTTAGTATTGCTGAAGTAGCCATTGGAAATAAGCCGGTTTTTTCGACATCGCGTGAGGTGACTCCTAATGCGTCAGCCGAGGCTGGAGGTACATCACAAGAGGAGGACTTTGACGAGGAATTGTATGGAGCAGAGACTCCAAAGGCGGAAGCAGCCAACACAGGTGAAGGCTCTCCAATGGATGTTGATGGTCAGGATTTTGGTCGGGAGCAAGGCCAATCTGTTACCCCACAGCATACAGAGCCCACCGGAGAGACCCAGGCAACCGGGCGGTCTCTAGAAAATGACGACGAGAGTGACGAGTTTGATGACTCAATGTTTGACGAGGTTCTGTAACATATATAGACACGCTGCTTAAAGGACTCTCAATAACGCGATGACTTGAAAATGAGGCAGCTAATGCAAGTGACAATGCAAGTGACACTTTTCTGCCATGCACTCCCGCAGATAGTTCGAAGGTCCAACGTAAAGTTCAACTTCAGCAAATACCACTCTCCGAAATGAACGAACTACTTTCAATTTCCTTCTACGGAGACCTTCCGTGGAATTAGTAATGCATAACGGATCGCAGTTGAGCTTTAGGCATCCCGATCGAGGGCAAAGTGTCAACCGAAAGATGACAAATTCCGGGTGCAAAATGACGGTTTTCGGACTCTGGCGAGATTTTGGTGCCGCGCTTTAGTAATTGCGCTAACAGTGTTTAACTATATGAACAGCCGTTTTAACCTCTTTTTTAACCCAACAAGTGCCTGGTGCCTCAACAGAATTCCTCGAAATGTCCTTGGTTTTAGTTACTGGAGCAACTGGGTTCACTGCTCAACATATAGTTGACCAGTTGCTTGAAAAAAAGTACAAGGTTGTGGGTACCGCAAGATCACAAGCCAAAGCAGACACTTTGCTAGCCAACTTCTCCAAGATTCACGATATCTCTAATCTGAGTCTAGAAATTGTTCCAGATATTGGTTCCAGTGGTGCGTTTGATGATATTCTCAAAAAATACAAGTTTGACTACGTCATACATACTGCTTCGCCAATATCTCTCAGTCCTGTAGATGACCTCTACGGCTTCTACGTGAAGCCAGCTGTGGCTGGATGTTTGAGCATTTTGGAGGGGGTCAAGAAATTTGCACCCAGTGTTAAAAATGTTGTTGTGACATCGTCTATTGGAACTGCTCTGAACTTCGACCAGGCCGACAACATGGATTTCGTGCATACGGAAGATACTTGGAATCCATTGGATTGGTCCGATGTCAAGTCTACCTTCCAGGCTTATGCCTACTCCAAGACGGCAGCAGAATTGGCGTCTCGCAAGTTTGTTGAAGTTAACCAATCAGAGCTCAACTACACATATACTTCGGTTAATCCGACTTTTATATTTGGTCCTCATGTGTTTGCTAGCAATCTGGAATTTGCCAGTGGTAGCTCTGAAATCTTCAACAGCATTATCTCGTACCCACCAGATAAAGAAGGTCCTTTTAACGACATAGTTTCACTTGCATGTGATGTCAGAGATGTTGCTCGCCTCCATATCGAGCCACTTTCCGATCCAGAAAAGTTCCATAATTCAAGACTCTGTGTTTCCTCTGGGGAATTCTCTCCGCAGACAATTTTGGATGTGTTGAACTCCAGGTTCCCGGAGCTTAAAGGCAAGTTTCCCAAGGGAAATTCTGCTGAGGGAGAGAAATATTTGCAAACACATGGTTTCGCTGCTGATTTCTCTAAGACACTCAAACTGGCAGGTTCATTGACGCCCTTGGAAGAAACCATTTATGATTCCGCTAAGCAGTTCTTTGACTTCAAAGAGAAGCTGAGTAAATCAGAAAAATAAACTGGACCTGAATATCTTTTTTTAAATAATTTTATACATAACTATATGCATCTAAGCCAAACTTACAAAGCTGAATGAACGAAGGTATAGATTATGCACGATTGCATCAGGCTCCAAGAATCTTACCTGTGCGGGTAGCATTATCGGGAACTGTCATTTCAACCCAGAGAAGTCCACTTAATCCTACAACTGATTTAAATCATCTTCCAATAGTTAACCAAGTAATCTAGATGTATATCCCAACCTGTTAGGTGGGGGACTCTCCACACTCTGCAATACCCAGTTCAGCCGCACCAAGCCACAGTTGAAGAAATGGCTAGTTGCCTACGTGTACGACCCAAAACTCTCCATGTAACTTGTCAGCTAGCAAATGTGATTGTCTTGTTTCTCTGCTCGCTCTACAACTACCCAAGAAACACCCTGACAACTCGTTTTTTTGAAATAATGGCTGACACAACGGAGCTGCAGTTACCATCGTCGCTACCCTATCCGTTAGTGGTGACGAGAGTGACAATGCATCCGGGCCAGTTGCTCAAGAAACACACCACGGTGATCACGTTTAAGTACTGGGAGATGGAGCCAATTCCTCTGGGCGAAGTAGAGGAAGAGGACAGCGACGAGTCAAGTCGTCAATTGGTTAAGGTTGAGTCGGTTGGAACTTTTGAGTCGCCGATTGAAGGTGAGATCCAGCAGGTGTTTGTCAATGTTGGAGACGAAATTGCAAACGCGCGACATACGATTGCCAATATTCTCGAGGCTTGTACCCACCCGATTCAATATGGAGGGCTATGTGCTATGTGTGGACAATCTGTGGAGGACGAGGACTATTCCGGATACTCGAACCGGGATAGGGCGCCGATTTCGATGTCGCATGGAACTGCCAATTTGAAGGTTTCTAAAAGTGAGGCCGAAAAGATCGAAACTGATTCTACCAAACGACTGATTAACGAGGGTAAGCTTATTTTGGTGGTGGATTTGGACCAGACGGTTATCCACGCAACCGTTGACCCAACTGTTGGCGAATGGAGACAAGATCCCACCAACCCAAATTACGAATCGCTCAAAAATGTTAAGTCTTTCTCATTGAAAGAGGATATCATTCTTCCATCCAGCTACACTGGACCAAAACCTGCGCCCAATATCCGCTGGTATTACGTGAAGCTACGGCCTGGTTTGGAGGAGTTCTTAGAGAAAGTATCCAAGATGTATGAATTGCACATCTACACGATGGCCACCAGGGCGTATGCTAAATCAATTGCCAAGCTTATTGACCCCGAAGAAAAGTATTTTGGAGACAGAATCTTATCGCGAGATGAAAGCGGCTCTCTGACCCAGAAATCGCTGAAGCGACTGTTTCCCGTTGACACTTCGATGGTGGTGGTGATAGACGACCGTGGCGACGTTTGGAATTGGAGCCCCAATTTGATCAAAGTTGTTCCATACGACTTCTTTGTAGGTATTGGGGACATCAATTCAAGTTTTCTGCCTCGTCAAAATGCGTTGCTAGGTCCTTCCAAAAAGAAAAAGTCGGTAGCGGATCTGGAGGACCAGCTGAATGCGGCCAAATCTTCCCAAGAAGGAGCTGGCACGTCTGCTGAGCGCGCCAGCTCTGAGAATGATGAAAGTGCTGGTTCCGAATCGTCATCAGATGAAAAGGAATCACCAGAGCCCAGTGCGCATTCTGAGAGCGGGGTAGAAGAGCCGGCCAAAGAGGACGAAGAAGATGTCGAGTCACCTGTTGACAGGATCATGGCCATTGCACACGAGGCTCAAGACTCAGTTCTTCTTGTGGCACAGGCTACTGAGAGGACTGCTTCTCTTGAGCAGCAAGAGCAAGACCGCCCACTTGCAAAGCTGCAACACGATTTGGACAAGATCATCAAGGACGAAGAGGATTCCGACTCTGAGAACGGTGCCACTGAAAAGGAAAATGCTCCTATCATGCACAATCTTTTAAGTGATGATGATACCGAGCTCGAGACTTTGGGTCAGGCTCTTTTTCGCGTGCACAACGAGTACTTCTACGAGATTGAAAAGAACAACGGGGTTGAGCCTCGGGTTGAAAACATAATGGATGGGATGAGAGACCTTGTTTTCAAGGAGTACACCTTTTTGTTCTCTGGAATTCTTCCCCTTGGAACAAACATGGATTCAGCCGACATCGTGATCTGGACTAGGTCTTTCGGTGCGACCGTGGTGTCTGACTATGTGCCTTCGGTTACTCATGTGATAAGTAAGAACCCAGGCACCTTCAAGGTGAAGTTGGCCAAGTCACTGAACCCGAACGTGAAGATAGTGAACCCGGACTGGATCTTCAAGTGCATTTCCCTGTGGGAGAAAGTGCCTGAGGATGACTTCACACTTGAGTTCTCGCCAGAGGATGTTTTACCCGAGGCACAACTGGCCAAGTACCGCAGCAGTTTTGGGATGAGTGAGGGTGCGGTAGTTGCTGATATAGACTGGGACCAACTTAGTGAGGAAATGAAGGAGTTTGTGGGATCTGACTACGACTCGGAAGAAGACGAGAGTGGATCTGAAGATGACTCCAACGAAAAGAAGCGTTCGAGAGACGAAACAGATGTTGGAGACTCCGTGAAGCGGGCTAGGCCTGATGAAGAGGAGAGTGATGATGAGCTTGCCAAAGAGCTAATGCTGGAGCTTGAGGAGGATGATGACTAATGTAAAATATGTAAAGATACGGCAACCAAACGAGCCAGACGCTGATAATTGCAAAAACTTACCGAGAAAAATGCACCGAACAGATGAAAAGCCGTCCTTAGTGCTGCATGCGTAAGCTGTCAGAATTGGCGTCTCCAACCCCAGTTTCGAACGCTGCACGCTAGTACTATCAGACAATCACTGAAAAACGGGTATATAATCATGTTTAAACCCTAGAAGGTCAAAAAAACAAACAAACTTATAATCAAATGTAGAATCCAACCTCCATTTCTACTCTTCAAATAGCAAAAAAAATTGCTTCCCCACCAGGAGTCGAACCTGGAATCTTCTGGTTCCAGAAGTGACTAAGAAATCGTAGCCAGACGCCGTGACCATTGGGCCATGAGGAACGAAGCGGGAGATATTTTGTTAAATCTGCACATACTGCAACAAAATGGTTAAAGCACTTCTTAAGAAAAAAGAGTTTTTTACCAGCAAAATGGATAGAAATTGGATATTGATTTGCATGGATAAGTGATTTCGTTTAATCTACTTCAAAGAAAAACTAATAAAAGTGAGAAATAGTTGACGAGAGTCTGGTCTGTCATACCCAAGCCGGACTGAGTAGAGAGACATTCCTCAGTGTGGTAGCAAGGCACATGATCAAGGCCTAATACTTATTTTTTTGGCATATAATTGACCAGAAGTTATTAGTGTTGCTCTGAAACAGCCACGTGCACGCTGTTCCGCTGGGAATTTAATAGCCACTGTACCAACTCTTGAGACTTACCGGAACGCGACTTTCGAAAGACGCGTCAGACCGCGAAGCGCCAGGAGGAATTGTTCCGAGGTGCATGCTTCGCAGATGCTATATAATTTTAGACTAGCCGAGATGCATCAGACCAAACCGGCGTTTTCTCATGTAACTCTATAGTCAATTTGCAGGGAGAGTGCTGGTGGGTTGTAGTGATCAATTGGTACATAATTATCGTAATTAGTGGAGATGTCCTGCTTGAAAAAAGAGAGTTTCACAAGCGAAGGCACGAATACAAAATATTCAAAGAGGTCGTGAAAACATTTGCAGTTATCGCATACTATTTAAACGTGCTGAAAAAGGGCCCTTACCGGAATATAATGGCTTGCAACACGGGTTTTGAGAAACTGGCCCGATTGGGAAAGGAGCTAAAAGCCCCAAAACTCCCCTTCGAGCACAGGCATAAACACGTTATTTGGCCATCTTCTGGTCGAACCCAGCTTAACTACATGGATTATATACTAAAAATATAACTTACTATTAGCATTTATGAGCTGTAAGGCACTTATTTTTAGAATTGCGGCCCAATTCCTTGTTTTTTTTTACTCCTCTGGTTTACCGCCAACACGTTAGACGCCCAAAGGAGGCCGCCCAAGCCAATTTGACCAATCGGGTAATTTCATCACAGACCTTTTTCACGCTACGTCTCAGGTGCCTCACCTGGACTGGACATATACTGTCAGAGTTGTCAATACCTCTTTTTTTTACTCTAAAAACTGTTTTTATAAACGTTTGTTGCTAGAGAACAACTGACGGGGTTTGCTGGTCGCTTTTTGTTCTGTTCGCTCCTGGCTGTTGTTATAGAGGCCCTTCTTTTCGACTATGAGACTGTACCACAAGGCGAGCGCGGTGCTTGCCTGTCTCGGGACAGCCCTGGCCTTCGAGCCATTGGTGCCTGGCTTCATCAAGAACAACCATGGTGAATCGGTGGCCAAACTAACTGAGATATCGTCTTCGCGGTCGGCGGCTGTGTCGCTGAAAGAACAGACGGTGCTGGGCGCGTCGAACTCGTCGTCAGACGTTACCGTTACTCTGGGAACTGGAATCCAGCTTTTGGAAACCGATTCGGAGCAGAATTCTTTCTTTCTGAACGTGACAGTAGGAGACGAGAGCGTGCCGCTGCTTCTGGATACCGGATCGCCGTATCTATGGGTTTACGCTTCAGATTGCGAGTCTGATGCTTGTGAAAATAAGACCACTTTGAGTTTGCCTTCTGACGACAAAACCACATCCACGTTCTCTTTGGCATACACAAGTGGAACAGCCTCGGGGAAAATTGCCACGGAGGATGTGACGGTGGCCGGGCTGACTGCCGAAGATTTCAACATTGGCTATGCCAGTACCGTGCCGTCAATCTTCGAGAACTATCCCTTCAGCGGAGTGCTCGGACTCCCCTCGGACAATTCTTCGTCTGCGAGTCTGGAGAACGTGATCACCGCATTGAGACAACAGGGCTCAATCTCTGAGTCAACATTTTCGCTCATTCTGGGAAACCTGACTGTTGAGACAGCTGGAGCTGGTCTTCTGATCATAGGCCAGGACCTGGAAGAGCTTTATAGTGGTGATTTCTACACCGTGGACGTGATTCAAAACTCAGCTTCCTACTGGAAGATTCAAGTGGACGGCTTGTTTGTTGATGATGATGCTGTGAAGGCAAAAAACGCGTCTTCCAAGCTCTCTGGAAATGCCATTCTCGACTCCGGTACCACTGGAATCATCCTTTCGTTAGCTGATGCCCAATACCTCCACTCATATTTTGACAACTCTATCAGTGACGGAAACAGCTTTGCTATTCTTTGCAACAGTACCAAAGAGATTTCTTTCGAAATTGGCGGGCACAATTGGACATTGACTTCTTCAGACTATCTTGGCTCTGCATATTCGTCCGAGTCTGACTACTATGGCTACTGCATCAGCAACATCCAAGGTCTAGATGTCACCAGTGAAAAGCTCTGGATTTTGGGAGGACTTTTCCTCAAGAAGGTGTATTCACGCTTTGATTACGGAAACCAACAGGTTGGTCTTGCCGAGAGATACTATAACATAAACGTGGTGTCTGAGTCCACCACTGCTGCTGCTGCTGCACAAGCATCTACAGCCACACAGACCACTTCCACATTACAGACCATCACCACCTCAACGAAATCGTCTTCGTCTTCGTCGTCGTCTGTTTCGTCGTCGTCTTCTACTAACGGAAACTCAACTACGTCATCAACCCAGGCCCAAAACTCAGCACCATCAACACAGCCGTTTCGCTATGCATTTGTTTTAATACCTGTTATTGCCTTGATTTTGATCTGAACCAGGCATGAACGATAAATGGCACTAAGTATGCCACACAAGACTCTGTTTGCTATTTTTGCTTTTCGTCCGCATTTTACTCTATTCCATATCAATAAAACTATCATTACGTCAAAGAGCAATTTCAAATGAATATGTTACGCTGATGCTAAAATTACACAGGCAGGTTCCAGTGAATATATATCGAAAGGAAGTAACCGCTTTAGACCACCCTAGGCTAGGACAGCATTCTCCATGTTGAGACCATATAAACAGCTATACCTCCCACATGTCTAAACACTTTCCCTCCCCAGGGACTCTATAACATGCCAGCCCAAACTAACTGCCCGAAGTCTGTCTTAGACGCCTCTTCTTCCGCTCCATCCTCGAAATATCCTGCAAATCGTCCTCGCTCGGCTCATAAATATGCCAGACCGTATAATGGGGCAACCCACCAACCCGGAACCCCATTTTCCTGGCCAATTTGCCAAAAGCCTCGGTTTCCGCATGGTTCATGAATGTGAAAGCAGGGAAATGCACACCTTGCCTGAAAACCTTGGCCCTTGCAAGAATTGACACTCCTCCAACGCCGTCGAGGTCAACAATCTCGTTTTTATCACCGTTTTCCTGGCGGATGTACGCGAGATGCACTCTCCATGTGGGGTATTCCTGATATCCTTCGACAATCACATCGTCCTCGCCGAGATTCCTTGCAAGTTCCAAGCCCTTTTCACTTTCCATCCACGAGTTGAGGTCGTACGGCTGCTCGTTACCAAGGAAAGTCGGTAGAGGCCTCCAAACATTGGGCACAATCACGTCGTAATCCTTGAACTTCATCAGATCTTCGATGATGGACCCAGGAGATGTCTCAATATCGGCATCTCTCCAGTAGACCCACGAATGGTACGGCTTCAAAGCGTTGCTCAACAGCCAGTTCCGCGCCCGGCCCATCAGCTTCCTACGAATTCCCTGAACCTTGACGTCATGACGATCGCTAAATCCCTGGCCAATGATCTGGCCAAAATCCTTGCGGAAGATCTGTATGCTCCTAAAAGGCTTCTCGTATTCGTCGTGATACGGAGGAGAATACGCATTCCGCACATTTTCGGAATAAGCCTTGTCCATATACGACAGATATAAGTCGCTTGTGCCACGTATGCCGCTCCTCTTCATCTCCTCCTGCTGAGAATCCAACAATTGGAGTAGAGTGCCACTTTGCAAAGCAGAGGTATACTCCACCAGAGCCTCAAATGTGCGGTCGTCCTCAGAACAATCACTCACAAGGAACGCTATGTCCACCAGCGAATGGGAATACGTCATGTTCATCATGTTTCTGAACATCAAAGGCAAGACCTTTTCGGCATTTCTGAGTGGAATACACAGAAGAATGATGTCTTCTTTGGACTTTCCATCTTCAAAGCCGACGTAGTCATTAAGATCATAGTATTCGATCGAATCGGGCAGTTCTTCGGCTTCACCGTTGATGGTCACAGTGTGAGAATTTGTCGAAATGGTGGAAGAGTCGACAGCCACATTATCTTTGATGGCTTGGCTAGTTGGCGTGGGCGCCAGTTTGTCACCTTTCCCGTTGAAAAACAGCAGGTAGACAGCTAATAAGGTCAGCACTGCCGCCACTATTGGTATCACAGGCGCCTTGTTTCCACGGCGTTTCGAGGATTTGGGATACAACGGCTCCGCTCTACTCAAAAGTTAGTGTCATGACCCGAAAGAGCAGAACAAATAGCAAAAAACGGTTAAAAATCCTTGTTCCAACCGGCCGCGTCTTCGGCCCGCTTGGCAGTCTTTTCAATCCATACTTCACCTACACTGGAATATCCGTCTTCTTGTGATTGGTATCCCTTCGTAACATCGCACAGGAATGTACCTAATCTCACAGTTCTCGCCTGGGTTGTCGTTGTGGGAGTAGAGAACAAGAAGTAAGTGATTTCGATTTGTGGCATTGAAAGACGTGTTGGTTTGCATTGGTCGTGTACTGACAATTGACTAGAGATCGGGGTAGCCACACTACTTGGGACCCCGGAGTTTCGAGATATGAGTCGGGCTATGAAAGTAAAGTTAGTTGTGATATTGGTGCACCAATCTAAAATAGTTATCAGTAGAATTCGCATCTTTTTGCTGGAAATTATCCGGCGTAGGAGGCCCGGTGGCTCAAATGGGGGGGATCTTGGAAGTTGTTGCGAGCACTGGCCGCAAAAAAATGACATGCGCACGAGACCAGATGCTAAGCTCGCAGCGTGCGGCGCTCTTCAGTTAGACAGTCATCTCACTAATTATGATTTTTTTCCGTAGCAAAATAACTTTTATACAACCTCCTTCAGGTTATACTCTAGCGGCTTAAACCAGGAATCGCGCAGTACACTCCAAACATCTTTTGCCAAAGCAGAAGCTGCTGCCTCAGAGTTGGCCGTTGCCTCGATATAAACCTTGAGTTTGGGCTCAGTTCCGGATCCTCTGGCAGTGAACCTGATACTTCCGGAGCCAAAAGTAGGCTCCAAGACAACTGTTATCATCTGGGAACTACTGTCAACCGGAAGAACAGGCACATTGTCTGGGGTGGTCGAGTCGAATCCGAGGGTAAGATCCCTCCAGGCAACCACTCTGTAGTTTGCAATTGTGTGGGGAAATTCATACGAGCCATTCTTTTGTGAGCTTCTGATGGTGCTGTTGAAAATTTTTTCTGTTGAGTCCAACCTCGGTACCACGTAATAGCCATTGCACTCCTTGAAAAATCCGTATTTCTCAAACCCACTCTGCAATACCTCAATCGCATTGGTACCTTTTTGAAGCCACCCATCATACATTCGAAGGAACACAGTCAACGCCGAAATCCCATCTTTGTCGTGGATGGGTGGGAACATGAACCCAATGGCTTCTTCAAAACCGAACGGAACCTCATATCCGCTTTTTTCGAGGTCTATGGCCTTATTACCGATCCATTTGAATCCAGTAAGCGTGTCTTCATAATTGCACCCATTCTTAGCAGCCACTGCTTTGATCATTTGCGAAGATACTGTAGAATTCAGAAAATACGATCTCGATAATTGCTCTGGACTCAGCTCAGAAGCCAAGTAATCAGCAAATAGAAACCCGATCTCGTTTCCGGTAAGTTGTCTCCACTTGCCAGCCACCTTCACGGCAGCAGAGAACCTGTCTGCATCTGGATCGTTCGCAAGAACCAGGTCAATTCCCTTGAGATTTGCAGTTTCCATTGCCAAGTCCAGCGCGTTTTTCTCTTCCGGGTTAGGAAACTTAACCGTAGAAAAGTCCGGGTCTGGCTGTGCCTGCTGAGTGACAATCTCAAGCTCGCACCCAAGGTTACCAGCAGCTACAAGCACCTGCTCCAGCCCGACGCCGTGCATGGGAGTATAAACAGCCCGGAACTGGGATGTAATCTTGGATTTGATTAGATGCTTGCACAAAGACTTGTGGTACGCCTTTGCAATCTCTTCACGTGAATAAATCACCGAGTCTGCGTAGGTCTCCAGGACGCGGTCGTAATCCCACACGGCCTCCATGGGCTCCAAATTCTTTAAGATTTGTTCCTGGATCTGCGAATCTCTCGGGCTAGTGATCTGACAACCGTTTCCCCAGTAAACTTTGTAGCCGTTATCAGCAGCAGGATTGTGACTTGCTGTCACCATGACTCCACCAACGGCTCCGCAACGGTCAATTGCAAAAGGCACAAAAGGTGTTGGAACAACTCCGTCTCCGAGGAAAATTACTTGGAAACCTTTAAGTAGAAATATACTCGCCGTAAGCTTTGCAAATCTCGCAGAATTGTGCCTGTGATCATGTCCAATCACCACTTTGGGAGACCCAGTTGACAAAGACTCTTCCAACATATACTCTGCCAAACCCTGCGATGCTTGTATCACAGTTACATCGTTCATACGGCTGAATCCGGCCTCCATTCTAGCCCGCAGACCAGCTGTTCCAAAAAGAATTCGTGACCCTAGCCGGGCAAGTAGCTCGTCTGTCTTGCCCTCTCTGCGCAGCAGTTCGATCTCCGCTCTCGTTCTCTCGTTCTACGGCAAAATATGTTAGTTTCCACTTTCAAAAGCCCCAAAAGTGCATAACTCACCTTATCTATATCCAGCCATTTCTCAACTAAAGTTTCGAGACTCATTTTGTGTGGCAAAGAGAGAAACTTTAGATCAAAGTCTGGCTGCAAATATGTGGGTTGATTATGATAAGTGGGGTTATGAGCCCACACTTGCTACCGTTTCTGGTTTGACTGATTTTTGGATGAGCACCGTTTTAACATACACACTACCTATTACATTTATCATGCGCACGACATGTTTGACCACCCAAAAATACATCCCACCGGCCGTTAGTCTTTCTAAGGATATAAGCCTCCATCACTTCAGCTAAGCAAAGACACGAGCGTGCGGAGATTCAATTCGGGACTGCAAATACTTTGAATTTACGCCCGAGGGATTTTCTTTCAATACGCCATGGGTAAACACCAGAAATTCGCTATTGGCAATGAGATGCTTCAATCGTTCCCTTCACCAAGTGCCGCAGTTATAGATGTTCCAGCACCACCTCCACGCCAGAATCAACCAATTTATCCACAACAAAAACAACAGTACCCACCCCATGTCCAGCAGAGCCCGCAACCACCTCCGAGATTTCCGCCACCTCCACAACAGGTTCACACACCTATTCAAAGGCCTATTCAAAGACAACAACCTGCGATTCGCCAGCAAATTATTCAGCCGCAACCTCTGAGCGCACGCCCAAAAGCTCCGCAACAACTGGAAGTGTCAAGATTGTCTTCATCTTCATCGGCATCGTCGATTTACACTCCAGCTGGTGACATTGGCAGACGAGTTGCAAGTGACACACACCAGAATCAGGGTTACTGGTCCAATTCGCGGTCACATTCCCGTTCAGGATCCGAAACCATTGCTCCTAGGCTTGATTATGACTACGAATTGGAACATACGTATAGATCCAGGTCTCATGCAGAGGCTGTCCAGATCCCACGGCCTCGCAACCTGCGTTCGCCCGTTCGCCTTAATTTGATTGATGAACTACACAGACTGTGGAAGGAGAAGGTGCCTATGACCCTCGAAAGAAGTGAAGTTCGAAGTTTGTTGGAGCTAGTGCGCACCGTGCCGAGAAGAAGCCTGATTGAGTCGGATTTGGCTGATGTGTTATTCAACCCGGACCGCACACCGTTCAAGAGCAGTGCCACACGCATGCTTTTCCACTCGTACTGCGCCTCACCAAAAGGGCTGATGACTGACGAGGAATTTTTGGATCTGTGCGAGTGTTTGAGACACATGGAGACGACTTACTACAAAAATGACACCAACGCGAATGGAGCCATGGGGTTTGATGAGTTCAAGACCACGATGCTGGGTCACCGCATCTCGCAACGTACGATTTGGAGCATTTTTCAGGTTTATGCCAGTAGCTCTGGAGAAATAAAGCTAGACTCGTTCATCGAATGTTGTTGTGCGATGACCAAAGCTCTGGAAATTTCACAGGTGGTAGAGTACGGCTACGACCATGGCATCGCCATATCCAAGAACAATTTCTTTAAAGAATTCATTCGCTTGCGGCAGTGATTATTTGGAACTGTCTCTACTCGCACGTGCTAAAGTTGAAAGTAGCGGCAGTCCCGTTTGAAGGGGTCGTCGTATCGCACGAGATGCGAGGCTCGTCTAATGCCCCTTTGAGCGTTTGTGAATGAACGAATAACAGCATCGATAATCTGAAATTTGTCTTTGGAAGGAGCTTATTAAGGTGTTATATTATATTGACAATGCAGTTCAATGCATCCTGCGTTTATTTCAAGCTTTTCACCGTTATTGTCTTGTTTCGTTTAGCTGCATATCTTGGGACGGTAGGCTGCATTGCCTGGCATTTAATGCAAACTGCGAAGACCAAGCGTAAAGCTGGCCATTCAAACGAACGCTTGGAAACGGCAGTTGCGTGCGAGCCAGAACAAACCGCGCAGACCGGACATACACTTTTCGGCTGACCCGATGGCTTCCCAATTGAGCCGTGACTAGTCAGTCGTCACACCACCTTAGAAATCGTTCCACACACATTTCACACGATCAAGTCACAGTGGTACGACTTTGAAGTGAAAAATCGCACGATTTTTGAGTGTGAATAATATGGGAGGGTTGAATATATATTGACATGGATTCTGCCAATGCCAACTGATTGATGCCAACTCATCGTTCTCATCGAAATAGAAAAGCGCCATCGACCCTTTGCCTTTTACACGCTACACACAAGCCTTTCCCAACAATGGCCCTTTACGTCAAACCCAACGTTCTCATTGGACAAATCCCAAAAATGGTTGCTCGCAGCACCAAGAGAGCTTCCCCCAGGCTCGGCCCAAACCCTTATCTCCAGGAAGCCAAGAGAGTCGTGCCAGCAGTGGCCATTTGGGGCTCGCTAATGTTTGGCTTTCTGGCATGGCCTTCTGTCGTCGTTGAAGCCAACAAAGCCGGATACTGGTATGTTTAGAGCTACTTGCTCAGAATCCCTACGAGACCCACGATATTCTATTTAGACATGCATGCGTATGCCCCCTTTGAAAGTACGCCGCTTTTTATAACCTATTCATCTAACAAAAAAATTTCCTAATGGGGAACAAATCCAGATTTTTCGAAAGATAGAGTTGAGAGACGCGAGTCTCTTCCTGTAAAATTTCAAAGTGGCGATGCGAAGGGCGATAATAAACCTTTAGACTTGGACTTACGCGTTATTAAATTTTGACGCAGGTTGAATAATAGAGATTAGGTATAAAATAACAGGGGTTAGGCATCGCCAACAACGCTTCGGGGGTATATCAGAGTGCCTGTATTGCGAAAACGATGAGAAGCAAAAGAAAACACTAATCGCAGGAGCTGGAGATGCGATTTGTAACTCTTATCACAAAAAAATCCCAGACGAGACGTTTCGCCATTTCAAAAAACAGAAATTCACGGCTTTTCTTTGCTTTTAAAAAAACCCTAGGCTGACGCGGCTGTTCATGCACCTGCTGCATCTGTCTTTGTTAGTTCCGCACCACGCGCAGACTAGATGGGGTAAATGATGGCAACATACGAGTATTGGAATTTGTGTAGAATGAATCTAGGAATAACAGTTAATTAAAAACAATCACGAGAACAACCCCGGAAAAGAAGAACCCTAAAAAAACCAAAATAAAAGATAGAAAAGAGGCTTGCCAGAGAATCCAAATGCCTCAAAAATGAGAAAAAAACGGACAAAGGACACAAGGCGACAAAGAAATCAAATATGCACAAATGTCTCTACGGGCGACGACTTGCAGCTAATGAGAGTCAAAACCAACTAAACTCAAAAACAAGCCGAAGAGCCCCCGGTGGCCAGTGAAAAAGAACCAAAAACAAAGAGAGAAAGATATCAAGGAACAAAAGAATGTGAGTCGCTGTCAACTAGTAAAGCGCGTCAAATGAACATTAGGCAAAACATAATCAAAGTTTTTCAGATCCTGCTTGAAAGAAGAGGCCCCATGACCCATATTAAACAGGTTGAAGTTGTTGAGACTGAGTTGGAGTTGCACCAGCGACTGTGATTGTGGTACATAATCCTGGTGTTGATAGGATTGGACTTCGGATATGTAGCTTTCGGCCTTAAGTCCAGTGGCCCAGTCAAAACTGTCTGTGCCTGGTGCACGGGCTTCGTTATTATATTGTTCTGGAGACAAGGTGTAGTATTGCTCGGGTGGAAGCGTTGTGGGCTCAACGTCATCAAGAACCAGAGATGGAGTTGAGCCTGAAAAACTGGAGACACTGTCTTCGTCAGGATTATCATCTTCGTTTTCGGATCCTACTGCCGTTTCTCCCGACCTTTTGAAACGATTCTCCCGCATCATTCGCTTCGATTCCAACCTTTGTCTGCGCAACATAAGACGGATTTCCTTGAACTCCTCGCCTTTCCGTTTGCTTCCGTGATTTTGTGTCACAACATGTACATTCAAGTGCGAAAGTGTCCCATAGGCCTTACGGCATGTACCGAAATTGCAGGCGTAATGGCAAACTAGTTCGCAGTGTCTTCTCCGCGGCCGCTTCTTCTTTGGCCCTGACCAGCTAGGTGACTCAGACATGTAATACGAGAATGCTAATGTAAAAACGACCAGATAGTGTGACAGAGGATGGCTAGAAGTAACTCCTTTTTATTTTAATCTTGTTTTGACGCGCGAAAAATTGGAAATATCCATCAAGATCTGAGAGAAAACCGGCTCAAGAACTTACAGGCAGATTTATATATGCTTTGCTCCCTGGCATTTGAAAGTTTACCCGTATAAATAAATTTAAGGTTTATTGGGTCTACTCCCGCAACTATGGTGCGACCCAGATGCACAACGCTATGTTAGCAATCCCATTCAGAAAACCTGTCGGCGACAGACGCAAGAACGACTGCCAAACCAGCCCAACGGATGCACGATAACCAATAGGTTTACTCAATCTGATGCAGGCTGCGCCAGGTGTTATGGTTTAACGCACTTCTTGCTGCAGATGGCCAGACGCAGAATAAAAGACTCCCATTGGCAAGTGCCCTCGGGTTTAATCAATCTATCGTTCTGCGCATCCGCCGCTTGCAGCATGATGGAGTGATTTTTCCGCCAGACAGTCATGACCACGCGAATCTTCAGAACGCAGGATATCTGGAGAATCGAAAAATGTCAAAAAATACAAATAGGCAGGCTTTGACAAAAATTTGGAGTAATATAATGCCTCTATGTTTTCGTGGCTATACTCCTAACACTTGACTTGCATTTGAGTTTCGGGCAGTTTAACCTTTCTTGAAAGTAACTTGCTATTTCATACTTCCTATTTGGGATGCATGTAGTGAATTCCTGCATGCATAAAAAAGGAAGGGGGTCCAAATGACTCGTTTTTAATACGAATGCAGAGATGGGCTTGGTTTAAGATCTTGATGGGTGCAACGAACGAAAACGTTTAGAAAGGCAAAAAATGAGATAGGCCGCGCGATGCCGGGAAGAAAAAAAAGGGCTTAGGCATTTATTTGTCCGTATGATTCAGCCGAGTGTATCTGACAGTTGTTCGCCTAGGGAGCAACCCCAGTCTCGGCAAACCGGTAGCAAATACAGATCTGCCACTTGCTGGAGCATGTTGTTTGGTCCCCTCTAGCGTCTGCAACTCGACAGCTCAATCGTATAAGTTAGTCTATTAGTGGAGCCAGATATCTGCAACAAGCAATTCTTTGCTGGCAGTGGCTGGTGGCATGGTGGCATTGCTGCTGAGGGAAATTCGCGTTGATTGTAATAATCCTTTGACGTATCGATTTCAGACTCCATTCAATTTTTTTAGGAGTTATTGAATGCAAGCTTTGGACAGCTTTTGAGACAATCTATCTGATAGTCGATGTCGGGGGGATGAATAAGCGGCACTGCGGCTAGATGGTGGAAATTCATATATCTCAGAAAATTTTTTAAGATCACTGGCTCCCAGTTTGCATCAAATAATGCTAACAAAGCACCGGTCTGTTGCGTTCTACGTCAACACTTAGGTCTGGGCTTTGGGGTTTAGTGATCATTCCTTCGATCGTAGCTCCGGTGCCCCGCCGCTTTAATGACAACGCTGCAAGCTGTGGAGATTGGGACAATAACCAAACACGCCACTATGGACTATTTCTGCGGGGTTAGTGACAGTTGGCCGTGTTTCGTTTTGCCGCGATCACAAAGAATAATTAGACCGAACACTGAAGGCTGCAGATGTTTCGGCGAAGAGAAATAGCCTGGATAATTATACGAGGCATTTGACAATGCTCGGTACCATTAAAGCCAGATGCAAGAATAGGCAACAGTAGTTTCGGTCTATTCAAGAACACAGCGGGGGGAGGGTCGGAGATACAGTAGGAACTTCCGAATATCATATTCGGAAGATTTTGTTTCAAGCCATCGTTGAATGGGACCCAGAGTGTAGACATGGCTGATACACTGTCATCTTTCAACCATGTACCAGTTTTAAGTCCATTGCCTGCATATTCTCCACTTATTTTTTGAGCAGCTCTAGAACGAGGTAGCGCACAACTAATTACGACATGAACGTCGAACGTGGAGCGCCACACCGCTTTGACCAGAGAATTCCAGCAAAAATATTTATCTCGCTTTCAATATCACCAGACTTTACGTACAACATCCAGACTTTCCGCGCCTAATTTGCGTCGAAAGATGTCTATCCTGGCCTCATCTGCTTCTACTAAGAAAATCTGCAAGCGAAACGCGTCAACGAACATGCGGCGCAAAATATGCAAACGCACGAAACATAGCTTCTTGTTATCGATTAATCACGGATGTCAGAGGAAAACCAAAATACCAACACGGAGGGGGTCTACCCGTACACCACGCATCAGTTGGCACCGGGACTTGTGATCCGTCAAATGGCATCGAAGGATGAGATGTGCAGATACCCTAGACGATCACAGATAAACCATTAAATTTACCCGTCCACCCCACCACCCGGATATCTGCCATCCGCTTCACGGGCCCCCAGCAGAGGTCATCCAAAGCAAAAAATTTCGGCAGTCGGGCAGCCAGTCGTGTGGCGCTCGGTTGGGGCTATCTATATGTACCTCACCAGTTGCCGATATACGTCTTCTTTCTTCTTGGTTCACCAACTCTATAGACCTCGTTACAAGGCTCAACCTGAATAGACTACTTCAGAAACCTCTTTAAAGTCCCCATACTATACACTTGCAACAATGGCCTCCAACTCGAGACTCGGCTGGTTGACGTCGCTTGACGTCACCTCCACCCCTGACAAGTCGTACCGTCGCTCTTCAATCATCGGAACGATCGGTCCTAAGACTAACGATCCAGAAGTCCTGGTCAAGCTCCGCAAAGCTGGTCTGAACATCGTGCGGATGAACTTCTCGCACGGTTCGTACGAGTACCACCAGAGCGTGGTGGACAATGCCCGCAAGTCCGAGGAGCTGTATCCAGGCCGTCCTTTGGCAATTGCTCTCGACACCAAGGGCCCTGAGATCAGAACCGGAACCACCCGTGGTGAGGTAGACTACCCTATTCAAGCCGGACACGAGATGGTGTTTACCACTGACTTGCAGTATGCCAAGGCCTCCGATGACAAGATCATGTTCATCGACTACGCCAACATTACCAAGGTGATTGAGCCAGGCAAGATCATTTACATCGACGACGGTGTTCTTTCGTTTGAGGTTTTGCAGATCGTGGATGACAAGACTTTGAAGGTCAGATCCATCAACGCCGGAAAGGTTTGCTCCCACAAGGGTGTCAACCTGCCCAACACTGACGTGGACTTGCCCGCTTTGTCCGACAAGGACAAGGCCGATCTGCGCTTCGGTGTTAAGAACAAGGTCCACATGGTGTTTGCCTCGTTCATCAGAACCGGTAACGACATCAAGGAGATCCGCAAGGTCCTCGGTGAAGACGGTGCCCAGATCCAGATCATTGCCAAGATCGAGAACCAGCAGGGAGTCAACAACTTTGACGAGATTCTCAAGGAGACCGATGGTGTCATGGTTGCCAGAGGAGATCTTGGTATTGAAATCCCAGCTCCTCAGGTGTTTGTGGTCCAAAAGCAGCTCATTGCAAAGTGCAACCTTGCTGGTAAGCCAGTCATTTGTGCCACTCAGATGCTTGAGTCCATGACCTACAACCCTCGTCCCACTAGAGCCGAAGTCTCTGATGTCGGTAACGCCATCTTGGACGGTGCCGACTGTGTCATGCTGTCTGGAGAGACTGCCAAGGGTAACTACCCTATCGAGGCTGTTGCCATGATGCACCAGACCTGTTTGATTGCCGAGAAGGCCTGGGCCTACAAGACCAACTCGTACGAGATCCGCGAGCTCACTAACCGTCCTACCGAGACCGCCGAGACCTTGGCCATGGCCGCTGTTTCATCCCACTTTGAGCAGGGTGCAAAGGCCATCATCGTCCTGTCCACTTCAGGAACCACCGCCAGACTCTGTTCCAAGTACAGACCTGACTGTCCAATCATCATGATCACCAGAAACAATGAGGCTGCCAGGTATTCCCACCTTTACCGCGGAGTGTACCCATTCATCTACGGCGAGGACCGTATCGAGGAATGGCAAGAGGACGTTGAGAAGCGTCTCCAGGTTGGAGTTAGTGAGGCAATTGAGCTCGGAATCCTGTCTAAGGGAGACTCCATCATCGCCGTCCAGGGATGGACCAAGGGTTTGGGCCACACAAACACCTTGCGTGTTCTTACCGCATGAGTGTTTCTCTGTTCTATAAGTTAAGTTGAATATGCTTTCAATCTGATCGAGTCTCTATGTAGCACCATAAAACAGTCAGAATAGCTTGAATTCGCGAGCAATTTTCAGCCCAATGGCCACATTGAATAACCTGGCATCCACCCGGTAGCCAGCCTTTTCCAGTTCTGCCAACTCAGTGTCAAGTGTAGCCAAGGGAACTGCAAAAGTTTCGATGAACTCGTTTTCCTCGAGTTCTGGGACTGGGTTCTGATTCTCAGGGTCTTCCAGGTCAATGTTTACTATTACCATCGACATGTTCGTGTTAGTGAAGCCTGGGTCATTGAACATCACACCCGATTGTTCCACCACCGACCCTTTGTAACCCGTTTCCTCCTTGAGTTCCCTCAAAGCGCATTCAGTAATTGACTCAGCAGGATCAATTAGCCCGGCCGGAATTTCGATGCAAATACCCTCAACGGGAGGCCTGAACTGTTTCTGAAGCAACACCTGAGGCTCAGAGCCTGACTTGAGAATGGCCAAAATTCCAACTCCATCTACCAGCGCTCCTTCAAGGCGAGTCTTTCGTGATGTCATTTCCCAATCACGCTCTTTACCATCCGGAGCCAAGTACCGGATTTTATCCATTTGCACCCAGCGTGACTCGGACGAGTCCT